TCTTGACAGCCAAATATGCGCCCAGATTTATCGGTAGTGCCATTGCCATGTTTACCAGAGCCAGCCATTCCACTAGAGAGAGACAGGTAGTTGAAAACAAATCGAAAGCGCACACCGGCTAGCCAAAGCAAGACTCAAGCTAGATGCACAGACGCGCCGCGGACAATTGTCCGAGCTGTCAGTCCATCCAGGACGTATTGCGAGCGTCACGGTCGTGCATTCGAGTCCGTCTTGCGTATGCATTCGATGGGCTGTGATACACAATCGAAGTCACGCGCGACTTTCGTCATCGAGGTGGCCGGAAATAATGTTAGGCAAATACATGCAAATATACTAATAGGTTCTAATTTCAAGGAAATTCTGCACGTTTTCACTGGGTCTGAGATCTGAGTCGCCAAAGGCGCCAGAAATGAAGAGGTGCTTGTGTTGGCGAAGGACAAGTCAGCTAGGGACATCGAAAGAGCACCATAACATACCACACTATAGCATCGGCCAGAGTCGATCATTAGCATCAGACATGCGACGAACGTAGGATGAGACCGAAGCGAACCAGTGACGTCTTATACGAAGACCATGTAGCGAGCCCAGACGATCAGATACGCCACAAACTCTCTCGTATGTTGAGGAAAGCGTGATCGTTGCCTTGAGTGGCTAGTCAACAGATACAAACAAGTCAAAAGACATGTAAACAGTGAACGCATTCCGGCAGCGCGAGATACCTTGCTGGTCGCAAGGTAATCTTTCACGGCAAGGGTGGGAGAACACTTTCTTAGGATGCTCCGTAGCGGGACATGATACAGACATAAAGAATGAAAGGTCATTGTTAATTAAATGTCCCCTGATTTTTGGGGACCCTAGTAAATGTCCCGCAGACCTTTATTTGTTCACCCGAAGGACATTCTTCATGTCCAGGTTATGGTCCAGCAAGGACCATTCTGGGAAAGTGTTCTCCCATCAGGGAGATGTTCCTGGCATGCCCGCCGGCGGGACATCGGTCTCTGCCCGCAGTGTGTGGCACCGCTGAAACCACAACTCGCGGGGCGGGATAACCCGTTTCCCACGGTCATCGAACTGACGCGTCCTCGACGCGTCTTCATTCCTGTCAAGTTATCCCAGCCTTGCACTCTACGCCGACCATGTCCTCGGAAGCATCTACGTCAAAGCCGGCTGCAGATACCCTTGCTCAAAACCCGGAGCCCTCGAAGGACGATGAAAGCCAGCCTCACCTTGGCGTTCTCGAGGAAGACGATGAATTCGAGGAGTTCGCTGTTGCAGGTACGTGATGCACTTGTTTGCCTTACCATTTCCCTTGCCTAACAGCTATGCGACTATCTTTGAAGATTGGGACGACTCGCAGACTGACCTGGCTCACCTGGGAGGCGCGGCTCCCGGTGCGGCAAAGTCTGGAGGAGACAAGTTATGGGAGGACAATTGGGATGATGACGATGTCGAGGATGATTTCAGCGTGCAGCTAAGGTGCGTCTCCCTGTCTTGCCCTGGTATCTTCGTCTCTGATCTTATTTCTCCAGGGGGGAGTTAACAAAGACGGGCAAGGGAGGGGATTCGATGCAGCAGTAGCCCACCCGCCACCTATTCACCATTCCCCGCGTGTACTTTCTTTTATCAATCAACGCCTCTCGAATTTGAACTCCGTTCTATGGGACCATCATTTATCTATCCTGGCTACCCATCAAGCAAGGCCATTACAAACAAACAAGAACGTCACAGGGTTCATGACAGGGCATTACAACAGACAACATAATTTATCCAACTATTAAGATATAGCAACCACCCAGCACTTGACGAAAGAAGAGGCTCAGACAGCGACGGCCTTCTCCGTCGACTCCCCGTCATATTTTTCCATTGACGCGGAGGAAACGACGGTCGACTCGGCGCCAAGGCCCATTTGCGAGGTATCGTACCCGTGCGCTTCCAGGTACTCGCGGAACTAGATATTTCGATGAGGATGTACGGGTGAGTATGTAAATGGGGAAGCTACTAACCAGGCGGTCCTCCTCTTGCATACCGTCGTGACTGAGTGGCTTGATGAATAACAAGGTGATGGCTGCGCTCAGGACGGCAAGAGCTACGGAACAATCCCGGTCGCGTCAGCAACCTCTGTGACGATCGCAATTCGTTGTGGATGCACTTACCGCTGCCAATCCAGAACGGACCCGTGGTTGCGGCAGTGCCAGTACCGAAATCTGGAATCAGTTACATGGGTATCGTCCTGAAGGCTACACTGAAACAATGTTCACGTACCCTTGATGATCGCGGGGAACGCTGAAAAGGATTTCAGGGTCAGGACAATTCACGCCAGCAGCCGGATCTGAGCAGACGTACCCCAGGTGCCGACGAAGGCTCCTACTTTACCGACAGCAGCTGCGATGCCGTAGTACTGGCCACGGACAGCAGTGGGGCCAGATTTCGAGGCCAACAAACCGAGGCAGTTGCCAGGACCTGTGGCTCCGTTAGCGACATTATAGCATTTGGGTATCGAATGCACTGACCAACTTCGCCAAAGCTGAGGAAGATACCATATACGACCTTCCGAACAGCAGACGCGTGAGATATATAGACCAAAGGAACGTGCTACGCAAAGACGTACCGCAAATGCTGCGATATGGTTGACCAAGTGCTTGTACAGGCCGCTCATGATGAAGCCGATGATGGCTTGCATGATCAGACCGAAGGCCTGGCAATACTTGGGGCCCAGGTAGTCCACAAGGAAGGCACCGCCGATAGTCCCTGAAGTCTAAGGTCAGAAGCACATTAACGCATGCCAGTTTTCTAGCTTTGCGTACCGGGCATGTAGAACAGGCTGGAAGCATAGAGCGTCAGGAATGGGTGTAGCCTAACAGTGTGAGCAGAACGTACTTGATAACAACGCCCCAGCCGAAGACGACACTGAGAGCTTCCGAACCACCAGTAACACTGCACCAAGTCAGAGAAGGCACGCGGCTCGAAGTATAGCAGAACATACGTGTTTGTTATGGAGCTTGAGTAGATGCCGAACTTGACGGCAAGGTCAGTTGCTAGACGCGATCAGCAGCGGTTCAAGCTTACTGGGTACCTGCGATCACAGTATCGTTCAGTACACAGGCCAAAGAGAATCGAAAAGTCATACTGACGTGATAAAGTCATAAATGAACCAGGTGATGCATATAGCGGCTAGGCTCTTCCAGTAGCGCTTTACAATGAGCCAGTACGGGATTTTTGCCCGCTTCATGGAGTCCTTCTTGTACCTTGTCGGCTCCTCCATGCGCAGACGCCATATGAACACGAGCAACGCCGGGATGACACCCAGGCCAAGCGAGAGACGCCAAACCGCGCGTAGGTGATGGGGCCCGAAACTGGGGAGTATTGCTCTGTAAGAGGAGCGGACGCGAGATGCGAGCGACTTACATCCAGTACAGGACCAGAGGCACAAAGGAAGAAACGACGAAGCCAAAGTCAATCATCGTATCTATCAGCTCCTTATCAGAGCACTGGGCGCAGTCACGACGGGTGATCACGTACTGGTGGCCAGGGCAAACCAGCGGTGTTGGGCGTTTTTGCTGATCGATTCCTCTTCAGACTGCTCGGAAGCCGCGACTGATCCACAAGGATACTCCGCCCCGATACCGATACCGAGGAAGAAACGCATGGCACTGAGCATGGCGAGCGTTCCGCCGAGGCTGTCGTTTGCGCCCTTTGATGCCGCGGAGAGACCAGAGAACACGGCGACGATACCCGTAGCGAGCATCTAAAATCCGGTGGGTTCAGGTGAGCGAACTCATCAGGCGGACAGAAGACTGACCATTCCGAATTTACGGCCCATCCTGTCGGAGAGGTAGCCAAACGTGAGCATTCCGACAATGGTGCCCGCGAACGCGAGACTACTGATAGTGGTGCTGTAGTTGTGTCCTGAAATCTTGTCCGCACCATAGATACGAATCAGCACTGAGGAACGGAATGGTCAGCGAGGGTCCCAGATAAGCAGAGCATATGTACTGACGCGTGTTAACTTGACACGTCCAAAAGGCAGTCAGCGCTGAGTACCGCGAACTGGAGAGGCTGCAACTTACCGCTCCCAATGATATTGTTGGCATAGCCTGTTCACAATGTCAGCTTGGGCGAGTTTGCAGGATAACGGATGCTTACCGTCAGAGAAAAGCGCCGTCCCACATCTGACTGCGGTTCAGTAAATCGACACAAACGCGAAGCACGAGGACTCACGCAAAGATGAGGGAAATCTGGGACAAACGCGACCTTTTGACGGTGCTGGCCATGGCTTGCAGCTCTCGAGAACGGGGAGAGACAGAGGAGGCGCTGTTGGCGGGCCATCGGTTATATAAGGCAGGGGAATGGATTGATGGCGGGGAGAGCAGACGGGGCCTTATCTTGTGGCTCCGTGTGCTTCTCGGATCTGCCCACGCTCCTCCCCCGGCCTGCTCCAGGCACCGACCCGCTGCACGTTCGTCCGACTTGGACTACTTAGCTTCGACTGACTTCAACCCGCTCCTCGTTTCCCATACAATAAATTCCGACCGGGCTGGCGCGACATCGATGCTCCTCCTCACCGGAGCCTCTGTCAAACAGGCTGCAGCTTTGGATATACCTATGTAGTCTCGCGCAAAGGACGGACGAACGTGCATTCTATCTCTGTCTGAATCTGACATGGAAGCAGGCCTCCCGAGATGAAAAAACTTGCGGCGTCATAACAAGCACTGCTCTGCGCCCTGACTAAATAAAGCCCTTCGACTATGTACTGCTCGGATCTCTCGACATCCTTTATACTGCAGATCAGGTCGCTCACATGCGCAAACATTCTTCCGTTAGGATGACAGCCTGGGACGACCTGCGCACTCCCCTTTCAGCCTTTTGACCAGTGGAAGCAAGCTGTTGCCTGAATCCCGACTAGAAGCGCCAGCCTCGTTCCGACCTTGCTCAACCTCCTGTCTGACATTTTGGGCAGCGTGGATCAAACGACAGTCGTAGTACTGCAGTCTCAGTCGTTTAGCATCAGTTCAAAGCCGACTCAATTATCTGGCGTAACCCCAAGACATTACTCAATATACGCTGGTGGTGCCGACCGGTTGCACTCCATGGGCGTTGCTCCAGAATCCACAGCGTCCTGACTGCTGGCTGCAATCTAGCCACAAGGGTCCACCCCCTCCTCCATAATGGCTATCAGTGGGCACACTTTACCGCAGTATTCTTTCCCTGATACCGGCTACCGTGCCCCAAAGCTAAGCTACCGAAACGAACGAAAACTCTGATCGGCCAGGCTTGTGTAATCTCGACCTAACCCTAGCACGGAATAAATCTGATCCAGCAGTTTGCTTTGACCGTGCCCAAGGCTGATAGCTGCTTCATGGAAGCGGCGGCCGGCCTACATACGTTGCGTCAAGTCGTTGATGGTATTAAGCAGCCATACGCATGTACTTGGAGCTCTATCGTCTTCAACCTTGCCGCGCGCCGTCTCACGCACCCCAAGTCAATCAACCTATGTTTCCCGCCCCAAACCGCGTCCCCAATGCGTCCGCCCTACTCTGCGACGCTCTATCGTTCACCCTCCTGTTTTTCTCCAGGAACAAGAACGATATCGCCACCATGTCCAGAACCGTTTGCGCCCGGTCGGACACGACTAGCTTGGCGGGACTCATTGTAGGTGGTGACGTCGTCCGGTCCGTCCGGGATTTGTGGAAGCGTGCGATAGGCTGTGATTTGTCGTCTTCGGCGTATAACTTCGTCATGGCAAATGGGGTGATTTCTGGATTCAGGTGCAGATAACTGAGTCCACTGGCTCACCTCTAAAGACAGGCCCGGTCTATTGCCCTTCCACTTGTACTTGCCCCCTCGTCCATCTTCAAACCTCACTGTACTACATGACGCCCTGTGTAAGCCGAAACCGCACTCCGCTGAAGCTGCAAGGATCCGCACTCTTTCAGAGGGACCATGCTCTTCTTCAACCAGCCCGTCGCATCTACCGCGTTCGCCCCCTCTCCCAAAGTAATCTTGTCGCCTCTTATGCTATCCCGCCACTCAGCGCTCCCCAGCACTCTCCCCAAGGCGTCCTTGACGAACGTTACGGGGTTTTTACCGCTGAAATCGGTTGATACCGTATACAGCGGTTCGTCGTCGATGTCCCCGGACCGAGAGGAGAATATGTTCGTGTTGCATGGGTTGTCGGGTTGGAAGACGAGCTCTACTAATGGCATGTTCGTTTGGGCCGAAATTGAGGGTGAGCTATGCAGTTGAATGGTGCAATCAAGAGGAGAGAATGGCCTTCAGGTTCACCGCTATGCTTCAAGATATACTTCGGCACTCTTATCATATGCATGTATACAGTACCGCGTCTGATGTTGACAGATGCGAGAGCTCCGGAGGCTGAGGCTGAGGAAGACTCTTTAGTGCACTCTTACCATCTCGTGACTGTCGAATATGCAGGTTCATGTCATCCCACTGTCAATGGTGAACTGCGGAACCGCCAATATGCCCCTGAAAGCAGTGTCACCAATATGAGCAGTATGTATTGAATTATCGTTTGTTCCGTTCCGCCGCACAGATGCCGCAGTCCGTTACAGGCCCAGCTGTCCGTAAAATCTGAGTGAAGCTATGTTCACGGAGACGGACTCTCTGAGCTCCTGGCCTTCCCGATTCATCCTACAGTACATATATCCACTTCAATTCAATCACATAAGATTGCTGGGGCTTCGACAATTGGACCTGTTACTCACCTTGAGCTCCATGACTATTTATACAGGAGACCTCCGTGATTCTTCGGCCAGACTCACTCCCAGAACTTCTCGCTCAGAGCGCATTCCCGAGCCATTTCAAACTGCAAATGCGAGCATGACAACCCCATAAATACCATTGCTCACTAGAATGCTCACCTGCTCGTCAGTCCTGCAGACCAGAACCCTCTTCGGCTGCCCCTTCGCAGCGACACCAATATCCACGACGACGGCGTCCTCGTCATCCTCGACTTTACCGTTTTTCTCCGGATCCACTCGAAGTCCCAGACACTCGGTTCCTCTGCCGACTGCCTCGCGCAGTTCCTTGCTCTTCTCCCCTATTCCGCCTGCAAAGACTAGCGCGTCCACGTCTCCGCCGAGCTTCACGAAGTAGGCACCGATGAAATCCAGGATCCTATCGGTAAAGAGCTCGAACGCCAGCTTGTGAGAGGGCGCATCCGAGCTCGTGATCTCAGCAAAGTTCGTCGTACCCGTCAATGCCTTCCATCCAGATTGGGTGTTCAAGATTTCTTCGGCCTACGCCCACCTATTCAGCCAACGGTGTAAGTACCATGAAAGTGCTATGCTTACTTCAGTCACGCCCACGCCAGCTTGATACTCTTTCTTGTGAGACATCCTCCCCACTTTGTTGGTGTAGTGGAAAATCAGACTTGGGTCGACCATCCCGGACCTGGTGGCTCCAGGTAGACCAGACAGTGGCGTTAGACCCATAGAAGTGTCGAGTGACTTCCCATTGCGGATAGCCACGGCAGATGCGCCAGAGCCGAGGTGAACCGCTATTATGTTCGTCTGGGATTCGGGCTGAAGAGGGGGGAGAGTTATCCCACCGAGAATACACGCTAATAGAGGTCACGCACCTTCCCGAGATAGTTAGCTACCGTCCTCAGAATGAATGCATCTGTGGAAAAGCCGCCGTGAGGGGGTGTCGCTGACGTTTGACGGAGAGGGTACCTACAACTCAGGCCATGGAAGCCGTATTTCTTCAACCCTCGTTCCTTTGCCACCTTGGGGTTAACGGCATAGCTGGTTATATGCTCTGGCATCGTCCTGTGGAATGAGGAGTCAAAGTACGCGATCGAGTTCGCGTTGCGAAGCTGTTGGATGCATGCTTGTATAACCGATAGAGCAGAGCCGTTATGCCTGATTGTATTATAACACGATCAGAACATAGTCGCTGATCATAATAGCTGGCCTTGTCACTCACAGTGGCGCTAAGTCCGTCAAACGTTCAATATGGTCGTATGTTTTGTCTGAGATAACCACGGCCTCATAGTAATCACCTCCATGTACGACACGATGGCATACATTTACTATCTCTTCCTGCTTAATGCCTCGCTCCTTCAGACTCTTCAGGAAGTGCTCAAACGCGCTAGAATGATCCTTCACGCCCTCGACTTCCTGATTCTTGATGGGCTTCTGGGAGGCGTCAGAAGCAAAAGAAAGGGAAACCTTTGCTGGCGGCGCTGTGATATTCGTGATAGAGTACGTCAGGATCAACTCCACTGGCTCGATGCCAGATTGAAGGCGGCTGCTCTTCACGAAGGCATCTGCAAGTCGAAAGAGCGAAATCTTCAGAGATGACGACCCCGCGTTGACGGCGAGGATGAGGCCTTTCTTATTTGCGCGCTCGGCCGACATCGTAGTTGGAACGAGGACTGACAGAAATTCTGTTCAAAGGTGGATATGTATACATCATACTGGTAAGGCGAAAGGTTAAGTACAAATAGCTTGTGGCTGGGATACTACTGTATGTATAACGTCACAGCTCAATGACGTCACCGGACGTGCAATCGTGAAGTTCTGAAGAGTACATACTACATACTGCGTGTAGACGATCCTCCAATTCCTTGTGCATAGACTGGGCTCTGTAGTGTATAGTAAGTCAATAGTTGTAAGATATCAACATATTGATTCTTATGGTATCCCATCATCATTTGCTAGTAGAAGACATCCGACCACTATTATACTGCGCCGGGGATGTAGGTGCACGGCTCGATGAGCGAAGCAATTCCGACGGACGCAGACAGAAGACCACACGTAAGACGAAACTGGCAGCTGCACTGGTCAGGCAGGCTGGACAAATGTCAGAACTCCCGGACCATAACGATATTAAATACATTCATACCTGGCACGCAATGCAGCGACGAGCCTTGGGGAATACACGCGCAAAGTCCTCATCAGACATGCACAAACGGTACATCCACATTTCGGTTACGTTCGGAAAGGAAATATCTTGCGGGACCTCTATCGTCTCTTCCGCACGAGTCTTCTCGGCGTCCTCTTCATAACCCGTGGCGGAGGCACGGGGATTCGTGTTGACAATTAAGATACTGCGCAGAGTCGATGCGTGAGGTGCCAGAACCGTAACGACATCGGAGGGATAGGTGGTAGACAGAGACACAGAGCGAAGACGGGACATCCCGGAAAGAGTACGTTTGGCAAGGAGGCCTGCATCGCTGAAGGTTACGCTCTCGATTCCACCGTGGTTGACTAGGGCGCGCCTGAGACGTGGTCCATGAACTAACAAGTGTTCGGTGTAGGAGAGCTCGATCCTCGCAAGGTTTCGTGCTTCTTCAATAATCTCCGCCAGCACAGAGGGCAACCCATAGTCTAGTGATGCATAGAGAAATTCTGCGGAGCCGAGGCCTCTTGGTTTGTGGCAGGCTTCGCTGCTGATTGCAATCCGTCGTAGGTACGGGATCCATATCCGGCCTCGGTCTGACAGCAAGAACCGCTTAAACGCGCGGACTTGATCCGAATGGAGGGCAAACGCGGGCGCGCGGACGAGATGGCAGGTGGCAAGGGGGAATAGTGCTTGACAGGTAACCGAAAGTTGCTTGGCTGACGAATTGTCAACGAAAAGCAGGATAACTGCTAGAATGTCTTCGTTGAGCTGAAGAAACTTCATCGGGGATAGTCAAGGCTACAAACGAGCTACGAATACTGAGGTTCATGGAAGAACCCCTTCACGAATCTCGTCAGCAATCACGAAGTCCACTTCCGGAAATAGAAGCCAGTGGTCGGTCCATATACTGGATATAGTACTTGCCCACCCATATGCATAAGAGCGGCCTCATAAACGACTTATAGCCAGGTGGGCAGCAGAAGAAGACGGTCTGCTATCCCGCTACAGAGGCTGCAGGATCCCTGCGACTGCGCTACTGTGGAATGCAAACTTGCTGCGCATGAACCCGTCACTCACACGAGACGCGAGTCGGGAGACCAAGCAGGACCAACTGGGGCCGCACGTAAACCGCACGTACATGCAATATATGCAACTGGGATCGCGGCCGTGCGATGCATGAAATGGACACGGCCTCGAAAGCAGAAGTGGAGAGACAGAAAGGCCTTACGTTTTTGAAACGCAACTTGAAACGCGTCTCAAAGTCGAACAGCTTATCCAGAGACTCAGATGAAATACAGAGACCACAAGGATTCGCGCTGACGAAACCGAACAAGGCATGACGCAGGTTATCCTGGCGCAACCATGAGCAAACGATGGGCAGACGCGAGAATTTCAGGCTAAACTCTACGTTGGAAGAAACGAGTGAGTACAAGTGGTGCCGTATGTCTGACTAGTAAACCAAGGTCTGCTGTTTGAGTGTCGAGGCCTTGAACGCTGAAATGCTCCAGCCGCACACGTCGGAGGATTAGCTGACGTAGGAACCATAGAGCATAGCAGAGCCTACGGGCGTCGATCGTACAGGTGCAGCGCAGGTCTAATCAATCAGAATAGAGTAGATAGCTTGTTTCCAAAGCGCCCGGACTTTTACATTTTACCTCAGCCAAGATAGCCGGGCTTGCTAGAGCAGATGCACGAGAGTGTTGCTTCGAGAGTAAACAGAGGCCAGGATACAACGAGGCGTTCCCAACGGAGGCAACTTGAACGGAGGAAGGGCGGTGGCGGAGCTCGAGGACACGGACCGGAGGCGCCCACGTGGGGCGCCGGATGCCTGAATTCAAAGTCCGCCGTTGCGGCTTCGCTACAGGAGCAGGCAGCTCGCTAGCGTACTGAGCCATCAACTATTCTCTATCCCCCTCCCCTCCGTTCTCTTCAGCATATCTTTCCTTTTTCCCGGCTGACGGGGTCTGACAGCAACCACCATGTCCACCCCGCACGTAATTGCGTCCTCCTCTCCGCACTCATCCCAGTCGGCTGCCGGAAACGGGATTGTGGGGAATCATTATCGTGTTGGAAAGAAGATTGGCGAAGGCTCTTTCGGAGTTGTTTTCGAGGGTAATCAGAGCAGTGGACTGGCTTGACTTCATGTCTAAAATGTCTCTAACACGCAGGGACCAACTTGCTCACAAATGAGCCCGTTGCGATCAAGTTTGTGAGTGTCACCCGCTTGTCAGCGAACTCACATCTCAGCATGTCCTCGTAGGAACCTCGAAAGTCCGATGCACCTCAATTACGAGACGAGTACCGGTCTTACCGCACGCTCAATGGCACCCGTACGTCGCCATACATACGTGTCATTGTCTAAGCGTCTAATGTCGTAATATCCGGTGCCAATGTTCCAGCTGGTGTTCCCAAGGCGCACTACTTTGGACAAGAGGGCCTCCATAATGTTCTGGTTATTGACCTATTAGGGCCTAACTTGGAGGACTTGTTTGATATGTGTGGACGCAAGTTCACAATCAAGACCGTCTGCATGGCTGCTGTACAAATGGTACGTTCAGTATATCCGTTATACGCCCCAGCGTAAGGCGGCAGAGGCCATGCTGCTCCTATCTGGCCAGCACGTTCCTTGGGACTCCTCCCGTCTTCCTGGTATTCTTGGTGAGATACAGAGGTTCGGGGAATTGCCCTTCGCCTCCCTGTGGCCGTTCACAGCATCCACAGCACCTTTCCGCTGGCTTTACAGCATCTTCTGCATTGCTGATCTCTTCCTGTCCTATCAGATCACTCGTGTCCAGTCCATTCATGACAAGTCTTTAATATACCGGGATATCAAGCCGGATAACTTCCTCATTGGTGTACCCGGCACCAAGAACGCCAATGTCATCCATATAATCGGTGCGTGCCTACCTGACACTGCTAGTCGGCACTCGCCTTTTTCTAGTTTGGCTACCGCCCTGCCTTTGACGTGGCCATGCCACCGGCTTGCGGATGAGGGTAACATATAGGCTGTTGCACGGCGAGGCCTGTCGCTCGCCAGACATGCACTTTGTCGCATGGACTACTCCTTCACTGCCTCCTTTCGTCTTCCTTTACACCGTTCCCTTTTTGACGTAAGTCAGGCCATCCGGACTGACAGCTCTGATTTTGCAGACTTCGGTATGGCGAAGCACTACCGCGACCCCAAAACTAAGCAACATATTCCTTACCGCGAACGCAAGTCACTCTCCGGCACTGCACGATACATGTCTATCAATACCCACCTTGGACGCGAACAGTCGCGGCGTGATGATCTAGAGTCTCTCGGTCACGTATTCATGTATTTCCTGCGAGGAGGACTTCCCTGGCAAGGACTTCGTGCTGCTACGAACAAGCAGAAGTACGAGAAGATCGGCGAGAAAAAGCAGAGTACTCCTATCGAGGAGCTCTGTGAAGGTTTCCCAGGTGAGACACTCCCTCTAATATCTGGTTTGACAAGAAGCGTGTCTGGAATCCCACTTCTTGTGGACGTGACTGACGGGCGCGGTCGTAACGCCTCGTAACTGTGAAATATGGCTCATTATCTTGATTGCAGAGCAATTTGCTATTTATATGAACTATGTCCGCAAGCTCGGTTTCGAAGAGCAGCCGGACTATGACTTCCTGCGCGGCCTTTTCCAAAAGGTGCTTAAGACCCTTGGCGAGCAGGACGACGGCGTCTATGACTGGATGCTCCTGAATGGCGGCAAGGGTTGGGAAGCCAGCAGTGTAAGACCTCTTTCGTCCCTTTATCTTCGTTTGCTGATTTAATTGTCAGTCATCACAAGCGTTGGCTCAGGCGCATGCGCATGCTTCACCTCGAGAGCACCGCGAACACAGGCACCGTGAACGCGACCGTGATCGTGATCACGCGCACAGACGAATGTCTCGTCAGCAAGTCCAGGACGGCTCACCAGGCACACCACTTATGCTTAGCCCTGCACCTGCTCATGTGAAGGGAAGCAGCCGCCGGCCTGCGACCAATGAGGGCAGAACCGGTTCTCGCGGAGATGTTAGCGTGCAGCCCTTAGCACCCGCCAGTCGACGTGCAAGCCAACAGCAGATATCCCGGGGAGACAGGGACAGTGCAGGGAACGGTCTATCTGCGCCTCATCCCTATGCTACCGCTCCCAGTCCTACTGGGTACCGTACGAACACATACGGACGGAACTCTCCGATTTCTCCCATGCCCGGAGGTATACCTGGCGCTGGTGGGTCTCATGGCAACTTAAACGGGTCCAACCCTGCTGTGAATGGCAACGATGCTTACCTGTATGGCAATCAAGGCAAAGCGGGCACGAACTCCAGGGAGGGGACCACCACTGGGACCGGCGTTCACCCTGGCTCAAGAGGTGTGGGCGCCTACGGCGAACAGATGCAGCGGCTTGGAGAGCAAGATGAGGAGGGCCACGGCCAAGGTAGGAAGAAAGGGTTCTGGGCGGCGCTCTGCTGCCGTGCATGACAGCCTATCGGTTTCTGGATATTCCTGGCCCTCTGATACTCTTAGTGAGCAGCTTCCTTGGTGATGCGGTCGAATAGTCGACTGACATGTTCTCTAGTAATGGATAGAATATGTGATGACTGGTGAACGACATTATGACGCACTTACCCAACACTACAAATACAATACCAGTGGACCTGTTGCACGCCTACCATCCCGCAGCATAATATTTAGACTCGCATTGTCGTCGTCACTGCCGCTCGTTTCCAGTTTTCACTTTTCTCCTTGGGGCACTCCGCTTTCCCGTGGACTACCTGCATACCGTCTTAGTTCTCTCTCCACCAGACCGTCTCAATTACTTATACTGTATCATAGCATCGATATCTTTTCTCCTTGGCTTGGCTTGGGACTGGAACTCTTGTTGCGTTGAACGTTGCTTCTCTTGTCCTCTAGCGCTTTCTATCAGATAATATATGACATCACTACGCTTTGGGTAAAGAATGGCATCGAATACATATTATTGTGCTGTTCTCGTTCCCCGGCCACATCTCTCCCAAGCATGCCTTTCAGGCAAGATACCGCTTGGTCGGCTGGCTTGCTCACCATCTCCGAACGCGCTCGCGCCAAAAACACCTTTGAAACCGTTATTATGGGCCGTACGATAAGCTCCTGAACTACCACTTCGGGGAGTCCTTCCAATTCTTCGTCGTTTTCGTTACGTTTGACAAGGACGGCAAACCGGTTCTCCAGGACGACCGCTGGGCGCGAAAAGCATGCGCAGAACTGCGCTACCGCGCGGACAGGTGCGCGAGCATTACGCGCTGATGCTCGACGAATGCCCCGTTCCCGGGCGCCTCTGGAGCCTCAGCGCTCAGCCTCCTCGGCACCTCCATGCGCGTCTACTGCGGCGGCGATGCGACGTCGTATGAGATCCCCCCACCCCACCCCCAACCGTGCGACGGCCCGAGCCTTCGTCGCGCGTGCTCCCGCCGAGAGTGGGATGTGGACATCTTGTCAGAGCAGGGATTGAGAAAAATGAAGGAGATCGTCCTCGACATTTTGGCCCACGCTATGATAGCAGGGCGTTCGATGGTGCTGGTCGGCGAGTCTGTAGTGACAAATTAATATTTTCTGGCAGCCTAAGATGCCGGTTTGTTCTTCGATTGCTAGGCTACCACTTGCGTGGATATTGTTACTTGTACATGTACTATATAGTCTCCCACCTCTGGCGGTGAGTTCATGTGGAAATACGTAATGGGACGTGAAACGGATTCAGACACTTCATGCTCGACTGTGTCAGTCCGAGTTCAGCCTGCCGAGAGTTCTCACGCTTTCACCTTCCACGAATTCGAACTTACATTACATCGGGAGGGGATCGCGTGGAAACGTCCGCCTACGTCTTCCTGGTCCGATATTGTTATTGCCAGCTTATATGACCGACAGGTCTGGCTATGGGCTTCCGGGTCGTTACTGCCATTGCGGTGCGAGCATGGCAACTCCGGGTAGACCAGCCACGGCACCAATATCACGCATGAAAGGGACGGCAAAACACTCGCAAAGGTGCATCTCGAGTACAACAATGTACAACAAATAAATTATGGTAGGTACAATGCGAACTCGATGAACTCTGGAAACCATCCGTCAGCCAAGGCCACCCGAGTGGATGTAGAGATTCCTCCCACCTTCGCCCAACCGATTGTTACATTTATCGCACTTCCCCCAGGTCAAGCAAGCATCCTCGAAGTCTTCAAGTCGAGCTCGAGATCAAAGTCTACGTCGAACCTGGATATAGGCCTGAGCTGCACGGCGGGCGCGACTTCGTGTCGGGCTGATATATTGGTGTGAGCCTTGTCCGGTGCGTTGGATCTCGACAATACTCGGTTATACCACGGCCGGCGCTGAGCGGCATGCGAAGCGGTGCGCGACTGCAGGCTACGCAGGTCGGCCTTTTCATCGGACCCGTCAGAGTAGACGGATGCGTTCCAAGGCAGAGGCGGCGGATCGACCTTCTTGAGCTATGCAGCAGTATCGTCAGACACGACAAGATGCGGATTTCCACTAGAAGACGGACCTTTTTCCTCAGGATATTACCTTTGCTCATTTTCCCAAAGGACCGCAGGGATGTCGTACTCGGGGCAGACTTGAGCAGCTCGGGCAGACGGCGAACTGCGTTAGGGTAGTCTCCCGAATCCCCTGACTCGGACGTAGACAGGGACGACCTTGTTTGCGGCATGACGGACTGGGGTGTCCTGGGAGCAGGCGCATCCTCGCGGCTCGAGCAACGCGATAAGGTGGGCGTCGGGGAGCGCGACCTCGACAAAGGCTGAAGAGTGGTGGTCGACATGGACGGAGAGACGAGGGACACAAGTGACTGGTTCGCCGAGGCGAAGGTGACGAGTTCGGGACCAGGGGAGAGGCTGGCGAAGGGGTCGTCGGGAAGGAGGTCGCTTGCAGGAGGAGAGAAGCGATCCGGGCTCATCTGGTACGGGGCGAGAGGGAGATACTGGAAAGAACCAATCGAGAGCAGCGGGGGACGCCGGGGAGTGGACGATGTCGCGAGCGTGTGCGCACGGACCCGGTGCTCGGAGGATGGACTGAGGAAGTGCTCGTGGGAGGAGGGCGAGTCGGCGGTGGGAAAGCGGAGGAAAGGTGGCGCGTCGGTGCGCGACTTGTAGTTGTAGGCCATGTTTAATTGACGGTTTCCAAGGAATGCAGACGATGACGGGTAACGAGCGTATTCAAGAATGCGACCTGACGGCGGTTAGTATACGCGTCGCAGGTGCATGCAGGCCCGGATATATAACGGCGTCGTGCGCAGATCATGCGCCGCGTCGAGGATGTGAAGGGGCCATATGAACGCAGAACTCACGAAGACTTTAGAGTTTATTCGCTCAGCGTGTGCCAGTGATCAGCCACTTGTTTGTGATCACCGCGGACTTAGGCTTTAGCTCGCCCCGCGGGTGCACTGCACAAGTGTATCAGGGAGATGGTCCGAGTGCAAAGAGAGTGTATACGTCGCCGCAGGGGCATGCGTTCTCAGCGCGAGTAAGCCAGGCACAGCCCCCGCCCGCGACATATTTATGGGCCTTTCCGGGAGAAATTGAGCAACCTCATTTCTGCGTCGGCGTTGTGCTCGGGACTCTCCCGCCGGGGCGGTGTGCGCTCCGGCGTTGCGGCCTAGACCCATTCCCTTTTATGGATTTAGATTGTGCGATCGGGCCTGAAGAAGCAGAGGGGAAGATCCCCGATCGTCCTCAACTTTGTTCTGCAGAGCTTCTCTGTGCTTCACATGCTACCCACACGACGGCTGGTTCTTTCATAGTTCATTTCTTTTCCTCTCATGACAGCGATCATCCATTATACTTTCACAATGCATCGTCCGCAAGATATCCACATGCTCTGACGCTTTCATGTTTTCGATCGTTCATACATACAACGTCATCATCCAATACCCTGTTTCATCAATTGCTGCCTGTAAGCCTCTCCCGCCCACAGAACGATTTTCTTTTCAGAATATTCTATAAATCGTGACGTATTTTCGCCCGTGAAATTTCGCTGGGGGACTCGCGAGTGGCACACAGAAGGGCAGTCCCTAGCGTCGTAGATAATGGTATACGAAGCGTGTGCGCGCTAATGGCAGAGCATGCACTAGTGCAGTTGCCGGGTGAGAAAGCAAATATCTGAATCACGCAAAAGAGTTCCAGCACGACAGCAAGTAATATTCAGAAACAACAGGTCCTACACAACCATCTTCCGCCGTGTCCGAATAAATGACCATCTCGCCACCTTGCAATTGACCAGCTCTCCAAGCCGCTGTGCCTGTACATTGACTCCCACCCTAGAGGGTGGCCGGGACACAGCCGATGGAGACGAGACCGCCTACACGAAGCGAGTCAGCAATCAAGGCATACGTATAACGCCACCCTATCCCGGGAGGCAGCCCACCATAAGAATTGTCCGAGCAGCACACAGGGTTCGCAGAGCTACAAAGTGCGCACGTCAGCCCACCACACTCATCCCACCAAAACGAATCCACGCACCAGGCATCACCGCTCCCAACCGCAACCACGCCAATCGGCGAGCACGTCAAGCCGACGAGGCCCGTGACGCTCTGCACGGCAATGCCGAGGGACCCGAGCAGCGTCGCCGCGGCGGGGTCGCTCGCGCTCTGCACGCTGTTGCAGCATTGCAGGTTGCCCGTCGCGCACTGGCCCGCGGGCTCGGTCCCGGTGGCGGCCGCAAGGACGGCGAGGGCGCTGGCGACTGCGAAGGAGAGCTTCGAGAACATGTCGGTGTTTGTGAGGCTTGGGTGCTGGGTAGGACTGCTGCTGAGTTCGATGAAGATGAGGGTTGGGTGAGGGGCTTTTATACCTTTTCTTGCGGCTTGGGGCGAGTGGGCGGTATCAGCGGGTCTTTACTGGTGCCGCTCAATGAGAATGACATTTGCGCTGCGTCACCGTCATCGCTGACATTGACCAAGGGAGGGATTTCATAACACTGGACCCGGACATCACAGTCGTGGTCCCGAGCCAGGGAAGGAGGGTAAAGAAATGGGATCACATCCGATTTGAAAAAATTGACCGCCCTACCTGCGACAACAAAGGTATCCCGTCAATGTGCTTGACTTCAACACGGGGTCGACGTCATTTAATTCAATTGCTAAAAAAATGGAAGTCGTGAATCTACTCACATTACGGTAACGTATCCTGCCACCCGTCCGTCGCTAGGATGGCCAGACGTGGCGCCGCGAGAAAGAGAACCTAACCCCCGTGCGGGTCTTTCCAGACTTACCTATTACACGTCTGACCTTCCGCCAGCTTGCTTTGTCAGGGAACGACTGGACGTTCCTGGGCATGTTCTTGCTCCCAAGAAATAAACCCTCCACGAGACATCAAACGCCACCCGAATACATTATTGAAAGCGAATGTGTCTTGTGGGCCCAGGAGGTTTCTGTAGCCAGACCAGCAAGGGCGGACGGAGGCAGTACGGCCCAAGCCTGAGGATGGCACTCGTTCGCATTACCAACCAGCCAATGGCTGCCTCGGGTCTGAATTCTGATTGTCAACGAACGAGTCAGGCGGGGCCCTTCTTCGATCGACTAGGTTAGGCATTTTGTCAGTGGGTGGCCATCAGTACGTAGCTATAGGCTGATGTCGGTGGCACTTGTCACCTATAATTCGCCAAGCCGTGATGCGCCTTGGGTATACGCGGATTCCTGGGTTATCCCGAGTGTATTAGGACATGATCGTTGGCTCATACCTCGCGTAACCCCAGTGATTTCGCGACGCATGGTGCATGGTCCCGCCGGGCAATGAAGGGTTCCCCTTTGTTCTTTGATATGGAGAGAAACGTCCCGAACGGTTCCAGCAAGGGCTTGGTGCGAGAGCTGTGAAGTCCAACCTAAGTATGGTCCCCACCCAACTGAGTCACTAAGAGAACAGAACCGATATTCCTGGCCTTGAAGCACCCCCGAAATACCCTGGTCCGAGACCAGTAACGACAGAACGAGGGAAATTTGATGAATCCGTCCTTGAGTTAGGTGCACATACCGAGCGAAATTTCCTGCTTGGGGTTGAGCAATACTAATAGCCCTTCGTCCTTCATGTAGACGAGCAGGACCCAACCGTGACTAAGAACTAGCACGGGGGAGTCCCAGGCAGAAAGATACTCGCATGTAATACAGCACTGACATCCTGTTGGTGCGCATCCGGGACTCGTGGACGTCCAGAGGGGAGAGGGTGGAAGCGGTGTATGTACCTTGATCGCGGACACACCTCGGCTCCGCACTTTGACCCAGTACCGACCTGAGCGAAGCGCTCCATGGGGTAATATCTGTGTTTCCTCATGCCATAGACCGTTAAGATAGTCAGTCCATGGAGCCTGAAGCGGGCTGGCTTCTTAGGTCTGCGGCAAAACACCGATTTCCTAATCAAGCTCCACGAGTTCGTTGCACAGCCACTCTTCAGGACTGGCGCGAACATTCAAGTTGCAGTAAACCTCGGTCGTCAAGTTCAGATGAAGATACACTGAGATCGACGATCCGTCGATTTGAGAGCATGAGCACTTCCGACACCGCACATAGCATTCGAAAACAGGAAAAAATTCATTTCGATGAGCACTACATATTTGGCAAAGGCTACAACCCCTTATACGACGCATCAGGGTCTGTCTCCGGGCTCCACGAAATAGCTAAGTCCATCAGCGTCCCTTGTAGATGAATTCTGCAGTTCACTCGACTTTAGAGAGTGACCGGGACGCAGCCGATGGAGATGAGGGAACCTAAGTTGAGCGAGTCAGCATGCGGCCGGAATGCTGACACTCCATTCGCCCTAGTAAATGCCCTACCATAAGAGTTGTCGGTGCAGCACACAGGACTTTCGTTGCTGGAAAATTATATTCAGTACACTGGACAGACATGGACAACGAGAATGTCCACATACCAGGCGTCACCGCTTCCAACGCCAACCACGCTGATGGGAGAGCAGGTCAAGCCCACCAGGCCCGTGATGCTGCCCACTGCAATGCCAAGCGATCCGAGTATGGTGGCGACGGCGGGATCGCTAGCGTTCTGGACGCTGTTGCAGCACTGCAGGTTGCCGGTCGCGCATTGACCAGCGGGCTCGGTGGCGGCAGCAAGGATGGCGAGAGCCCCGGTGACAGCGAGGGAGAGCTTGGAGAACATGGTAAGAACTTGAGTCGTACTTCGGTTGTGAGTTCGATGAGGAGCACACTCACTTTAACAGCACTTTTATACCTTTCGGCCACAGTATAGAACAGCGGACTGTTAATCGAGACATGCCATCCACCCGCACCGTCACAGTCAGGACTTCGTCTCCGTGTACATCCCCAAGTGACCCCATCCAAGTTGTCTGTGGTTGTACGAAGGTATTCAATAGTAATACCACATCCCGGCGTTTCTAAGTGGTGCGATTGCAGATGCCTTCCGCGTGCATGGCAACAAGTACCATTCTGCAGACAAATCTTCGGATCCGGGCTCATGTTGCTGAGAGCGTGACCCTTGCAGGACGCCATACATTCGCGAATACAGCGATCAATATAGAGCGCCACAGACGTCACGGAATGGTTCAATGAGCCGAATTCCTTCATACCGCTGTTTTTGTGCGGGAGAAAGATGCAGGTCCCCGAGTCTACATTCAAAATCAGGACGAGAAAGAGCGAGTGAAATGGTTACGAGTCGGACCCGCTATTCTTGCGGTGTTCCTATCATGTATGATGGTGGTCACGCTGCCCGGAGAACACAGACCGGCCTAATAGTCCGCTTGAGCCCCAGACGTCAGAGAACAGAGAGACGTGGCATGAACGTCTACGCAGGTTATAAGGTAGGCGGTTTGACCTGCTTTTAAATTGACTCCGCAATCGGAGCACGTCGATACATGCATGACCCTAGGCGTGTTTCCGTACGGGGATTCTTTGTCTCATGCCCTGAGCCGTTACGCTGAGCTCACCGTTGATACGGCAGTTTGATTCTACTGGAACCCAGACAAGGCCGGGGTCGTGTGTTCGCCGAAACTGAGGATAACGCTCAGAAGTGGCACAGGTAGCGTGAGGTCCTGATCTCGACAGTCACGTTGGAAAGTGGCTTTCACTGAAATTGGCTGGCCACAAGAAAGGAGGGGTGCTTAGCTGCGTCGATCGCCGAGGACTGCAGGAGTTGAAGACAGATGGCACATCGGCAAGCACGGAAGTGGCTGTGCACGTAGTTGCATAGAATCGCTCTTTTAGGAAATATGTTTCCTTCCGGTTGTTCAACTTGAACCACTCTACTCGAGGGTGCAAGCTCTAAGAGACGAGCCATCTACGAGACCCACTACCCTTGTAACCTTGCTTCTAGCTTTTGAACCTACCTGGCATGCAGATGAATCACAATGTATAGGTGGAGTGTTCAAGCGCGGTTACAGTACGCAGATCGATCACCAGACCAATGCCATAATTCTTTGAATTGCGGGACACTCAAATGTTCGCCCTCGCGTATGACTAATAGCCACTACTTGGTCCACAGCGCCAAGGTAACATTTATCTGCCTTGGGAAATCAAACCAAGGTGATGATTGGCAGGGCTTGATGATGACCAGCAGCAGTTCTCTAAGTATCGCGCTGTGCAGCATACAGACCCGCCCTCAGAGGGCTGCGCTCTCATATATGCTGTTGGAGTTGCTCGCCTAATTTCCCTCACAGACGAGCTTGACTGCTGTCCAGACACTGCAGGAAAGTCGTACCAGCGTGAGCGCTTTCCATCCTTACGTTCGTCCCGAAACGGCGCTGATGCTCGGGATTAGGGCGCCTTTGTCCTGCCGCGGTAGTATTTGGGCCATCATCCTGCTGGTAATCTTCTGCCATTTGCCTTCGTCAGTGGGGTCCGTGCTGTCTACGAGTGACGAGCGTTCTTGAGTGAAATGTTTTTCCTTCGCACCGCTCGATCCCCGCATAGGACGGACGTTCTCACCGACACAACCACGGGACCGAGTGCGTTGCCGTTCTGTGAAGTGCGGAACTTTCAGCTTCGACAGGCGCTCCACTTTGACATATCGGAATGAGGTATCGCTATGTTTTCCGCAGAAGTGTTCTCGATTGTACGAATGTCACAGACGCGTATGTGAGCCAGGAACAGGGACGAGCATGCGTTGTCCCAATGGTAGAACCTAGAGGTGAGTACGCATTGACCATCATGCAGCTGACCCTTTCTCGAAAGTGTTTAGGATTAACCGGGGCCGTACGAGCCATCCTGAGGAGAATAAAAAAGGTATAAAAGACACTCCAGCTACGCCCTCCGACTCCATCGAACTCAGCAGCAGTCAGACTTCACTTCAAAGCCTTAAAGATGTTCTCCAAGTTCTCCATCGCAGTCACCGGCGTCCTCGCCATCCTTGCTGCCGCCACCCCCACCCCCAATGAGCTCGCCAGCCAGTGCCCAACAGGCGAGCTGCAGTGCTGCAACAGCGTCGGCAGCGCGACCGACCCAGCCATCGCGACCATCCTCGGCTCGCTGGGTATCCCCGTCCAGGGTATCTCGGCTCTCGTCGGCTTGACGTGCTCTGCCATCAGTGTCGTCGGTGTTGGCAGCGGCGACAGCTGGTATGTTACTGCTGAGATATGGGCGGGATAATTGCTGATGGCCTCCTGGTCAGCACCGAGACTCCTGTCTGCTGCACCGACAATTCCTATGGTTTGCGCCTACGCTTTCTGCTATTCCACATTTGCTGACTCGCGTCACCGTTTTCAGCCGGTCTCGTGTCGCTCGGCTGTGTTCCGGTCGATTTGTGATATAAGCCATTGTGAGGTCCTATGGAGGGTGACGTACCGCACGAAGAGATGAAATGAGAGATATAAACCGAGCGTACTACGGAGTGTAGGGGAGTTGACAGTGGGCAAATGAATCAGCGTTTTGCGCTTACTTGACTGGATATATCTCATGCTATGATACTTAAGATCTAAGACATGAGGGCACGTTCGAATCAATCCTCGCTAGTACTCAACTTCAGGCCTCGAATGCTAAGACGAGGAGAGGGTCTAACCTGATGCGGTCATTATATCAACATCACACAGCCACTGGAGTTAGGCTTCTGAGTTTAGCTCAAATGAACTCCACCATCATGGTGGCAATAGTGAAATTGCACTCTATACTCTAGTAATTGGCCTCAACTACGATGAATGACGAGTGTCGTCGACGGGGATCGCTCTGTACGCTGTCGAAGGGGTTTCACCACTGTCGCGGTGATAATCTCCTCCGACTGCATGCTCCCGCGGTGCGACTCAAAGCGCTGACCCTCCATCACCTTGTCTATGCCATGGAACATATTCCTAACAGCCGCCGGTGAGCGAAATGAAAGCGGACCATGACAGGACATGGGAACTCGTGCGATGACCCACGCATGACCAGCAGCACTCTCCCTGCCTGGGTGCTTAGAGCCGGCTTCCAAGCGCCTCCGGCGGCATGGTCGGGACGGGTGTACCGGTCGATTTATGCTATGCTCCTGACCGGTACCAGCGGGTCCGACTGCTAGTGATTACCCACTAGCATCCTGCTGCCTGACGGCTGCCTGATGGACTGCCAGTTATATCACCGTAAGCCTTGTTGTTCCCCACATTTGCCAAGCAATTACCTAAACATACAGGCAAGAGCCTGCCGGGTCTAAATGCTAGGTACTGTCATACTGCCACACGGAGGCAATTCGAGGGATCAGTGGGTCAGTGATTTCTTTGTTTTACTGACGTCGCAGCTTAGCGCGACGTCGGGATGATGCGCGATGGGTGAGGAGGAACGTTCCTCGTGAAATGTTTTTATTTCGCAGACTATTATCCTCGCCCTGGGTGACCGCTCTCACCGTTGCAGCCACGAGACCCAGCGTGCTGCTGTTGTTCAACGGGCGGAACTGGTGGCTTTGTTAGCCACTCCACTTCGACGTGCCGGGATGAGGTGTTGCTATACAATGCCTGCAAGGGACCGTCAGCTGCATGGACGCAACATTGTGGTCTGCCAGGAACATTGACGGAATGTGAGGTGAGTGCGCACTCACCGACGTCAACGAGCATGCATCTGACCTGGATTTCCCGGGCCCGTACAACTTGAAGCCAATCTGAAAAGTATAAAGGCGCCCCAGCTACCGCCTCAATCTCGTCGAACTCAGCAGCAGTACGACCTCAGTCCGAAGCCGTAACGATGTTCTCCAAGCTCTCGCTCGCAATTACCGGCGCCCTCGCCATCCTTGCTGCCGCCACCCACGCCCCGAACGAGCCCGCCAGCCAGTGCCCGACCGGCGAGTTGCAGTGCTGCAACAGCGTCGGGAGCGCGACCGACCCTACCATCGCGACCGTCCTCGGTTCGCTTGGTATCCCCGTCCAGGGCGTCTCGGCCCTTGTGGGGTTGACGTGCTCTGCTGTCAGTGTCGTCGGTGTTGGCAGCGGCGGTAGCTGGCAGGTGTTGCGCGCTGCTGAGGTGTGTGGCGCCACTGATATCGAAACTTTCTAGCTCCGCGACTCCGGTGTGCTGCACTGACAATTCTTATGGTGCGCCTATGTTTTGATGTTCCCAGTACCTATTTATTTCACGGTATACTGACTGGACAAACTTGCAGCGGGTCTCGTATCCCTCGGCTGCGTCCCCGTCAGCGCTTAAGCGAGATTTGGACGAAGACTATCTTGCCAATGTTGCTTGGGAATGGCCTTAATGAAGTGGTGACATTGTGGTGGTGGGGAGGATGTTAAGCATTTATATATGCAAATGTTACTGGGTAGTTGTCCTTTAGTACGAATCAGGCCTGAGATATGAGCTGAGAGAGGTCCCCAGGCTTAAGAATTTGAGATCGAGTGGTACAAAGCGACCCAGAAAATGTTCGCTGACTGAAGCACGAGCTTCAGTCGTCCCCTTGACCTCGCCACAGTCCAGAAGAATGCGCGAGCTGTGATTGGTCTGAGGAGCCGGCGGTATCGATCGATCGAGAGGTCTTCTCCCGGCGGCTTCGAGTTGAATTTGCCTCCGACGATCTTCCTTCTGGACATGACAAGCACGCCAATTGGATCGGACCAATCCTGGCGCGAGGAGATCAGACTGCCGCAGAGGCTGGTCGCCATATCTGGCCAGTCACTAGCGCGTCGCATGTTCTGCAACTCCAAATCGCTCGCTTCTTTGCTGCTCTTGTCCTGCGACAGCGTGCTCGTTCTGTACAGAGTGACGCAGACCGTGACGAGCAATGACACCCTTTCACATCGCCAGCCACACATAAACCCCCTCTGACGCCAGTCTCTGCCCAACTCTCCTCCTCGTCTCCCATGGCCTCGCTCGCTCAACAAGCCAAGCAGGGTATCGCTGAAGCCGTCGGTGCTACCGGCGCAGACCCGCGCGTCTGGCAACGCAGCTCCGTCTTTATGCAGGCTAACCAAGGCCCCGCCTCCATCTGCGCCCGTCTTACCGGCCTCAAGGAGGAAAGAGCCAAGGACGACGCCCCGTACTTTACCAACAACGAGGGCATCCCCTGGCCTACGCCCAACTATACCCTCAATGTCGGCGGCATTCCTGTCGTCAGCGACGTCTTTCTCTTCCAGAAACAGCAGCATTTCAACAGGGTAGGTCTTCTACCTTATCAACCTGTATGACGCTGAAGCGCATACATGCTAGTCCAAAACCCTCGAGCGCATGGTCCACCCCTGCGGCTCTGGCGCCTTTGGGTACTTTGAGTGCACTAAGGACATGTCCCATCTCACGAAAGCCTGCCTCTTCTCTACCCCGGGAAAGAAAACGCCCGTCTTCACCCGCTTTAGCACCGTTACCTACGGCAGAGAATTCCCCGACGAGGGCAGGAACCCGAGAGGTTTCGCCACCAAGTTCTATACCGAAGACGGAAACGTGCGCATATCCCCCTTCTTTTTACTGATCGACACCCATTTATTCTGTCACAGTATGATATAGTCGGCCTCAACTGGCCCATCTTCTTCCTCCGCGACCCCATGAAGGGTCCGGATAATATCCGCTCGCAGCAGCGCAACCCGCAGAACTTCATGATCGACTACGACAGCTGGTTCGACTACCTGGCTTGCAACCCCGAAAGTATGCACGCTGGGCTGATGCTTATGAGCGACCACGGCACTCCAGTTGGCTGGAGGTTCATGAACGGTTATGGTAGGCCTTCAGACATCTCATCTGCATATTCTCACCCAGGTTGCGCTAGGTTGCCATACTTTCAAGTGGGTCAACAAAGATGGCCAGGCCGTCTACATCAAGTATCACTTCATGAATGAGACTCCAAACAAGAATTTCACGTGGGAGGAAGCCGTCAAGGTATGTGGCGAAGACCCTGATTTCTCCAAGTACGCGCACCAGCACCTTCTTCTTGATCGTACCACTAAAGCTCCTTCCGACAGGCGGGAGCTTTGGGCGCATATCGAGAAGGGTGGCGAGGCAGCTTGGAAGTTGCACGTCCAGACCATGTCGCCCGATGAGGCGGCCAACTTGGACTTTGATCCCTTTGACGTCACCAAGGTGTGGCCCAGGAAAAGGTTCCCCATGCAGGAGGTCGGGCGTTTGGTGCTGAATCGTAACGTGAGCTGTACGCTGCCATACTTCGTTGAATCTCTCTCAATCATGCTCTTGCGTGCGTGCAGCCCGAAGATTACCACAGGGACGTTGAACAGGCCGCTTTCTCCCCCGGATCCATGATCCCCGGCATTGAGGCATCGCCAGATATGCTTCTACAATGGCGCTGCTTCTTCTACCGTGACGCGCAATACCACCGTCTGGGAGTCAATCTGCACCAAGTTCCTGTTAACTGTCCCTTCATGGCCTCGTCCTACTCTAGCATCAACTTCGCTGGAGCCCTTAGGACCGACGCCAACACTGGCATGAACCCGCATTACAGCCAGAACAGCTACGACACGCCCGCCTTCAGGCCCGACACGGACTCCCATCCTGTACAGGTCGGGGACAATATCCTCAGCCGCAGGAGTCACTATATGCACGAGGGTAAGCCGAGCGAGTACGATCAGGTCAGGGAGCTGTACCAGCGCGTCATGAGTGCGGAGGAGAGGGCCAACACGCACAAGAATACGTGTGTCTTTCGATTCGGAGACACTTTAGACAGAACGCTGATGAGACTTTTGAACTAGCGCCGTCGTGCTGAAGCTGGCGATCCCTCGCATTCAGCGCAAGTATTTGGCTCAGTGCTACGCCGTCGACCCGGCTTATGCCAAGGGCATCTATGATTTGTTGCCCTCTCCGGCGTTCTCGATGGAGGAAGTTAGGAACGAAGCCAAGGACGCTCACCTAGTCGGAATGGAGAAGAAATATGCGCCCGTCAATAGGTTCAACGGGAGGTGTCCTGTCGAGCACAGTGCTTAAGAGGGACAGCGAGCGGGGAAGTATCGTCATGAAGGAGACAAAGGTGTATCATACCATGTATTTGTAGGTATTCGCTGCGAGAGTCAAATGCGTGCAGGTTGCGATATCATGCCTCAATGTTGCCTCAATGCGCCTCATTTACTGGACCGGACCGGACCGGAGACGGCAGAATTCATGAGTCCAGCAATGGTCTGTTGGTATACATTCGGTCCTAAGACTGTCCCAACCTGCACAACAGAGCATCTATCTATTTGGTGTCTTTAACGCGTCGGGGCGCCGCTCTCCTGAGGGAAGTTCGTGATCTGGGTCGCGGTACCGGTGAGCTCGAAGGAGGAAGTGATGAGTCCCGGCGTGTCGACCGTGAAGGTATAGTTCCCGGGATACACCCACAGGTTGCCGTAGTTGTCAGCCCTCGCGAGGGAGCCAAGGGTAACTGGCAGAGACGCGACCGAGAGACCGTAAGACGCGGGGATAGCGTGCAGCCGGGTGTAGGAAACGAGCTGTTTGTTGGGGTACGGCGCAGGTCCGTACGTGCCGTTCAAGAAGAGCAGCGTGACATAGTCGGACGTCACCGTCCCGGCGTTCCGGACGAGCACGTTGAACGTCCCGAAGGGCGCGCTGTCGAGGTAGGGCGACAGCCGGCTCGCCTCCTGCACGAGCGTCTGGATGCTGTACGTCCCCGAGGGCGCGACGAGCCAGCTCAGCTCGAAGGTGGTGTAGTGCAGCCCTGTGCCGAACTCGTAGACGGGCGCGCCGGTGTACCACTTGTAGGTGCGCCCGGGGTTCGTCGCGCTCGGGCGGAGGGTCATGTCCGTCATCGCGACCTGGTTGACGTAGTCGGCGGGGTACTGCGTGGTGGTGAGACGGCCTGCGGGCGCGACTTTGCCGGAGAGAATGTCGAAGAGCGCGGTGCCGCCGCTCTGGCCGGGGTAGCCGGCCCACACGAGGGCATTGACCTAAATGACATCGGTTCAATCAAAGTTTGATTCCGGCACAGATGCGTGGGAAACTACTCACGGTAGCATTGTTCTTCAGGACCGTGTCGTCCACTTGGCCACCTCCGAACTGCACCACGACAAACGGCTTGCCGACCTGCTGGAGCTCCGCAATGAGATCCAGCTGGTTACCCGGCCAAGTGATATTGTATCGGTCAACCTCTTCCCTTTCGACTGTCTCGTCTATGCCTCCAGCGTAGATAACGGCGTCAGCTGCTTCGGCTGCGGCGACTGCAGCAGCGAAACCACTGGTGTCGTTGGACGTGATGTTCGTGCCGAAAACGTAGGTGACGTTGTACCCCGCGGTCTGTGCCGCCATCAACGGGCTAATGAGATACGGAGCAACACCCTGGTAGTTGCCCTGCATGGCGGTTGTGGCGTTTGCCCATGGCCCGATGAGAGCAATGTTCTTGACCGACGAGTTCAGAGGAAGGGTGCCGTCGTTCTTGAGCAGCGTGATCCCCTCAACGGCAGCGGTGTACGCCAGCGTCTGCGCTTCCGGAGTGTTAACTTGGCTCCAGCCGTATTGGCGGTATGGCTGAATGGCGGCTGGGTCGAAGTATCCCAAGCTTGATAGACGTCAGCACGTGGCAACAACATCCAATGCATGCCAGGCTTACCGAACGAGAGAGGCATACTGGCGAACAAGGGCATTGTACAGCTGAGTCTCGGAGACTAGACCTTGAGCATAAGCATCGGGAAGAGCCTCGGCATATACCGAGCCGCAGTCGATATCCGTTCCGGCGTTCATGGCATCAGCGACGGCTTCTGCGAGGGTAGCCGTGTAATTGTGCGGGCTGTAGATATTGTCGACGGCATCACAATCGGAGGTAACCCAGCGGTCTTCAGTAAGACCCCAGAATTCTCGAAGCACGTTTTGCAGCAAGTAGGTATTGGCGCAGGAGGGTATACCGTTTACGGCGTTGTAGCTGCACATGACCGAAGCGACTTTGGCGTCTCTCACGCAGCTCTGGAACGACGGGAAGTAGTACTCGCTCATGTCTTGCTCCGTGATGACAGCGTTGAAACCATAGCGGACGTAGCCATTCCAGTCTTCCAGGTCGTAACCCGCAAAGTGCTTGCAGGTGGCGGCGATCCTGAAGTACGGCTCGGGATCAAGACCGCCCTGAAGACCCTGGATGAGGTTGTAGACGTATTGCGCAACGTGGTACGGGTCCTCGCCGGGAGTCTCTTGGCCACGACCCCAGCGCGGGTCCTTGAACGGGTTGATGTTCGGCGTCCAGTAGTCCAAACCGGCCCTCCCGACATTGTTGAAAGCACGAGCTTCCGTGCTGACAACCGTGGCAACAGCCAGGATCAAAGGATCGTCGAAAGCGGCACTCATAACGATCGGTTGAGGGAATGAAGTCGCATAGCTGAACTCTCCCGAGGTGGAGAAGTTGACACCAGGACTAATGGCTACGCCGTGCTACACAGCGATAGTGAGACTCTAGAAGACATAGTCAGGCAATGCCATGGCATACCAATGCTTCAGACCACCACTGGTAGGCGGGAAGTCCCAAGCGAGGCACACCGGGAGACGTGTTGACGGTATTGTTGATCAGTTCCGGCACGGTAAACTGGTCGATGATGGCGCGGGCGCGGGTGATGGGGTCCAGGGTAATGTCGCAGACAGCGTTCCCGCTGAGCGGCGCCGAGGAGCAGTCAGGGAACGCATACGCTGCGACATGTCCGACAGCCAGCAAGACTGTCGCCAGGAGGGAAGCCCACATGCCGCGCATAGTGTACGACTGCGATGTCGTGCACCAAATCCGATATTGGCATCGCCGTGGTGCTTATATTTCGGAGGACAGGCGTCTATGTGCTAAGCCCGAAGGGCCAAGGCATTACCTATCTTGAGTCCCAGCGGACCGGCGGGAGATAATCGGAGAAGAAGCCGGCGAACGTACAAAGAAGCCTTATTATTGTCATCTGAGATGTCAGGAGGCGCATATATTCGGGTATTCCGTCCAGAGAAATCAACACGACCGTCAGTGCCCTGCTCAGAAGTCCGACGTACCCCTTGAAGTCGGATTTAGACGTGAACCGTGTCCAGGCAAGAATACAAGCAGTAAATCGGATTCGCCTGGGTAACGTTATTCCGCAAGCCGAGCTGCACGTTGTGCATCAGGCTTCGACCCGACGGGTGCAGTACCATGAGGGATTCAAGTTCGGAGTACTTTCCGAAGTTCGTCGCGCTCTTCGCCATTGCGTAGGAGAGTGGTCCCGGCAAAGGTCGAAATGGAGGCCTTAGCATGGAGAGACATGTACAGACTGCATAGAGGGTTCTCGCTTGATCATCGATCTTCAGTTGAAATATAGGACAAGTGCAGCTGATAAGTTACCCAGCTTCGACGTCACATGGGTGAGAGCTTGCATCCAGGAATGTGTTGCAGAGCTGAGAGCATTGTCGGACGATGCTGCGAGTCGTCTGTGACTCGGAGTGCAACAAGTCCGAGGGAAAGACGCAGAACGGGGCCGGTCCGGGTGCAGTCCGGCCCGTCCACCCGGTTCAGTCATTCTGCAGCTGGGAATACTCAAGGAAGGTCAATGTTAGTAGTCCTTAAGCCTTAGCCCTCAAGTCGGACTCTCAGGCAGACGAAGATTGGTGGGTATGTTCTGTTTGCGTGCACCCTGGTCAAAACTCAAGGCCGATGGCAGGCTACAAGTCCTATTACGATCGATGTTACACTTGACTCGCCCCAGACGTCCACCGGATTCCAAGTGTGAAGCTTCGACAGAATCCCGTCCGCCATTTTTCGTCTGAAATACTGAAGTACACACGCTATGGCTTAATTTTCTACGAGTAGACTTCTTGCTGGCGAAGAGCCGCCTGAAGTTGCCAGTGCGAAAACGCCTCAATCGATTCTGTCTCGTCTACATATTCTGTCCAGCCAGGATCAAGCCGATAGCTCTCGCCCCACAACCCTCGCCAACTCGACGGTCTCGTCCATAGCCCTCTTGCTCCACTTCGTGAACTGTATGAACCCGTGCGTAAGGTCTTCGTGGTTCACGTACAGGACCTCGTTCCCAGCCTCCTTCAGTTTCTTCGCGTACTCGAACCCGGTGTCTCGGAGCGGATCGAACCCGTTGGTGACTATAAACGCTTTGGGTAAATTCTTGTGGCCTTTATCAAGAGTCTTGTCGGCAAGCAGGGGCGAAATGTCGTAATCAGTGTGGTTCTTGCCTTCAGACATGATATCGTGTTCAGACCACGTAGTCCGGAAAGAGGCGGAACCCCATCTCACCTTGTGGCAGCATATTCCAGGCGAACAGGAACACCCCTTGCGTCTCGAGATATAACCCGGTACAGTTCTCGGAGCCTGCCTGAGTCTCGAAGGGAACTTTGCATTCCGGATACAGAAGAACTTGCAGCGCGATCTTCGGTCCGCTCTTTTCTCTCATCCGCAGGGCGGTTACAGCGCTCATATTACCCCCAGCACTGTCGCCTCCGACCGCGATGCGGTTAGGGTCGACACCGCGAGCAGAGGCTTTCTCATGCAGCCACTTCAAAGTTGCCTCAACTTCGTGAAGCTGAGTGGGGTACTGGTCACATAGGTCAGCGGATGTGTTGATAGCCTAGAGGAGGCGGAATATATGTGCGTTCATTGAAAGGCTACGTACCTTCCACTCCGGTGCCAATCGATACTCGAGCGCATATACCTGCACCCCGCCCTCTTCTGCCATAATCCGGAAGAACGTGTCGAATTCAGGGAGACTCCCCACCGTCCATCCTCCGCCGTGAATATAAATCAAGGCGCCGGCTTTATCCTTGGCTTGTCCCTTCGACTGCGTCGACGGGTGGTAGCACCGCACGTTCATATCCCCCACGGGTCCCGGGAGAATCAGAGGTTCTACCTTAACATGCTGCAGGTGCTGGGGAGGCGCAACGGCAAGCACCTCGGTGTGGTGGCGACGTTCGTCAGTGAAAGGCTCCTTCCCTCCCAACGTCAGTTTGGTGGACTGAAGAAAAGCCTTGATCTCTGGGTCGAGCGTGGATCGGCGGATGCTCTGTGGCAGGTCAGCTGTGGTGACTACTTTGTCGACGGAAGACATGCTGGGCGTTGTTGGAGGGCGGCGAGTGAAAGAAGCTGGTTGCACTGGCCGTGTCTTTACATACGTTGAGAGGAGACTGTGTCCTATGTCATACCGACGTCCTCCTCATCGTTGGTGACGTTCTATTTTGATTTAAGTATTCGAGCTCGCAGACGTCTGCCTTCAACGCTGCGCCAAGTTGGGAACGAACGATGTCATTACACCTCGTCGCCATTTATGGATACACTCCTTCCTTATCGGTAAGGGTGGCTGACGTCCAGCCGCCAGTGTAAATCACAACTTCTTGGGTACAGAAGGAGGTGGGCTAAGCCTTGTCTCAAAGCACTCCGTCCACTGCGCTCTGTCCGCCATTACACTGTCCCCATGATGCGCTCTAGTCCATCTTACTACGTACTTTCCATCGCTGGTACCCTTCATCTATCCGAAGAGAGGCCTGCTGCACCATCCTCTAATGGGCCGCGACAGTCAAGCCCAACCCTCACCAATTTTATACGCTTCAGAGCCGAACAACCTGTTCCACTCGCAGGAAACCTCAGCCATCGCTCCGGACCATTGGCACGAAGGACTTCGGCCCTTCACCGGATGCAGCAAGCACGATGGTCGATGCAACAACGCCATATAGTACTGACAAGTATACAAGCGCACTTATGCTCCAACAAGCTGCTAATCATTGTTATTCGCAGGAAGCCAGCGTACAAAGCGTGTCGCGCATGAAACCGGTTGTCTCCCGTCCGGCTTCGTGTGTGGACCCATCCGGCTGCTAGGCCGCGACCACGCAGTCCCTTCAGTGTATCATATTTCTAGGAAGACACGGGCAGATCGTGGGACGAGGATCCAAACGTTGTAAAGGGACATATTGTATACCCTATGAACTTGTATTTGCATACTGGAGATCTCGGGTATGGCCGATCAATCATAATCAGACGCCCATAATCCGGCCATACAAAGTTCACAGAAAGGTACCCTGCGAGATTCCTGTACAGCCCGATTTTAGTCAGGGGGCCCACGCCGCATTACATCCCTCGAGCATGCTCTCCGAGCTGCGCAAAGCTGTCATCTCCTGACTCACCATCATGAGTGCTGACTTAGGAATCGGCGCCGCTTCCATGGGCATAGCTCTAGTGGCACTCGGTGCAGCAGTAATGCAAGTCACGATGGCGGTCGACGTCGAAGAGCGTCGGAAGGGCAAGACCGACCGCCTTGCCCTGGGAGACTGGGCCATCGATTGGCCTCAGCTCAAACTCCTCATACACGTCTTATGCAGAGCGTTTTGGTTGCAGTCTCCGTGGGGAGATCCTAGAGAACTGACGGTACCTTTCATTACTGTTGGAGAGATAGAGAAATACCTGTTCGCAGAGAGCGCGGCTGCAAGTAGGGAAGATCTGCACAGGAGGATGAAGGACAGACTGGTAGAGTCTGCGACCAAGGCGTTCTCCGCCGGCGATGGACGATACACAGGCAGGATGTACGCAGTGCGAGAGACCACACGGAAGTCCTGCGAAGCCTGCTGGTCCGACGCCATGAACATGTGCGGACTCACCCGGAGACACTGGTCGTTGTTGACCAGGGTGAGCGCGCAGCCGTGCGACGGCGTGATCAGGCCCGCCAACGCCGTCACGAACCTGCACAGTTTGTGGGGCTTCGGCAGAGTGATGGGACTAAGACAGGTCATCTGTTCGGGGTCGCGCATCACGATGACGAACGGCGGGGCGTCGCTGTACTTGGACCTCTACGCCGGCGTTGATCGCCCCATCCGACTGGCCCACTTCAGCGGCTCGCCGAATGGGAGGTACATGATCATCGAGGAGATGTCGCAGCACACGGCACAGTCGGTCTATGCAGACGCCGTGTGGGCGGCAGGGTGTGTACCGAACCCGATCAGACTTTCTCCTACTGCCAAAGCCCTTCCCGGCCCAAACCCCTCGCGCACTAGTCTGAGCTTGCCAGATGCATTCACGTTCTCGACGGAGAAGAAGGTGACATGCCATATTGATGACAAAGGTTTGGCAGAGGAGTTCTACCAAGTCCTGTCCAGCAGTCCAAAGACAGATTCAAATGCCATGAATCTGTTAGAACTCGTCGGCTCCTCGGCCATCCTACCATGCATCAGGACGTACCCAGTTGGCAAAATTCCAGAACGCCAGTTGCGCGCATGCTATGCTGCATTGCTGTGGTGCACACGAAACTGGGGATTGTGTCCCATACTGTCGACATCCCGTGACCTACCTTCCCTGCCCTTTCATGGGACAACATATATCGGACCCGAATTCGTGACAAACGCCCAGCAAGCACGAGCCTGGTCTCGCATGATGGATTCCAATGAGTTCTCCCTTGTCCCAGTCAACGAGCAAGCCTGGCCTACTGTAGTGGAATATGCAGAACGCAAGGCTGAGGATGCAGACGACAAGGTGGCGCTGAACAACAGAGCGTGTACGATCGCCGTCAAACTCTTGCAGATCTGGAAGTTAGCAATCTGGAGCGATTTACAGTCCCCAGCGTCCGACCGCTCGTCCGATAGTCAACGCAGCGTTTTGACCGCGCGGTTGGCAGCCGTCACAATGGCCTCCATAGCCGTAGCCACGGATAGTACAATCATCGGGGACGACGAAGAGAACAAGGCGATGGAGATAGAGCTGGGCTGCGCATTATGAATGTTTTGGACGTTTGGACGTAAGCTGTACTCCCTGGACTTTGCTCGCGATCGATACTTGCTCTTCTGGTAGAAGCCATCCTGCTTCGAGGCCATTCCTGCATCTTGTTCCTGGGAACAGTAGATTTTCGACGTCTGGAATATGTTCGCGTAGTGTATAAGTAGTCAAGTTTCCTGTAGCCCTATATTGTGGACATGTCGTGAACTGTACTTGGACCGAAGTTCTCCGAGTGGAAACAGCCCAACGCAAAAGCGGATGCATGCAAGGAGGCGCATGTAGGCAAGTAGGATATGTAGCATGATATTACAACCATTTGTACGCCAGGCGTTCTAGACGTCTCCAAGACATGGGTTTGTGTCCGGTTTTTGTGGTAGCGTTCCGACTAGCGTCGCAGAACATAATGCAATCATGCATGAGCATCGGGTATCAGAGCAAGCCAGCTAACATTTCTATTGCGTAGGGAGTGTGCGCAGACCTCATGATAGCCTCATTAGGAGTTTGATATTCCGGTTACGGTCCTTCTTCCTCGCAATGCTATCTTTCGGTCGATCCTAAGTGACGTACGAGGTCCCAGGCATTCAACCCTCCAGCACATGTGTTAATGGGCCAGAGCTAGTTTCGCGGGTGGATTTACTTCTTCATCGACGATTGAAGCTACTCTCTAGAGACTTGCAAGTGACAGCTGCAGTGTCCGCGGGCGACAAAGGCAATCCAGGCCCGAGGAGTTACTTCACAGGCATCCGCCCGATACGACTACCAAGGTGGAGACGTTTTCGTGATTTGAAGTACCAGCCGCCTGGATCGTCTCGCAGATAGACGAGGCTGAGCAGGCCCTTCGTCCTGAGGATGCCGACCCTTTCTTGGAACGGTACAACGCTGAGCGCCCCCACTATGAGATCCGATATGAATGGCGAGACTTTCGAGAGGGTGGCGAATAGACCACATATATATGGAGCAATCGTTTCCGCACGCCCTGTTACCGGAGGATCACCACGCGACGGGCCAGCAAGCGATTCACTCCTCAGAGCATGTGCGAATCCGGGCGAGACGAGCCAAAACGTCGAGTTCAACACAGTCGTCCTGGCGAGAACGGCAGAAACAGCAGCGAGCAGGGGAAATGAAGCGGGAATGACGGGGACGGGCGGCGTGCGGGCGCACCTCGGAGATCCTGAGAGGATCAGCTGCGGAACCGCAGATCGCAAGACAGCATACGCGTCGTGCGATTCGTCCTGCGGCAAAGGCGCTGAAGATAGCAAGTCAATGGGTATCGTCCGACTGTCGGGACACGTTCGTGTCTGGGCCAATGGCTATTTTCGAATAAATCGGCCAATGCGTCGCCACGTCAGACGTCGTTCCGTAACGAGCACTTTCGTTGGGGTTGCTGCTCGGTACGGGAAGGGAGCCGAGAGGGCAGGATGCTGCTGTGGCCTTGAGTGCGTAGCTAGTAAAGCCACATGCAAGTCCGAGGCCACAGAGCGTCGAGAGAAAGCAACGAATGAGGATCAGCCTGAGGGTGGGTGGCAACTCCGGAGCGGCCCCGGAGTGCTGCACGGGAGAGATAAGATTAGACGGAGGCTCGTCGACCGGCTCGATTTAGGTGGGGCGTGGGAAGCCGCAATGACGTTAATGGTATAATACCCCACATCTTCGAATGCTCGGATTCAAAAGACAGCCCGCCCGTCCAATTTCCTCTCTCCCATTACCGCCATGTCCGCCTTCCGCGTCCTCTCAAAGCACTCCCGCTCCCTCTCGCGCTCCCTCGCCGCCCGCTCTTTCCACACCCCCTTTGTCGCCCTCTCCGAATCCCCCCTCACCGCTCCCCCGCCCCCGACCAGTAACGTATCGGGCATCTACGAGAAGAACATCGAGTACAACTCGGAGCCCACCCCCTCCGCCAACGGCTCGTACCATTATGTCGTCTCGCAGCCCGACCCGAGCAACACCCCCTACGCCGTCCCGTCCGGCGCTTACCCCACCTCCGCGCCCTACGTCAACTACACCGCGACTGAGCGTCCGGAGGTGCTCGATCAACCCAAGTCCTCCACCAGCCCGAACCCAGCTCATCCCACTCTGAGCCGGGCTGTGCCCAGGAACGACTCGGGCGTGCAGGAGAGCGCTGCCGTCAGGCACGAGAACAACCCCAACAAGGGCACCGAGTTGATGGACAAGTCGAGCACCCAGGGCTCGAATAACCTGCAGGAGAGGAATCCGCCTCCCATTCAGGATGTCGGAGAGAAGTTTGGCAGCATGGGTGTCAAGGATGCTTGGAAGGCCCGGAACTGAGCGCGGCTTCCGTCATGCGCTCGAGCTCGCATGGGAGCTCGGTAAGTGGCCAGATCCATCTCTAATGCAACTTTCAGCTGATGCACTCTCTAGAGCTTCAGTCGTTCCGTAATAATAGACCGGAGACGCAACGCGTTGTACCATAGCAAGAACTTCGTCCTTTAATCGTTGGCGTCTCCATTTCCTATCCACCTGTATTGTTATTACCCTACTCGTCTTTGCAGTTCGTCGTACGCGGTCAGACCATGTCCTTCCCGTATTTATTATGCATTCATGTTGTCGTGCTCCGTCTTCTTGTCGTGGATGTTTGGACGTGAACGCCGAACGTTCAGTGGCATCAGTCCCAATACGGCTGTGCATAGATGACCGTCAGCAGACAGGTCATTTGGGCTTTACGGAGATCGCCGAGCCGGACGGAAGACCGCTCTCTTCTTCCTTCTTCTACATATTGCTTCCGCACTTCATCAGCGAACCCGGATAATAAACTACTAGTATGTAGGTATGTAGGTGGAGCACGCTGGCTAGGATGAGCGCGTTGGGAATATAGATGAAGCCACAGCGCTGAGCTGGTGACCTATCTTACCTAGGCCTATCTTGCGCACCGCCCGGGTCTGATCCAACCGTGTATGGCCATGAAGATACGTACGTTATGCCTTGATTACTCCGGGCGAACCCCCAGAACTCGAAGCTGATAGCCCATGGAAAGTATGTATCTTGTCAGCATGGGACGATGCAGTCATCCAGCTTTTGCGTTTCGTCAAGTCAATCACCAACCATCACCTCGATGGTATGTCACTCCTCGTCGACTGGTAACACTAACAAAATCCAGATGACGCTTTCGTCTCCAGCTCCGCTGCTTGGTCCCCAAAAAAACTAGCATTTCCTGCCGCGTGCCGGATACGAGCTTCGTCACTGCACGGCATACAGCGTCTACCACAATGTGCACGGGCCAAACAAGGTTGACCGCAGAATGAGTATGAAGTGTCGACCGCTCTGATGTGTCTATCAACACGAAATCGCATCAAGCCTGCCGCGTCTCAGTCGTAAGTCCGGCATGGTAGCCATGGCACAGACAGCGCATCCCGTGCTGCCTACTGCCTGCCGCAGAGACTCGTCGCCCTGCAGCTCCTGCCTATAAAACGCGTATCCCATTTGGGCGAAATTTCCCGACACCCTTGATATCGACATAACACCGCTACACCATGGCTGAACAACAGAAGGCATTATTCCTCCCTGAGAAGCAGGGCGCGTTCGCACTAGGCGACAAGCCCATCCCCTTCCCCGGTCCCGGCGAGCTGCTCTTGAAGGTCGAGGCGGTTGGGCTTAACCCGCTCGACTGGAAGCTGCAGAAGTGGGGGGTGCCAGCATTCATTCACGAGTATCCAGCGGTGCTTGGGGAGGACATTGCCGGCACTGTGGAAAGCGTGGGCGAAGGGGTCTCCGGCTTTGCTAAAGGGGACAGGGTGTAAGTGCTCCATTTCAATAATGTAGTTGTAAGAGCTGATTGTTTGGCGTTTGTAGGATCTATCAAGGGACGTTTACCCCGGACAAGGCTGGGTTCCAGCAGTATACGCTCGCAGTAGCACAGTTCACGGCAAAGGTATGTATTGCGGATATCTACTCCGGGTAGTTTGCTGGGTTGACAGTCAGAACCAATCCCAGATCCCCTCTAATATCTCATTGGACGAAGGGGCGACTCTCCCCACCGCAGTCGCCACTGCGGCAATGGGTCTCTATGCACCCATTAACGACACCGCCCCTGGGGGCGCCGGGTTGACCGCGCCGTGGGAGGCCGGCGGGCGCGGTAAGTACGCTGGTAAACCTATCCTCGTACTTGGAGGATCGTCCTCTGTGGGACAGATGGGTGAGTCAGACTACCCCAAGCTAGTTGCACCCATGTCCCGCTACTCACTCCCAGCAGTTATCCAGTTCGCGAAGCTCTCCGGCTTCTCGCCCATCATCACGACCGCCTCCCAGACGAACCAAACGCTCGTCAATTCCCTCGGCGCTACGCACCTGATAGACAGGGCGCTCCCCGCCGAGAGTTTCCACGCGGCTGTGTCATCCATTACTACCGCGCCGCTCGAAATCATTTACAATACGATTAGCACTCCCGAAACGCAACAGGTTGCGTACGACCTGCTGGCTCCTGGAGGGGCGGTCGTTTTTACGCTTCCCCTTGCCATCAAGGTTGGGGCGCAGGGGAAGAAGAGGGTGATCAACGTCTTCGGCGCTGTGGCCATCCCGTCTCAGCAGAAGACCGGGGCGGGCTTGTACGCAGCCCTGGAGGGGCTGCTCGCGAATGGAGAACTCAAGGTAAGAGGACCAGCTCCTGTGCCATAGCATACTCTGATTGGTGTAGCCGAATCCCGTGCGTGTGCTGCCCGGGGGGTTGAACGGGGTGGTCGACGGGTTGAGGGAGATGGAGGAAGGTCGCGTCAGTGGCTACAAGCTGATAGTGCATCCTCAGGAGACCGGAGCATAGAGCTCCAGAGAAGACTTAGTGTTCCTTCATTCCTTTCGTCATAACACGAATTTGTTTGTGTTTGTGGCTATATCCCCTTCCGAAAATATTATGTCTGAAGTCAGAACTAGATCTGGGAGGATGACTATGCTGGAAAAATCTCTGGAAACCTGAAACTTCGACATCTCCTTTCTTAATCTGCCGACAAGTCGAGCACACTGCGGCACTTGCAGTCTTTAGGGGCGGGCAAAAGATTGTACGAAAGGGAATTCCGCGGGCTCTAATTGGCTGGAAACTACCTTTCGTACAATCGTCTGGCCGGCCCTAAATACTGCAACTCCCGAAGTGGCAGTACGCTGTCAAGGTTAGGGGCCCTTAGCCGGCCCGGTCAGTTCTTCACGAGCATTCACCATGTATGCCAGCCTTTCTATCCCGGACATCCAGCCACTCCAAGCCTGAGGGAATGAGGGACGGCCTCCGCAGTTCGAATGGCTGAAAGGATAGGTGCCAATGGGGTGGTGAGAACTCACATAATCGGTTATCTTGGGCCTTTGGTCGAGTCATATTCAGGCCGCTCTGCATTACGGTGTATTGAGGCTTCGCGTTCTGTTAGGGGCTTTTTAGTCCTTAATCTTTTCCCATTCCTCTAATTTATTGGGGAAGACTAGGCGGAGAAGACCATGTCGTTCATTGGTAGCATGATGCGCGCCTCAGGCGTACCTCGAACCAACCGGAAGATCATCCTCAGGCTATCGAGGTCGAAGTCGTCGGTCGCAGGTTCCTCAATGGTCGATGCGGAATCCAGGGCCCAGGCATATGCAAGGCATATCAGTCACTCCAGTGCAAAATAAGATGTCGCTGTACTCTCCACGTGAGTAGTCGTTCACTTGTCACAAGACATATATTTCCCTGGTGCTGCTTCGAGTGAATATTCTTAGTCTTGAAGTGTGCCACTACAGAAAGGATTATACACAGCGTGGATCTCCCGACAATTAGTCAACCCGTATCTCCTCAGCTGCACGGACTCCTACCGCTCAGGCCGAGGCTGAGTCTGGCTCTGAGCAGGATGGGTATCACTCTGTCGGTAGATGTCCTATGCACTACCGTGTGTTCTGAAGTGATCATCTCGTGTTCTATCTCGTATTTAGGCAAGTGGTGGCTGTTGTCCGGTTTCTCTGGATGTTCCCCACCGGGCCCACCCTTTAGCGAGGCTATTGATCTGCAGTGGTCCGGATAACTGTTGATTCCGCGTCGCCGCTTGTGTTTAACCAATCCTACAAGCAGATTTAACGCCGACACAGTATCCATTCTCATGTAACATGATGTATAAGCAAGAGAAGCGCCTCATTCAATCCAATTTTAGTCTCGGTGGAGTGCTTGAGATGGTACGTGATAGCAGAGGCTATGGTTAGCGCCTCGTGATCAACCAAGCATCAGTTCGTCCTTGGTTCTAACTTCTCCTTGGTAAGATGATCAGTATCACATCACCTGAGGCTGTTCTGGTATTATATGAGATCCTAAGCTCTATATCTATTGTGCGGTTCAAATACCTGACTGCTTTACCCACATGCCATTCTAGATTCAGCACACGTTACCCAGTGCAGAGGTCAAGTTGTACCGCCCCATCTGTCCGTAGGAGATCCGCGAAGTACCATAAGATTACTCGAGCAGGTGTACTGTTCCAAGTGCCATGATAGTGGCGAAAGCTGTCAATCAAGCCGGGCTTCATCAAACCCTCTCGCTGAGGCTCACTCGTGGACCATCAGCATCACTAGCATAGGGGTGATGTACCGACTGCCACAGAGAGTATAAAGGGAGCTGGTCTGGCTGTCCATAGAGTCCAACACGCGTTCATTCAAAGGCTCATATACAATGTCACAAATCCCAGGAGCAGCGGCGGCAGCGGCAGCTGCGCAAGCATGGCTAGTCGAAAAAGGGGAACTGATCGCTCTATTCGGAGAGTCGATCTTTTACGGTAAGCAGCTATGGAGCCGTGGTACATACTAATTGTTGAGCTGTGCATCAATCATTTAGGAGCCCATGTCATCACATGCGGCCTTTGTCTGCGAGAGTTGCTCCTCTCGCGGGACATGAAATGGAAATTTCCGGGTAGCATTCATTGGACTATGCTCTCGGGTGCCCTGTTTTTGATCTTCCTCTCGACTTTCCATCGTAAGTGCAGATTTTCGAGCCGCGTATTCGAGTAGGACTAACCAGTTCTCGGCGCCCGGGGACAGTTGCCCTTGGCCTCCGATACAATCTCAATGCTATCAAAGTATACCTCGGGATACCCGGCGCCAATCTTGCTTTCTTCGACTTGGCTTATTGGGAGACCATCATGCAATCGGTCATCTACGTTACGGAGACTATCCTAGCAGATGCCTTGTTGGTGAGAACAAATTTATATATCTGTTGCTCAAATGTTCCAACTCGAGTAGATATATCGTGCACATATCGTATGGGACAAGTCTTGGAGGATCGTCGTTCTCCCGTTACTTCTGTGGTTTGCAACTACAGGTACGATACCAGTGCATAGGCTCGAATGACGGTCGTACTGAATGACCACAAAGCTATCGGTTGCACTACGTTGTGGATGGTAGCTTCTACGCAACATGTCGTCCCCAGTGAGGCCCAACGGCGACTGGAGCATTGGATGGATGGCTTTCTCTCGATTACCTTCACGGTGAACATATTATGTACATGTGCGTGTCCATCGTACTTGCCGATGAAACAGTAACTGATGCACAATTGGAAGCACTCATTGTCCACAAGATATGGAGGGTGAACACCCAAGTCGCTTCCAGCGCTCTCCATCCTGCTCGCCTCACGCATATTGTTCGCGTCGTGATTGACTCTGGCCTCATATACACTGCCTGTATCATCGCTCTCTTTGGTTCTACTCTTGCCAACAGTGCTACACAATTCCTCTTTTCCTCCGTGGTACGTTAATATACTCCCTTGCTGTATCTTGCTCCGTATGCTCACTTCTGTCGTCGCAATGTAGCTCGTCCAGGTCATAGTACGTATGAATTTGTCACTTCCCAGCTCGTCAGATACTCACGATGCGATCCCGCGGGACTCGTCTAGGGCATAGCTTTCAATCTGATAATAATCAGGGTTCGTAGGGGCACGGCAATGACTCCTAACTCAGTATTCAGCACTTCGGAGATAGGAGGCATTCCACTACACTTGGTGCGCGGTTCACAGCCTCAAGACAGTCAGGATAGTCAGAGACGGGGTACGATACAGATCAAGGATGTGGTATTGGGTCACGTCGACAAGGCGGGACATGCGGATATTCGATCGAAGGAGCCGTCCCGCATTACAGAGGATTTCGGCGTGTAAACTAAACAGCAGGGACTCAAAACATCGATGTGCGGGTCTCCAATGATTCTGATACCTGGGCATCATCAGCGCGGATTCCCAGTCGATCTGTCGGTCACTGCTATTCGGCTACAGTCCATTTGTCCACTCTGTTTCCCGAGCCTACAAGCCTCACTAAACCTCACTTCCGGCCACGACATGCAACCCCGTTAAGCGTGACACTATTCTAGGAATAAGAATCTGTGGTAATTACCCTACCGAATATGCTCTAATATTTACTAGTGCACTAGTGCGTTAGAGAAGACCGTACCCTCCAAGTCCCCTAGTAAACGCTCACGCAAAGGGCCGAGAACTCGTGGATGTAATCCTTGCGGGGAAGCGCTGCATAGTTACCGTACGCGGTACATATTCCGCTTAATGTGCTATATGACGGATTCTCCCCTTGTTTTAGCTTCATATAACCCGGTACGAGAAGAGGAAAATTAGTTCAAATCCTTTCATTCGCACAAGGAGGGTCAATGACAGATTGAGAGTACAGCGGCCACAGTGCGACTGGTGAGTTCTGAGTCTGAGATTCTGAGATGCGATCTGAAGATCGAAGCTGGGACTAACCAGATTAGATAACCGTCGGTCCTGAGTTATCTGATAAGATCACTTACGCCACCACTTCCGCCCGGTACGCTGCATTTCAGCCGCATGGACACATAAGCAGAATGGCCGAATTAATATATAAAACAGCCCTAACTGATCTTCGTTCGCACAATGGGCCTAATTATTTCTCTTCTTCGCGACCGTTTCAGCAGGCCGGCTCAGCCAGAAGGCACGGTCGTCGTGGTCGGCTTGGGCATCGCTGGCGTCAAAGCTTTCAACTACCTTCGGGGTGCGCTGCCCTCTGGTTGGCATCTTGTGGGAATAGAGAGGAACGAGTATGCATTCTTTCCAATCCCCGCTCTGCGTGCCACAGTGGAGGCGGGGTACGAGAAACACTGCTTTGCAGAACTGGACCACCTGCCAGTGGTGGGAAGGTGTGTGACCTGAGTTCCATGTTAATTTATCTTACGTTCCTCCGCCTGCCCAGTTCGTCTGGTAAATGTGAAGCTTCAATTTTGCCCAAGACTGCAGTTGTGCAGCTGAATACGCAGTCCGTCATCTTGGAAAGATCCAAGCCACAAAGTGAGGCAACAACCGAAGTTGCTTTCGATTATTGTATTATCGCAACCGTGAGACTCCTCTGTCTCCACATTTTCTCGTTCCTAATGGTGTCTTCTTGTCCTAGGGTGCATCTTATCAATACCCATGCCGCACGTCCGATCCAAGCCTCAGAGCCTCCCTCTCCCAGTTCGCTCAATTTCAGGACGCTCTTTCCAAATCCTCATCGGTGCTCGTTATTGGTGGAGGGCTGGCTGGAATTGAGTTTGCCGGAGATGTTGCCAGTCACTTCCAGGACAAGCGAGTTGTGCTGATAGTTTCGCGGACTCCTGAAACGATGTTCGAAGAAGGTGTACCGGTATCCCTGGCAAAGAAGACGTTGGAGAGTCTGCGGACGATTGGAGTCGAGGTCCGGCTAAGCGAGAGAGTTGTCGGTGCCAGAGATATGGTCACTGGGCCGTGCAAAAAGTGCTCAGTGCCTCTTCAATCTGGACAGTCCATTGAAGGTATTCTGTTCTCTCCTGCGTTTGTGATCGGGCAGTGAATAGACGTTAAAACTCCCGATCCCAGGAATCGACTTCATATTCGTTGCCATAGGAAATCAAGCCAACTCGTCCCTCATGCAAGACTTGGCACCAGGATCTATCTCGGCTACGAATGGGCTAGTGCATGTTACTCCCACCCTTCAGCTCTCACACACGCCGAGTCCGGAAAAATCTGTACTGCCTCTATCAGATAGCTCGGACGTCAGTTCTAGGATCTTTGTGGTCGGCGATGTGTCCGACGTCAAGGCAAGTCCGATGTCCTGCTACAAATAGAACCACATACACATGATACACAACTTTAGGAGCAGAAGAGTGCACGATCAGCTTTCAGGCAGGGCTTATACGCTGCGCAGGTCAGTCACGGTGCTACCGCGCACCACCTTGTTGCAGCTCATGTCCCATCTTCGTCCCCACACTGCAGAGCATCGTCAACCTCGTATATGGGCGGCCCGTCAAACCATACAACCCGGCGTCTGCCCCCGTATACCTCTTCTCAATAGGAAGCCACTACGGTGGCGGCGCCATTGGTCGCTGGGTATGGAACTCTCGCATAGCGTCGATGTTGTACGAGTATGGGCTACCGGCCTGGTGTAAGGGTTTCAGACAAGAGGTGCGTCACTCATCGTGCCCCATAAGATGCGGGATTGTCTGCTCACTTCATGGTACAGTATAACTCGCCATTGGTACAGGTGTGATGGCATAGCTGCGGTTTATTGCCGATGTGGAAGCTGTTGGGGCAGTTCCGGGTCTATTTGGGTCGATCGCATCTCATTGCAGAATGTACGGTGTGCTATATTGGTTTGCTAATGAACAAGGTAACACGCCAAGGATGGACATGTCACTGACATCGGTAAGGATTCGTAAAATAGTGATATAAGAATAAGATACTAGCAAGGACCAGGTCGTTTCGCAATCGTAAGCATGAAACAATTTCCACGCCATTCGTATGCCCTCGAAGAAGCGTGCTACTCGTCGTCGTGAAGTCTGTACTTCTCATCACAGCGCACGCACGGTCGTGGTGTGCTTGATATCCCGACTGCTGAAGCCCACGCTGAGCGTCAGTCCACCCTCAGGGATCCTCCACTGCTGCGCCTCTACGTCCCAATAGCTAATATCCCGCCTCGTCAGGAGGAACTGAACTGAAGAGCTCTCCCCCGGACTCAGATTCACCTTCTCGAATCCTCGCAGCTGCCTCAGCGGCGTCCCAGAGGGAACAGTCGCGGGGAAGGTGAGATAAAGCTGCGGAACCGTAGCACCCTTGACTGCGCCCGTATTGCTGACCTTGGTCGACACCTTCAGAACGGGCTCCCACAGCGAAGGGTTGCCTCCGGGGACAACCTTCACCGGAGGCGGCAGCGCCGTCAGGTCACCACTGGAGACCTTCTTGACTGCAAGACCCGACAATGAGAAATTGGTGTAGGACAAGCCATATCCGAACTCGTAGAGCACGGACTTGTTGTTATAGTCGAAGTAGCGGTAGTCGATGAGGAGCGACTCGGTGTAATTCAATTGCCAATCGTTCGGCCCCGGGTTCGTAACGTTCAGGATGGGCGCGTTATAGTCGCTCTCGTTATAGGCGATCGTGTAAGGGAGCTTGCCCGAGGGATTGACGTCGCCATACAAGATGTCGACGATGGAGTTCCCAGACTCCTCGCCGGGATAGTGAGCAGCAAGGATGGCAGTGACATTCGAATGGGATGCGAAGGGCAGAGTGTTAACACCACCGGAATGAGAGATGACTACAGTGTTGCTGCAGTTGTTCGCCACGTTCTCTACTACCGCATTACCATCCCAGTCGACCTCCAACGAACTACGATCAAAATTCTCCGTGGCCCAAGTCTTCAGGAACACCAAGCAGACGTCTAGCTCCTGCGCGGGAGGCCACAGAGTTGTCAGGTCGGTCGAAGCCATAGTGTTATTCAAGATGTACTGAACCAAAGCTCCGTCCTTCCTAGCTCTAGCCTTGATCGCGTCTAGAGGAGGCACAACATACGACAACCTGCCTGTACCAGAGCCGCCACCCACCGGCTGCGTACCATACTCATACTGCCCGCCGAAGTTTCCGATGAAGAAGTACAGAGAGTTGGTGAGGTCGCCGGCGTCGTTGCCGAATACGCCGATGTGCTGTGGTTTCTTCAAGGGCAGAGCGTTATTGGTGTTCTTCAGCAGAACGACTGCAGCAGAGCCAAGTTCGCGGATGAGGGCAGCGTGGTCGTCTCGCACATCACGATTTGTCGTCCCATTCAAATCGAAGTGGTACACCCAATTGCTCTGCGGGAAGAGTGCGTTCAGGCCGGCAGAGGAAGGATCGACAGTGGGATACCCCTTGTCCTGGTTGAGATAGAAATAAGGGGTGAGGACTCGGCGTATCATGTCGTCTACCCGAGACTCGGAAAGGGTGCCGTTCTGAACAGCGATCGTGATGTTGGCGCCGAAGTAGGAGGGGGTAGCAGACGTGAAGGCTATACCGCCGGGCATGTTCATGTCCAAGCCCGCCTCGATAGCTGGAACACCCGATAGTGTTGCACCCCAATCCGACATAACATATCCCTGGAAACCAAATTCCGTTTTCAGGACGCCGTTGAGCGTCTTCGAGTTCTGGCACCCATAGGACTGGTTCAGGCGGTTGTAACTGCACATGACGCTGGCTACTCCTGCCCGGACGGAGTCAGCGAATGGCCAGGAGTAAAGCTCGTGGAAGGCTCTGTCATCAATGTTAGACGAGTAGGCCTCGATAGTAGAATTATCCGCGCCGACGCTCGGAACACGCTGTGTCTCCTGCTCGTTCCCGATGTAATGCTTCGCGCACGCCTGGACACCTGCGGACTGTATGCCTTTGATGGTATGCTCCATGGCGACACCGGTCAAGTATGGATCGGGAGAGAAGCCTTCCCAATTCCGCCCGCCCAACGCACTCCGTCCCAACGGGCCTGCAACGGGGCCCAGTACAACATGCGCGCCCTTGCCTCTGAACTCCTCGCCCATCTGGACCCCCCTCTGACGAATAAGATCCCGATCCCAGGACGCAGCAGCGGCGATTCCAGCCGGGAATACGCTGGCGTAGTCCGCCTGACGGATCGCTAGGGGACCGTCCTGTATACATAAGCCGTTGAAGCCGAGACGAGGAATCGGAGGGATGTTTCCGACACAGGGACCAGGGGTACCAGTCACCATCTCAGCTTTCTCCTCGAGGGTTAGTTGAGACACGAAGCTGTCGGCTCTCGCAAAAGCGGCCTTCCAATCCCCCGCGCCGGTAGCGTGAGCTGTGCGTAGAGATCGTCAGTACGTTGTTGGAGATAGGTCCACCAGGGAACACGAAACATGAAAGGTCGGGACAGCAGAGGTATCTGGTCCGCAATAGGCGTAAGTCGTGAATCGTAGTAAGGGATACTTACGGGAAGGATAGACGGGGGGACTGAACGAATAATTACCACTGTCCCATGATTGGGCGACGCTTCTAGAGACGAGTAAGGTCAGGCAAAGGACCTGGTAGGAAGCGAAAAACATCTGGCTTGTGCTCGGGCGGCGAGATGGCGAAGGAATCGCTCGAGCTTCACATATTAAATATGCTGGATTCGAGGCGGCCGATGAACCGGAGCTCGAGGTCAGGTGTATCAGTTCATCCAGACCTCTGAAGAGCCGCTCGTCGTAGCAAGAGTAACATGAGACTGGTGGTTCGAAAGACTGTGTTTGACGCTGATATCCCGATCACCGGGAAGCTCGTCGCTGACAGAAGTAGCTGTGGCCGGAATACGGGGAGGTTGTCCTCTAACGCCGGATACCTGTGAGATTTGTTCCTGCTTGGGGTACTGACATTCCAGCAGGCGGGTCAGAAAACGTAGAAAAGACAGCCGAGTTATTACTTGTGCCTGGAAAAATCTCGGACAAACTCCCGACACCCACTCAAAGTGCTCAGAGGCGCATGCAGGGAGGTGGGATGACTGGCATGATAAGGCCAAGGGATCTGTTAGGGATCATGGGTGTGATTGACTCTAGGCGCAACTGATATCCCGCACGCGGGGAACCTGGGAGGCCTGGGGCCCCGTCCGGGACGCGGGGAAACAAGAGACTCGGTCCCGTCAAACAACTTGGCCCCTCAGCAGTCCATAAACATGCAAGACTAAGTTCTGACCCCAGTTAATGGTTGGTGCTGTGGATGTGTGGGAATGAGATTCAAAAATTCGCAACTAGACGATTCACAAATCATGAATGCCCGGCAGACTCACCTGCCGTGGATACGAGCACCAGTCCAGCGAGGACTTGTACTTAATCACATGCTCGGTTGCGCCTGCATGACGAATCTACCATTGCGCTGAGTGACTAACTGTTATTGCTGGGCCAGGTTCCAGGAGATGATGAGGACAGCTATTACAGTTGGCAAGGGCTGCCACAAGCACGGTCATGAGCGCGAGCTTCGGTGCAGCCACGACGGACCCGGACCGATGTGCCGCTCGCTGGGCAGTGGCAGCGCCACTCATATGCATGATCAGCGCTCTGCCTGCCACTGGCTTGCCTTGCGATGGTCCCGTTCCACACGATTCGTTCAATCCATAGTATTTTTCTGAGCGTAAATGTCAGCCCTGACGACTACGAGACGGAATTTTATGAGTCCTGCGCATTTCCTGTAGGGCATACCCGCGGTTACGACTTCACAAAACTAATGATACCTGCATCACAAGTTGTTGCTCTGGCCTCAAGCACGGAAAATGGGTCATTTTTTCTCTCTTCGGAATGTGTAGGTAATTCCCGAGGAGAGCGCACGATATGGTGGAAGACAGACCGTCGGATCAGGCTGCGCGTTCCTGGCATCCTCTGACTTGGTCTTAGCTGCCGCCTCGTGAGTACTAGCGCATCCGGACTCCACCCTTACCAGAGGAGACAGGAAAGGGCCGTCGTCACTGATAGTGCCATTGCTGCCTCTGTAATTCATCTCTTGCATACCCCGGTCGCACCGGGGATAGCTCAGTGGTCGAGGTCTGCTCACTCTGAGTGGACCATGACTCTGTGCATTTCCCTCACTTGTCAAGCCTTCCAGGATCTTGTGACGACATTCCGAAGTGTGTATATGTATTGAATGGACAGTAGGCGCCTCGCATCTGCCGGCTGCTGCGTTCTCGAATGGAAATGACCGTGCCTTACCGATCTTAGGTTGACACTCCAGCCTGCCTTCGTATATTATCAAGTCCTTCGGTGAGAGTTGCCTTAGCACGTAAGAGCGCTATTTGATCATAGGGCAATGCAATACTCCTTGCGCGTGTCCTGGTAGTTAATTTGCGAGGACGCTGCACGTTGCCTTTGAACTATATATAAAGTGAGTGAGACTACATGCTATTCTCCCATTCTAATAATATCAGATATCTCTGTCCTGTCGCGGTGTTGTATCTTCCGGCGGAGTTATATGCTCTTAGCTCAAAGCTGTCAGCGGAGGGTATAGCACCACCATCGGCAAGCTATTCGAATGCTCTGTCCCTTAGTGTTGCATCAAGCCGAGGAACAAGCCAGATAACGCTATACATTTCCTGCCTCGCGACCCCCACGGATGCAGCCAAATGACCGAGCCTAACATAGTACATAAGACGCAGAGCTGGTACAGGTCATCGCAACTATGCCCTCTCTTTCGATGCGACCAGCCACGTCTTGGCTCATAGCCCTATGTTGCCTCCCCGTGCTGGCCATGGCGCTGCTAGAAAAACTCGATGCGCAACGTCCGGTCATTTCGGGCGACTCTAGTGAAGGTTACCTCCGTCCTCATTCGTTGCTTTCGGTGACTAGTACAGCACCTGGAGGTCTAGCTCCTAGCGCAAGATTTAGTAACCCGCAGGCCCAGCAATTCTATGTATCAGGGACTTCACTTCCAAATGGTCATTATTAACCCTGCTGATACCCGCTCCTCACGCTCAATCACCTATAGTAACCTTTGATCCCGGAGACTCGTGGGCCGGACTCCTGCCCATATCCTCTAACGCCAATGAGACTCGCAAGCTATTCTTTTGGTGAGATCAACGAATAATTAGTTCCTACGGACTTCGCTCACCCTCACGCAGGTTTTGGCCTGCCGTAAATGAGTCGCGAAGCCAAGACTTCATCTTCTGGACCAATGGTGGAGATATACCTCCCGCTATTGTGCGCAGCAAGGAGACTGATCCACTGCACCAGGCGGGCCGGGCTGCTCATCTCTGGAAGGTCTATTACAAGAAAATGGACCTATTTGTACGTATTCATCCGGCACCACGCTCCCTCCCATCACATACACACACACTTGCCTCAGCATGGTCCTGGGGTCAAGCACAACCCACACAGCGAGTGCTAGTCTTGTCTCCGGATTCACCTTGGCTCAAATCAAACGTTTTACCTATCACAGAAATCCTTGGTCATGGACAAACTTGGCGAACGTAATTTGGGTGGACCAACCAGTCGGCGTAAGCCGCGGTATAAGATCCTGTGACGGCGGATAAATAACTCTCAGCTATAGACAGGCTTCAGCGAGGGGACGCCTGATATTGCTGACGACAGTGACTTAGCCAGAGAACTCGTTGGATTTCTCCAGCAATTTCTAGCTGTTTTCACCGAGTTAAGCGGCAGCAACTTCTATCTGACTGGGGAAAGCGTGAGCAGACATCCTATCTCACGGTGCTCTGGTGAACATACCATGTTTCATTTATTCCCAGTTTGCGGGATTTTGTGAGTCCTCGTACCAGAAGATCAATCTCCCGCGTTTGCACAGGCTGACTGAGCCCAGATATTCCTTATATTGCGAATTATATATATGAAAACCCCGGCATTCTCGACTTGAACCTGCAAGGCATCTGGCTATCAGATCCAAGCATCTCGCACGACGTCGTGGAATATGATATCCCTGCCTTCGGGTTCGTCAAGGTATAGATATGAGACAGTCTTGGCGGGCATAGCTAATCACCCGTCACCAGGAGAACCAAGCGTTGTTCCCGCTCAACAGCACGTTCATGTCCCATATCGAGCAAGCTTCAAATTCCTGCGGATATACCACCTATGTGGATACCTACGCCACTTACCCGCCGGCAGGACCTCTACCGCTGCCTGGCGGGACAGTGAAAATTCCTTCGCAGTGCAAAATCCGCGACGCAGTAACATCAGCAATGCAACTGTGAGCCATTATACCAATCCCGTTGTGTGATGCCTGATTACAGCTCGTTGGCAGGATAAACCCGGCATTCACGAAATACAGGGTATCGAACGCATGGCCTATACCTTGTCAGTGATAGAACGATAACTTAGCGCTGAAGTTTACACTAGCATAGGGAGCGTTGTTGGACCAAGCGCATACGAACAAGATGACTTCATATACTTCAATAGGTAAATACGTCCCACTTATGTGCACCATAGTAACACTGAGCTTGTCCTGTTGCAGGACGGATGTCAGTCTTCCACGACCCATATCGTATAGCTCTTACCGTGGGTAATAGGTCCAAGATGCAATCCATGCGCCTCACAAGAATTGGGTCGGCTGCACGACTGAAGGACTGTACACAGGCGGGCAAGACACCTCCACGCCATCGGCGCTCAGTATCCTACCTTCCGTGATAGAAAGAAGCACGAGGACTGTCATCGCCCAGGGACTATTTGTAGGCTGTTATCGGAGGTTCAAGATGATCTGGCTCATTGTCCGCGCTTCAGGACTTCCAGGTGTTGCCAGGGGGGACGAGGATTGCCATACAGTGCGTTCGCGTGCGTACTGATTGACAAAGGTTCGGATTCACACGCAATACTCTAGAAACATGACATGGGGTGGTAAGCAAGGATTTCAGACGCCTATTGAGCCCGAATCGTTCAACGTCGAGGATGTCATGGGAGGGACTGGCGTCTCGGGTATCTATGGGAACATGCACACCGAGCGGAGTTTGACATGTGTGTCTATTACAGCCATGGTTTCCAAGAACAGGACTCACGAGATATGCTCTTACGCCAGATGTCGAATTCTATTTCAGTGGGCATTACACACCTCGTAAGTGAACGATACACCCTGATATATGTAGCAGTCAGCTTCATATGCATCGCAGAGTTTGTACCGTGGGCAGCCTATCAAACGGTCGAGTACTTGGTTGGACTACGGGAGTGCCCCTCCTCGAACCTGACAGATTGCACATGATTCGATCCGCAGGAAGGGCGAAATGCGCTGGCGTACGAACGATTGCACGGGCAGGGATCGCTACCAGAAAACAGGGGGAGTTGCGGTCGCAAACGTCTGGTAGTTATATCAAAGATGTTGTAAGTAATGATACAAGAATGTGGGCTTTGTGTACGATCAAACTTCGAGGGGGATGGCCGACAGTGGTGGTTTAGCGTCTTCCGGGGTAAGCGGGTTTCCTTCGAACTTCTTCGTCCTTACAGGTATGCAGCATTATCTTGTTCGGATATCCCGGCTTCATGTGCGAGTGGCCCTGAGACCAATCGTATGACACAGCATAGGCAAAAAGGGTCCCGGTCCGATTGAACCCCAGAGACGTTACGGGGCCCGGAGAAGGCTCGAATGCTGGGTAAATCGGGTCAGTAGAGACAGTATGCTATGACAGCACCTTCTTACTCTTCAGCCGAGTACGAGAATCTCTTTCCCAGAAGTTGACAGTACCATCGGATCCTATGTGTTACTAAGTGAGTCTCATGGGGCGAAACAATACAATTCAAGCACATACCGCAAGTCGCGAATGTCCCCTGATATACCGGGTGGAATCTTATATCATTCACGGCGTAGATAATTGACTCCGTTCTCGAAACCTGCTTCACATCCTTCCGATGACACCTAAACGTGTAATTGTTCCTATGTGGGATAATTAGGTCTACTCGAGCCAGGAATACGACGCAACCGACATACCCGGCGTTTTTCGGATCGACAAACCTTGTAACACGGCAATCAGCAATACACGATAGAGTAGGAAAGAGATGGTCCGCACTGTATAGCAGTGCGACCTTCCACGCTGCCGATCGCAAACCCGTCACCGGTATGAAAACAGGATACGACTCGCGTTTGCCACTTCAAGGGAGAAGGAATACACTTCTGAGGGCTCATTGGATTTCTGAGGTCGAAGATCTGCACACTGCGATCCGCTGTCCCAACTGCCATGAGGGGGTAGCTTGCATCGAGACTGTAACATCGTTCAGGAAGAGTCACAGTGCCGACAGGTTGTGGACTCCGGAGATCCCAATACTTTACGTTGGCGACAAAGCGGTCAGTAATCACGTCCACTCCGCTTCTCTATGTCAAGGTTACCTTGATAGTCTTATCCCAGCTGCCCGTAATCAGTATACTGCCTTGCGGGGTCTCGACCCATCTGACAGCCTTTACAGGGGCGTCGTGAGCCGCAACTTGACTGGATTGACCCGTCTGTATGTCGAATACACGGGCCGCGTTATCGGCACCTCCAGAAAGTATCCGAGCGCCATCCTACAGATAATTGTGGCTTCAGCATCGATCTCCCGGGCACTAGTAGGGAAATACCTTGCTCCAGCACAGGTCCAAGACAGGGCCCTGGTGAGAGTACACGGCTCTTCCCTGGGATTGCAGGTTAGCTGCGACTTCATAGACGCGTACCTGTTCATCTGTCAGTCACCAAGCTTTCTGTTAAAGGTGAGGAAGCAACATACTTGGTTATCCCAACTCCCTACGGCTAAATAATCTCCGGTCGGAGAAAACGAGAGCGAAGAGATCGAATCCGAGGGCGGATCCGCGAGCTCTACATCTCTCTGTGCCGTGGATGATAAATTCGAAGCATTGTAGAAGGCCATCTCTGCTGAGAGATTTAGCACGGGAAGGATGCCACGACTACGGGTATGATAGTTCCTCGTAGCGAGCGTTCTGAATATTGCAATGAACCGCAGGCATCACCGGTGACGACGAGTCAGCAGAGAGGCCCGGGTCCGAAACACTAGGCGAGTCCTGGTTGCATCTGTGAGAGAGCGGAGATCTGCTCGCACGGTGTCACTCGACTGAAAGTGGAAAGATCGAGGCGCCAGTGTCACGATTCCCATTGAAATGACAATGTATGGAGCAATTTTGATTTATAGTAGCTGTCGAGCAGGCGAAGAACTGGACGAGCGAACCACATCCATGCCGCCAGCCAATCACATCACTGGCTCGCGCGAGTGCCGGCGGGTAGTCTGCCTTGTGGACAGGAGCAACGAATTACAAGGATTTATACAGGAGAAACAAACGGATCGCACTACACTTCGTATATACCTTCCAACACTGTATATACTCCTACTCCTATCGAACACTCCCCAGCATAAAACATCTACGAGCTACTATCACCGACCCTTCACGGCTCTCTTCTTCACCTCCTCTTCTTTGCACGCGTGCAGCATGATTTTGTTCGGGTGTCCTGGCGTCATGCCGGAGTGGCCTTTTGACCAGTCGTAGGAAACGGAGTAGGCGAATATGCTCCCGTTGCGGTTGAAGGCAGTCGAGGTGACGGGGCCTGGGCAAGGCTCAAAGGCTGGACAAGTCACAGTGTGACGAGTAAGCTACAGTAGCAATATGATTATGGGTGAGGTCTCACTCTTCAGTCGTGTACGGGCATCCTTATCCCAGAAGTTGATGGTACCATCGGAACCTAAGATAATGCTCGTCAGAATAATAGGGGTGGTGTACCTCGAGCTACTTACCGCAAGTGGAAAACGTCCCGTGCACGGGGTGGAAAGTGATATCGTTCACTGCAAACACTAGGGATTGATCTTTCGAGTTGGGAGTTGCGTCCCTACGATGGCACTTGAACGAGAAGTTATTCCTGAGCAGATGGGGTCAGAGAAGCGCAGACCATATAAGTGGAGCGAAGGCGTACGTTGCGTCTTTATCGTCCACATATCTTCAAAAGCAAACCAACAGTCAGCTCCCGCATTGCTTTACTGACTTCAGAGAGCACGTACTGGATAGCTACACGTCCCTCGACACTCCCCACCGCGAACCCGTTGCTCGTCGGGAAACACGACACCACCCTCGTCTGCCATTTCAGGGGCGACTGCATAGTCTTGTGCGGCGTCATCGGGTTGTTGAGGTTGAAGATGCAAAGGTGGCGCTCGGCCGTCCCGACCACCATAAGGGGGTATGCAACGTCAAGGCTGTAGCACCGCTCGGGCAGCGTCACCGTCCCGATCGGCTGTGACGAGCGCAGATCCCAGTACTACATCCATGTGGCCAACGTTCACTCCGTGCTCATGCATACGGAGTATAGAAGGGTAGCGTACCTTCACGGTCTTATCCCAACTCCCCGTCACGAGGATCCCCGCCTGCGGCGTCTCGATCCAGCGCACCGCCTTCACCGGCGCGTCGTGCGCCGCGACCTGCGTCGACTGCCCCGTCTGCACGTCGAACATCCGCGCGGCGTTGTCGGCGCCGCCGGACAATATTTTCGTCCCGTCCTTCACAGGCAGCGAGCGCCAATAAGGACAGGGCAGCAACGAGCAAGAGAGGGGCACGCACCTTATTCCAGCACACACCCAACACGGGGCCCTGGTGCGAGTACATCGCCTTCCCCTGCGTCTGCCCATTCGCGCCCACCTCGTATACGCGCACCTGCACAATCGCAAACGCGACTTTCAGTGGCAGCCCTACCAGAATACAGATACAGCAGAGCACGCACATTATTATCCCAGCTCCCCACAGCCAGGTAGTCCGCCTGTGGCGAGAACGACAGCGAGGATATCGAATCGGACGGGGGCTCCGCAACTTCGATGTCTTTGTCGGGCGCGGCGGCAGGCGCCGTCGAGGACACCGCCGAGCTGAAGAAAGACATGGTGTCTTGCAATCAGGTCAGAAGGAGGTTTAAATCTGAGAGAGGCTTATACAGCCGGCGGGTGTGGATGGTAGGAACACGATTGTGGCGAGTGTGGCCCCGTCGCAGGTGCACAAACCCTTGGGCACGTGGACGTCACAACGCGTGGCACCGTGACACCTTATCACGGATTTGGCTTCCGATCCGGCCATGCCACATCTTAGTCCATGAAGACTTGGATGGATGCCATGGCATTCCAAAGAGCGTGGAGAGAACTAAGTCTGCGCCCATTGTGCATAAGCATAAACGGGCCACTACCGGGAAAAAGGTATCTACAACACTATTCTTCATCTCGAGATCATGAAGTTCATACAGGTCATTAGCAAAAGGTTATAACAACATAGTACACCAGATATTCTGCCGTAAGTCCACATCATCAGAAAGGGTTCCAAACGAGCTGTCCCGGCTCTCCAACCGGCCTCTGCGGCTTCGGCACCCTCGCACAGTTATCCCCGTCCTCGGCCCCCTCCCCATTGCCGTCCCCATCTCCTTCCGCATCAACCTCGCCTTCTCTCACCTGCACCTCATCCCCCTTATCCATCTCCTTCCCCTTTGCGTCCCCATCACCGTTCCCATTCCCATTGCCATTCGCCGGCCGCCCCTCGACCTTGAGCTGCGCATGGCTCCCATCCCCGTCGTACCGCACCGAGCGGTCGATGATCTTCTGCGTGAGGCCGTTCAAAAAGTCCTCGGTCGCGCCGACGGCGAGCTCGAGCACCTTGCTCGCCTGCACGCGCAGGCCGGTGAGCTTGTTGATGTACTCTGGGAGGATCAGGAAGACGTCGCTGAAGGACGGGTGCGTGGCGCCGGCTGCGTCGATTCTCGGTCAGCGTGCGGGGCTGTGAGAGGGAGGAGGCATGGAAGAGTACGCACGGATGGTAAAGACCGCGGGCTGCTGGTGGTCATCGTGTTCGCGCTCCGCCGTTCCGGCTATTTGCTCGGCGAAGATCGCGTACTCGTTCCCTACGGCAAACTCTTCTGAGTTGACGACTAGGAGAGGGTGTGGAATGTTGGATCGCCACGGGTCGAGGCCTGAGTAAAAGCGGTGAGCGTTCCTGGGTAGATAGAGGGGGGTATAGGCACATACGCTGTGTGGCAGGATCAAAGACAATAACAGCCCTGAAGGGCATACCCTGCGACGAGGCCGCGAGCTGCCACCGCTTCAGAAGCAGTCCTTTCACGCAGAAATGAATCCACTCACGCCCACACTCCCGCCCAGCGAATGCCCCACCATCACCGGCTTCTCGCAGTCCACATACTCCCACCTCTTCCAGTCAAAATCCGGGGCATGCAACGACGTGCGCAACACATCCTCGCCCTTGCTCAACCTCGCCAAAATATCCAGCGCCTCCCGCACCTCGGCGCACCGCAGCTTGATCTGCTCGTGCCGCAGGCGCGTATCGTCCTTCGGCTGGTCGTCCGCGGGGAGGTCCGGCCACTCGAGGTCGGACCACTCGAGCCAGTCGAGGACCTTGGTCGTGCCGTCCGCGGAGGTGATCTTGGACGAGGGCGAGGTGCCGTCGCGGTGCTCGATAGCGGCGACGACGTAGCCCCTGCTGGCCATCTCGCCGCAGAAGGCGGAGTACATGAGGCGGGAGCAGCCGGCGCCGTGGCTGAAGATCATGACGGGCCACTTGTTGGAGGCGTCGGGAGGGATGAGCAGCTTGGCTTCTTTGTGGGCGGGGAACGTCGTGCCCCAGACGGCAGCGGCGGCCACAGGGTCTGTGGGGATTTAAGGGATTGTCGGGATAGTCTAAGAGGAGGGCTTACATGTCATGAGGCGATATAATGTGTTAGGCGTGCGCTTTGCCATCTTGAGAAAGCCGTCAATAGTTTGGCGCATACTGGTGGGCAATATTACGATTTGTGTATTCACATAACAGTGTTATCTACGCACCTTGGGAACCATACAGACGGAGTTGGCTTGGCCGGCTTCTCGCAGGGGTAGAAGAGCGAGAAGAGGACGGTGTCCATGACGAGCCCGGCGTTGCCCGAGTCTGGCATGGACTTGTGCTTGAAGTTGCCAAAGGTCTGGCGGTCGACGGGGACCTCGATGTCGCACACGCCGACGTCGTACTTGCCGCTGTACTCGGGGAGGGTGCGCGAGAGGAGGGCGCCGAAGGGGGACTTGCGCGGGACCTGGTGGAGGTGCGGCGAGTCGGTGCCCTGGTCCTTGAGTAAAATGCTTTTAGTGCTGTTCATGGAGGTGGAAGGCGGGGGGTGACCGGGGAGATCGTCGGATTGGGTGGCAGAGGAACGAAAGCAGCTCATGGATGCGACAACGCGGGCGCAGGCGTGGAGGGAGGCGTGAGGATGACGTCGGCGGCGTACCTTCTCTTGATCGGATCGGGAGCCCACGTGGCCCGGCGACGGTGGCGGTGGAGACGGACTCGGCGAAGAGTCCGTCGACGAGTTGGCCTGTTGCACGTACGAGGACATGGAAGACTGCACGGAGACAAATGCTGCGCCGAATGCCGATGCTATACTGGCCCATGACATAAGCCACGTTGACGGACATGTCAAAAGTGGCTCTCGCAGTGATCGAGCCCGCCATACACAGTAACCCATCTCCCCATCGCTCAACTCTACTACAATGCCAGGAGTCTTTTCCAGGTTGGTGCCCAGCATTTTCAGTGCCTTTGGGTTGCAGGCCGGTGAGCAGTCGCGTTCACGTCCGCTCGATACATCACAGACCGTGTTCCCCAGTTCTGGCCGCGATATTCGTCCCACAGGCAAACGAAAAGTACTATGACCTCGGCGGCTCCTTGGGTTTTCTCTCCACAACCTTCGTTTCGCTCTACTACCCATCCTTCAAGGCAAAGTACTGGGACGGCCTCCCAGTCTCCCTGCCCAGCTTCGCCCCGAGACAGTTGCTCGTCACGGCCGCGCTGGGCATATGGACTATCAGACTTGGCAGCTTCCTGGCGCAGGTCAGGCCAGGGCTGACTTCCTCATCGGAATGCGACCTCACGAGGTACCCAGAGAGCTATCAAAGCCGCAGGAGACTCGCGCTTCGACGCGGTGAAGCACAAGCCCGCCACTTTCACCGCATTCTGGATGGCTCAAGGTACGCCGCGGCGCGTGCATTCTCTTCTCGCGTAAACTCACCCAAACATTCCAGCTACATGGGTCCTCCTGGTCGGCCTACCCGTCTACATGGTAAACTCCTCCCCTCTCCGTCTTCGCATCGTAAAGCACTCACATCACCTAGGTCAACACCCTCCCCGCCTCCGCCCACCCGCCGCTCTCCCCCCGGGACTACGCAGCACTCGCCCTCTTCGCCGGCTCCCTCCTCTTCGAAGCCGTCGCGGACCGCCAAAAGTCCGCCTGGAGGCACGCGAGAGATAACAAGCAGCACGACAAGAAATTCATCACCAGCGGGCTCTGGAGCATCAGTCGGCACCCAAAGTGACATTCTGCCCTTCACGCTGGAATCATCAAAGCTGACGGGTTCTGCAGCTACGTCGGCGAAGTCGGGATATGGACAGGCATCGCCGCCCTGTCCACCGCGTCCCTCCAGAGCCCGTACTTTCCCCGCGGCGCCATCGCCCTGGCTGCGCTCAGCCCGCTCACGACATACTTCCTGCTGCGGAAGGTGCGTGTCGCCTTTGCGGAATACGTATGCCAACCGAGTTTGCTGTGCGTGCCAGGTTTCTGGCGTCCCGCCTTTGGAGGTGAGTACAGGAGCAACTGAGTATTGCGCGAGTCTGATTTGTGTATGTCGAACAGAAAGCGGGGGATAAGAAGTACGGCGGTGACCCCAGGTGGCAGGAGTATAAGAGGTTAGTGGTTGAGTTTGCAACGTTCGCGGTCTGATGTTTTGTGCCTAGGAGCGTACCTGTCTTCTTCCCGTGGGGTCCCAAGGAATGAGGTACCGGTTAATGTCCGCGGGAAGTTGTATTGTGTCCCTTTAACGAGGTAACCCTACCGTGAAAATATTGCAGGCCGGGATAAGTGCGAGGCAGTGCGTAGCATGGGCTTGGGCGTTTCTCGTACGGATTGCACCCGCGGTTAACAATGTATGGAGCCTCCAAGGCGGTAGTAATGCACACGAGCGATGTACACCATTTCTCTCTCCTTCGATCAACGTTATCAGAGCATTTTGTATCAGGAAGGTGAGGTGCATTACGCGCGTACTCCTGGCGTACTAATCCTACAGACAGTGACTTGCTTGGTCAAGCTCAGTACTGGAAAGAGGAGAGCGGGAACTCGAAGCTGCGTCGTCAAGTACGGCATGAGTCAATTTACCGCCGGGACATCGGGGGGGGGGGGGGTACATATCAGAGCACTCACGCCAGCCAAACATCGTACCTCTGCCTTTCGGGCGGCAGAGGAGGCTTGACGGGGACCGTCCAGTCGCCGAAGCGGCTCGCGAGCCATGCGTGCCACGGGTAGTCCGCGCAGCCGTTGGGCAGCAGCTGCGGCTTGGCGCGGAAGCCGTCCTGCACCTTCCAGAGCGGGCCGTGCTCGAAGAGCGGCGGGCAGGCGACGCGCTGCGTGTTCGCCTCGACGTAGGCTTTGGTTAGCTCCAGGTCGGGGTCGACGCCGTCGACGCCGTCGGGGAACCAGCGCTGCATCCGTGCATCATCGTGAACACGTCCTGGACGGGAACGGCAGGCGGGCCACTCACCATACCGCCCTCACCCCCGCCGTTAGAGATGCAACAGTGGATCTCGCAGAAGGGGGACGTGTCGTGGATGTCTGTGGCATCTCATCAGAACTGACGATCCCTGCGCGGAAGAAGGAACGAACGGAAGCGTGCCTGGGGGCAGGTCAGGAACTTTCTGAGGAAGACGCTTCGGGCGTACGCACTGTCTCGCCAAGTCCCAGTGTCCACAGCTGAATATGGCAGATCTTCTCCATGGCGTCGTCGCCAAAGAAGACGTGGAAGCCGGTCATGTTGTAGAACTCGAAATCGTCCCAGTCTGCGGACTACGACGTCAGTGGACTTAACTAGGAGCAGGTAGCCCGCACGCACTGCCGTTACTCGCCCATGGGAGTTGCTCAACTTTGACAAACGAGAACTGCAGCGCTTGTACATCAAGCGACGCAGAGGCCGGGAATGAGTTGGCAATCGGGAGTTCCGACATGGCGGTATACGGGCCCTGGGGCTCGTCAGGGAGGAACTCCATGCGCAGGAATACCGCACCGTCGTCCCCCGCCTGAATCCTTCCGTCGGAGGATAAGACTTGTGTAGTAGCAGCCTGGTGTCGTTCAGGAGCGAGTTTACGTGTGGTGACGCTCCCGTCTTTCCCTTTCATGATGATACTACCTAGATGCCGACACCGTGGGCGCAGGACTTGGCGTATGGTAGGTGTGACTGCTTACCATGTATGACCTTAACAGCGTCTTGCGAATCGAGCCCGACTAAACCTCCCGGCGGTAGGACATACAGGTGGAGCTTCTTGCCAGCGACGGTGATGACCGACATGGAGGCGTGTGAGCGACCAGATATGGCGTTGGGTCGAGGCACCATAAAGAGGACTTCTTGTTCGAGCCGATGGACGCGTATGTCGGTGCTCGATAGCGGAGAGAAGAGTGCGTTGCTGTTGATGCGGATGCTCGGACACTCCGGGCCAACGTGGTAGCCTGGTACATAATACGAGATAGATCCTATATCCTGTATGAACGTTGAGGACGTATTAGATTTATAAGAATTTAATGGACATACTAAGCCTACGCCCCTAAAGGAAGCAATTGCTAGACGCCCGGCTGACCTGTTGGTTATCTTCGTTCGTCTGACCTTACCCGTTGTGATATCAACCATACGGTACAGGTAGACACCCTCGTTAGCGGCTGTCTCGAAATCATCACTTATTAAAAGGTTCATCGAATTCGAGAGGAGTACTAACGGGTTCCAGTTGCTGAAGCACCAGTTAGATCAGTCACAGTGTGGCCATACTACGATCGTTTAGGCAACTCACGGACACCCATGCAGGCGATCGCAAACGCATCCACCCCGTTGGCATCGAAGTCACCGGTGGCAACATGGTGAACCGTGCCCGTATGGTCGTCAGTTAAGGGGCCAAAGTTGTCGACGACAACGCGCGCCCAGTGAGAACTATCGAGGAGTGACGCAGTGCCCTTCGGTGCATCGGGGTTCTTGACGTAGATGGCGATGCTGTTCCCGTGGAAGCCCTGATGTTCCGTTAACATACCCGTATTGAGATGGGAACAAGTATCACTGTGATCACCTCGCAAGTGGCGATATAGCCAACTGGATCGTCGTGAACCATGCCCACGTCAACTGAGCCCGAGCCCCAGTACGGATTGTCGCCCTCGCGAGGCAGACCTGTGCCCACGATTTCGTATTTCCACTTTCCCTCTTTATGATAGAGGTAGCACACTCCCTCGCGCCCGGCAACGAGTACAGTGTCAAGTGCACGCGCGTCGCCTCGGAATACCTTGATGTCGTGGATCAATCTGAACTCGCCGAGAAACGGTACTTCTTTTGCCCAGGATGTCGGGCCGTCGCTAGCCACGGAATCATAGCAGGGCGTGTAGAGAAGAACGGGGACGGAGCTCTCTAGGTCACCAGATTTGGAGATAATGGGGATTGCCATAACCTGTAACTGATCTCTGGTAGTGAAGTGACCGACTGGGACATGTGAGTGTGGAGGTCGGTCCTGAGATGCATATGCTAACCTTTGAGCCTATGAGGATCACTGAATCAACAAAAGTTCGGAGAAGAATAACGGTCGAGTTACCTATGCATGCCTGTGGAGTTTCCAATGCGTCCAGGTGTCCAATCACCCTTGTGTAAACGATCACCAGGGTTCCTGAGCCATTGAACCCGTCCACCGTCATTCTCAGAAGCATCCCATAACTTGAAGGAAATGAGAAAGGATGTCATAAGGTCAGTTCCACCGTGTACGGGAGCTGGTGATCCACGTACATCAGTCATGCTAGGGCCATATCGATCGCAGATAACGACTGAATGTGTACTGCAGATCAGAGGCAGGATCGATGGCGAAGCATGGGACACGTACTATCATTGTAACCATCCCCGGTGAAGTCGCCGAAGGTCATGGCAACCGGGAAGTCCATGGTCTGGATGGGAATGGCATGCCATTTGTTATCCCCCGGTTGGCTTTCAGTAAAACACATGTCAACCCTAGGCAGTGTATGGTACGCAGCGACGTACTCATAGTAGTTCATAGGATTCACAAAGAGCGTGATGGTTGAGGGCTTGTCTTCGAATCCCAGGCCGTACCCAACCAGGTCAGGGTACTTCGCCTCTTTGTGGAAGTGAAACGCTTCGAGCCAGTAGCCGTCGGGCAAATTTTGGGCAACCAGGATTTCGGTTGCATCAGGGACAAGAGGAGTGCCTTGAGGGCTGTTGACCTCAGTAATCGCCTGGACGCGGTATCTGCAGCACATCGTGCACGATTCAGGTGCTTGGCTCGTCAAAGTTATCTGGAGTTATATAAGGATGACAAATCGAGATCAGTGGGTGTATACAGTAGCGGAAAAGGCTGCAATGCCACTAAATTCAGTGTGGCGACCAACCTGAATCTCACCGCCCCAAAGCCGTGGCCCGTCACCGATATGTCAGTGTTCGGGATGAAGGTGAGAACAATGAATGTCTGTGTCTCGTGAGTGCCCTGCTGACAGCTTGAGGAGCATACCGAGTAGCATAATGGATGGCCATGCTGAAATGTGGTACATTGCAAGGCTCAACAAGTTACACATGCATGGAAGTCATGATTGTGGCAAGTTTCCACCGAGAGGCGGTATATCCGGGCCGGATGGCCGTTCACGTCAGGGCCCAGCCAAACATAAATTTACATAACGCCCGACGAATGCTGTGGCGTTGGTGCTAGCAGTGGTACTTCACAACTACTGGCTCGAGCGTGCTGCATCTTGGTTCAAGCCGGGTGGGCAACCCAGCAATGTATTTCTGAGGTGTATCTATCGTCGCCGAGCGGAAAAGGAGCGGACTTACGACGTCGCATCCTCGGGTCGACCGAGTAAGCGAATATCGGATCTTCGTAAGGAGCGACTACTAGTAACTCCCGAGTCAAAACTCAATATGACAAGGACATACCGCAACGCAATAATGGGGAGCGGTCCACCAACTAAAGTCGTCAACGTCATCAATAGGCCCCATCTCCTTGTGGGAGGTCATCTCCTCGAGAGTACTAGTCAATAAGTGAGTGCCTCATGGTGCAGATGCCCTCTATGAATTCAGTTCAAGTTCATAGATTATCAGCTGCTGCTTGTTATCAGAAATATGTCAAGAGCAGAATCAAGCAAGCTTGTTGCCATTGACAGATGCATGGAACGGCACCCATTCATCGCACTTGGGCAGATGGTACTGTCACATGTGCCCTTGTCCAATTGTTCAGTCTTCTCCAAGCCGTTCTCACCTACGTAGTAGATTCCTGGTCATGGTTAATTGACAGCAGTGTGGCGGAGGTTATGGGATGCCGAGAGCCGATAGAAGTATGGGGGTAACGTCCACATTGAAAAGGATTGTTTCCAAGTTACATTTGGGGCAGTATAAAAGGTGTTAGGACACTGATCAAGTCATCCGCTCCTGCGCTATCGACATAACGATGTCCCTCAGCCCTGATGACCCATTTTTTGGTTTCAATAATGGTGGCTGGCTGAGCAAGCCTGCCCGTGCTCTTGCTGACCACGCTACCCGTGCGGGTGTCTTCGGGTATGCTCCAGCAGCCCTTTCGCTACCGCCTCTCCCAAGGCTGCCTGATCCTGGTGTCCCGCCTGAGGTGAGATCACCTCTTCTCTTACCGTCTCCCGCTGAAATGTAATTTCATTGGCATGTGAAGGGAATTCCTAAATATGACATTGTAATTGCCGGTCTGGCCCTATAGGAGCCACATATGCTCGCCTGCTCGTCGAAGCAGGGTTCAATGTGGCTATGTTTGATGTTGGGGAAATGTACGCCATCTTTCTTGAGTGGCGACCATGTCATTGCTGACGGGTCTTGGACAGCGACTCTGGTCCCAAGCGTGGGTCCCACAAGAAGAATGTAAGATTTATCTACTTCATCTCGACTTTCGCGTAGAACAATGCGCTGATCATATATACCTCAGGCTATTGAGTACCAGAAGAACATCGACAAATTTGTCCAGTAAGCAGTATACACCAATATAGATGGCGTCGCCGCTGATCTGTACGGAATCCAGCGTCATTCAGGTACGTCCTAGTTCCGCCCAGTAAGGACACACAGCCTAAGCTAGAAACAGGGCCAACTGATGCCCGTATCGGTGCCCATAAATAAGCTTGTTGCCGACACCCTCAGCCCGAGTAGCTGGCAAGCATCGAGGCACTTTGTGCGCAATGCCTCCAACCCAGGCAAGCTCTCATTCGTGCTCGCACTGGTATTTGCCCTTATGAGGTCTGCAGAGCAGAATCCTTTCCGTAACTTAGGTGGACAGGCTGTCACGCGTGTTGTCGGTGGCATGTCTACCCATTGTACGTCCCAAAATGCGCATGATACTATTCGTCTGACCGGTCCGTAGGGACCTGTGCGACACCACGGTTCCACAGAATGGAGCGTCCTAAGCTAGTGAGGGACGATAACGCCGCAGATGACGAAGAATGGAACCGCCTCTACCGCGAGGCCGAACAATTCATCGCGACCGGACATTCGCAGTTCGAGCGGTCGATCCGACACACACTCGTGCTCGAAACCCTTCGGGACTCGTACAACGGGACACGCGCGTTCGAGCAGATCCCTCTCGCCGCTACGCGCACGGACCCCGACAGCCAATTCATTCAATGGAGCTCTGCGCACACGGTCTTCGACCTCGAGGACCGACCGAACACGACGCACCCTGGCGAGCGGTTCAACCTCTTTCCTGGCGTCAAGTGCACGCAGGTTATTCGCAACAGCGAGAATACTGCGATAAAGTCGATAAGGGTCCAGGACGTCACTGCGCCCAACAGCGCCCCCGTAGAGATCAGCGCTGATGTATTCATCCTCGTCACAGGAGCTGTGCATAACCCTCAGGTATGGGCTATGCTCTGCGTGCGAGTGTCAACCCGCAAGGGGAGGTCACTGACATACTCTAGATCCTCGTTAACTCAGGTTTCGGCAAGCTCGGGCGTCCCGATGCCTCGGATGCCAATGAGGGGGTTCTGCTGCCCTTCCTCGGGAGCTTCATCACCGAGCAGACGCTGGCGTTCTGCCAAACGGTGCTCAGCAAGGAGCTCGTGAACAACGTCAAGGCAGACATGCGCGTTTCGGGCACTCCTGGCCAACCCGATTACAAAGTTGAATGGACTTCGGGTGACCCGGCCAACAAGCATCCGGACTGGTGGAATGAGAAGGTATGGAAGCATATGATGGAGCACCAGGAGGATCCGCTACCTATTCCGCTTCATGATCCCGGTACGTGGTTATATCGCATATTCAACCTCTTCGCTAACCGGCACTCAGAGCCCCAGGTCACCACCCTCTTCGAGGATAGTCACCCATGGCATACTCAGGTATGAATTCATCGCTGTCGTGAGATGCCTGGCCACAATGTTAACCCGATGCTTGCAGATTCATCGTGACGCCTTCAGGTAAATATGTCCTTCGTCGTTTCGCTAACGTAACCTCTGATTCACTATGTAGCTACGGTGCTGTCGCGGAGAGTATTGACACCCGACTCGTCGTCGACTGGCGCTTCTTCGGGCGCACGGAACCAAAGGAGGAGAACAAGCTTTGGTTCTCGAAGCAGATAACGGACCAGTACGGTATGCCCCAGCCAACGTTTGACTTCCGCTTCCCCGATGGAATTACGAGCCAGGACGCGGACCGCATGATGACGTGAGTCCACGGGTGTTGTTACAATGCCTGTGGCGAGAGAAGGTGCTCATGCGATCCTAGTGATATGTGCGAGATGTCCTCGAAGATCGGTGGATTGTGAGCCTCCATGTATACGAGCTATTTCTTAAGCTGACTGGCTGCAGCCTCCCGGGCTCGAACCCGCAGTGGATGGAGCCCGGCCTCGTCCTTCACCTTGGTGTAAGTCGATTTCTTCCGTCTGCCGTTCAGGTCTGACCATGGATTTCTAGGGGACGCACCGCATGGGATTTGATGAGCAGGAAGACAAGTGTTGTGTCGATACCGATTCGAAAGTCTTCGGCTTCGAGAACCTCTTCCTCGGCGGTTGCGGTAACATCGGGACGGCGTATGCCTCCAATCGTGAGTATCTGCCGCGTCAATGCCTGCTTCATGATAATTCAGGATAAATTATCCAGCGACGCTCACTGCAATGGCGATGGCGATTAAGAGCTGTGAATACATCAAAAAGAACTTCAAGCCGAGTGAGATCGGTTCCAGTGATAATCGAGCTTGGATTCGAGGAGCCGCATAGGCTCATATGTCAGAAGAGACCTGAAATTTACGGCGTAGCGACCTGTGTAATTATATCTGAACATAAGTACGGCCCATGCCACTTCATCACATTCGTTCATGCTGCTGTCGTTCCCAAGAACCGCACCACAGTTAGTGTGGATGGCAGCCTCTCCGGAGCCCTGCCAGCTGCCGGTATGCCGGCAACTGCCACTTTCGCCAGGTGGCAGGGACCTGGCAGGTGGGACAAATTTCCTGGACCAATCAGAGACCAATGGTAGACCATAGTATGGACTTGGTATGGACATCCAACCATAATCTATTGGTTGTTGGGGCATTTGATGCCATTTCATCCCCCTTGAGAGCGTGTCTGAGGCCATACCAGCAATATGCCTATGTTTTATCACACTTACCCCCCAAGATATGGGGAAAATCAAGTAAATACTGGTATTTTCTTTATTTCCTGCCACGTCCTGCCAGAGCCCTTTGGGCCTGCCAGCCGGCATTGCCACTGCCGGGAGCTGGCATGGCAGGGTGGCACGGCACTGCCTGCCACATTGGTCCACATGTACAGTATACTGTACAGTAGCCCCTATTTCCTGTGCGGTCCGGATAATCCGATCAGAGCGGCCCACGCGATTATCGGCTCGGCGCTTTTGGCAGCACGTTTGCTCGGTCCCTCTCGTGGAGTGCTCGGAACTTTCGATGCCTTGAGTTCAGCGCACGCATTCCCTCGGGAAGGTTGCACAAGGCCTGGAATGCGGACGTTGCGTGCGACGGTATGTCTGGATTTCCCGCTGCAGCTTCCGCACTTGCAAGATCGGACGGCGGCTCCGCTTTTCAATCGCACTGGAGCGGAAGTCCCCTGCAGCACTCCTCCGTCGACGCTGATAGCACCGATTTGGCGTCATCGAGTCCCGGAACATGCAGGCTCTTAACGCGTGCAGTGTAGTCGACGAGGCCAGCACGCCCGCCGCTGTGCTCCAAGGGCGTCGATTAGCCTGCTGACCGTGCTGTCCTGGACTAGACGCGTCCCTTATGCGGTCATTGCAGAGAGTGTATTGTTCAGTGCGAGATCAAACTGTCAGACTAGCTCGGATGCCCGCGTAGACGTCACCCAGGGAGCACCGTCAGCCGCCCGCCATCGACATAAGGACCGCCGCCAGCCCATCCCTGTCCCTCGTCCCCGTCTATTCTACCCAGTCATGGCGTGGCGCTCGAGAACACAAACAACGCGGCCGGGCCTCTTCGACACGCTGCGCGCAGACTGCATCGCCGCCTTCATCGAGTTCGTCGGCACCACCTTCTTCCTCCTCCTCGGGCTCGGCGGCATCCAGGCCGTCACGGGCGAGACCGCGTCCAGCACCTCCGCGTCCAACATCCAGCTCGTCATGTACATCTCCCTGTGCATGGGCTTCAGCCTCACCGTCGCCGCCTGGCTCTTCTACCGCGTCACCGGCGGCCTCTTCAACCCCAACGTCAGCCTGGCGCTGCTGCTCGTGGGCGTGATCGGCCCCGTCCGCTTTGTTCTCTATTGCATCGCGCAGCTGCTCGGCGGGATCGCCGCGGCTGCGCTGGTGCTCGCCCTCACTCCCGGTCCGCTCTCCGCAAAGTCAGTGTTGTGTTCGCCCGGTAACGCCCCTCGACTCATCTGGTGTCCCATAGCACGTTCCTGCAGACCGGCGTGAACGCCGCGCAAGGTGTCTTTATCGAGGCTTTCATCACGGCCGCGCTGGTCCTCGCCGTGCTCATGTTGGCTGCCGAGAAGCACCAAGCAACGCCGTTTGCACCCGTAAGGACAGCCGCTACCATATCCGTCCGGTTCTCATCTTTGGTGTGCAGATCGGAATAGGCCTCACCTTGTTCGCGGGCCACTTGTAAGTCAGCTGCCTAGCCATCACTTACACGACCTCACTCCTCACATGTTAGGTTTGCCGTTTTCTACACCGGTGCCGCCACCAACACCGCCCGGTCCTTCGGGCCTGCTGTCGTAACCGGTTTCCCCTTTCACAAACATTGGATCGTAAGTCTCCCTGCTTCCTGTGCAGAATATTCCTCATATCCCACTCTCATTCAGTACTGGCTCGGTCCTTTCATCGGCTCTTTGCTGGGCGCCGGCTTCTACGCACTCCTGAAACAGTGAGACTGTTCCTCCCTTGTGCATGTGCCGGCCTCTGATAGCACCCCGCAGTTACGGATACTGGGAGCTCAACCCTGACCAGGACACGACCATGCCCGAGAAGTCGCCCGCCGATCCTGTGGCGCGCGTAACGAGTGCCATTGGCAGCGGCAGGGACAGATCCCTCTCGCGGTCGACGAGGAACGACGCACCTGTATGATTGTGACAGGATATCTCACGACGTTCCCAGGGTTGCATGAGATCGGGGATGTAGACCCATCATCACACTTGTATGCGACGCATTATTATCCGTGTATCGTTAGTTTAGCTTGTAACATTAGTGTCGCATAATTAGAATCAACTGGCTCGTCAGGAGTCGCAGGATTCATTCTGTGTCGCCACGCCCATGCCGCGGCATAAGAAAAGAGACTGTTCCTCTCCTGGTGGACGTCGGCCCCATGATGTTTCCTTGAGTCCTCTGCTGCTGTCCAGAGACGCAACTGCGTGCGAGGATAACAGCGAAAAGGTGCTTAGATTGAGCATTGCGGATAAAGATAAACATCGTGTGCGGCAGTTAACGAAGCGACGTAAGAGAGTATAAAGTGTCTATGCAGTTACCGAGTAGTACCGAAAAAGGAATAAGATAAGGCAAGGATGGAGCGGGGAAAAGTCCTGGATCTTCGCATCGCGTGGAGAGGGCTCTATAACCTGCGGTGGCCCATGGGTCCATAGCTGCCGTTCTTGGCGCACTGGTTGCCGATGCACGGCTCGAGCCCGGCGAAGGCGTTGTAGGCGGGGCACAGCAGGTCCCATCCGGCTGAAAGTGCACAGTCAAGGTCAACAAGAGTTAAGCGCGGATGGAAACAGAGATACGCACGAGGGACGGGCGTGTCGACGTCTGGGACGTCGGGCACATCTTCAGCCATTATGGCCGCGAACCCGCTGGAAGGGCATCATGGTCTCGTCAGAAGTTTGGTTCTTATTAGGACTTACGCGTTCAGATGGTAGTCAATGTGGCTACGATGAGCCACGTCAAGGTCTGAAAGAATGAAGAGTGTGTGGAATCATACCAATGCAGGAACCAGGGGCCTGCGTTGTCCGTCACGAAGCGGATCGTTACGTTGTCACCGGTGGTGTCTCCTGTGATGCATATCAATGTAGTCCGGGATCTGAAGGAAAGCCTTGCTTGCCTATGGAGACGACATCACGCCCTGCGAGGACATTAGTATGAAATGACTTTTACGTCCATTGTCCGTATTACTCACGGACGGGGTTCTGTCAGCAGGGAACATTAGTCTACATGACGCCAGAATCAATACAAACTCACCTTGAAGTTGTAGCCGTCGGGGCCTGTACCCGCACTACGGATGACAGAAAACGTGTGCTAGCACCCGAGTTAGAGATATAACGTGAGGGAATGCCACCAAGCCTTACACCGTGCAGATGCATAGGATGCTGGGCAATCAATCGTGTCGTCAGTATTCGTAGCTTCTCAAGCACTGCTACAGCTTACCGGAGAGCCAAGCAAATTAATCATGGGGAAGGATACTTCGATGACTGCCGTGGGTCAGTCAATGCACCAATGAGTTCGGGCGGACAACCTTACCTTTGTTAGGGGGTAGGGTGTAAACACTCCCGTTGGGCAGGAGGTTTTGAGGAGGTACGCCGTTCAATATCTGTAGGAGAATCGGGATTGTGGGAGACTGGTATATCTCACCGCCAAGGCTCCAGTTACCGATGGGCGGATTAGTTTGGGAGAGAAGCTAGGTGGAGAATACCAGCAACACGTCAACAGACCGCCAGCGCAAGAATGAGGTATCACGCGAAGACACCTACCACTTCAGCAGGAAGGTTGATGGTCACGTCAGCCCCTCCAGGCCAGGGGTTACCGGGCTGTATCGAGTCATATTGGGTACTGTGCGAGAAGGTTGTCCAGAATCACTTACGGCTTCGGGATTGACAAGAGGCTACAAACCTGTGAGTGACTGGAAGATTTGGTAGGGGTGCGAAGAAACATACGTGAAGCTGTGTCTCATTCAGAAGATTTGTGTAAACACTCTTGGTGTCATTAGGTTCCAAGTCGTCCGCTCCGATATATCTCAAGATGGCGGAGTTGACGCCTCCATCCACACCTACGATCCCCGGAACATTAGGTCCAGTCTGCGATCTTATCCCTGTGAACACAATATAAACATGGGATAGGAATGATAAACGGTACACGGTTACTCACAATAATTGCCGATCGGTTGGTTAGCATCAAGCTATGCTGATATCAGAAACCTGCCAGATGAGTGTTGATTTCTCTTACAATGAATGAGTAGCGTTGTCCTTCAAAGGGATACGAACGTACGTCAGACAAACGGCTAGCACTACTCTCGTATCAACTCACCGGCAAATATCTGAAGGGAGCCGACGGTCACCGGCTCGTGATCGACACCGTCGGCCTCGATGACAGTCATATTGTGGCCATCAATCCACACGATGAAGTTAGGGTCGCAGGATATGGATACCAAACGCATGCGATACCTAAAGCTCCGAAATGACGTGAACACGCATTGTACGCTTGCGCTGTGACTAACCGCTTTCCCTTCTCAACCGTTATGATCGCCAAGTCAGCCTGCGGTCCACCGATATATCTTCCCTTGCCATTGATTAAGGTCGAGCTAATGTTAAGACTAAATGAGATGTATCAGATGGTATACTTGGTTATACGGCGTGATCCACTTACGGGAACTCCGCTAGTTGGGATGTCGGCAGGTGTTGCCTAGATCAAGGTCATGTCAATCCTTATTGCATCCCGAATCCCGATAGAGCAGATGCAAAGCCGTACCAATCGGAGATAGTAAGGACGGTGCTCTCTGGAGAAGCCGAGCGTGAGCGGGGACGTAGTGATCAGACACTTTAACACGGACCATCATCCACGTCATACATATCTTTGAAGGGATCGTCGGGGTCGTATATTACCATTGGACCTCTCAATCCATCGCAGTATTGTTCCGAAAAGTGAGAATGGTACCAGAAGGTGCCCGCCTGTCCTGAGGGAGTGAAATCGTACAGAAACGATTCACCTGGAACAAGAGGACATTGTGTCACGAAAGCAACTCCGTCTGCCCAGTTGGTCTTCTTCTGGTATAACCCATGCCAATGCTAGACTACGGTCAAACTTGCGAACAGTAGGGGGGGGTGAATGAGAGCTCACGATAGTCAAAGCACGCTCCATAGTGTTATCAGTAAGCAGATCGTGTACGTTGAATTGGAAGCGGTCCCCCTGCATGATCGCTGTGTGAGTGCAAGGAATGAGATCTGAGTGTCGTGTCTGCTATACTTTGTTTGCCTTGATCAACGGAGCGGGGTATTGGCCGTCAACAACGACAGCTCTGTGAGATGCGTGAGCGACGACAAGCGAAGATTCCTCTCATCACTCACGAACGAGGATAACCATCCGGCGCGATGACTTTATTGGTGACAAATAAATCTCCGACTGGACCGATGAAATTCTGTGCATAGGCCCCGACAACGAGACAGGGCAATGCGAGTCTGGACAGGACGAAGGCAGGAGACATAGCAAGCGTAACCTATATATCAAAGGAGAGTATGGTCAGGGTGCAGACCCTCAAGAATGAGAAGTGTAGAGAGATGAACTCTTCGGCGTACAGTCGTTATATACCCCTTCTTCGAAGATAGTATTCCTATGTAAAATCTGGGTTAGGTATCCTGGTGGCGATACGGGATTTCAATACCCAGAGGGCTCCGACGTGATTTATCAAGGCGGGGACCATGGGCGACGTGTGCCACTGGCGGAATGGATGGTTAGGTCGACTAGACAAATGATCGTGGCGACATGCCACCAACATTCCACCTCTCTGACTCGATAGATGACGCCGTCCAGCAGTCTCTGGAATCGATCCCAGGTGGGACATCGGCACTCCTCCTCAAAAGGAATACTCGGCCCTTCAATTCGATGTTGCATTCTAGCATGAGACGCAGCATGTAAACTTGTGTATAGTCTGTTGCTATGTATGCACCGCGTCAAGTCTCAGCCCCTTGCACTTCGGGGACAGTCCTTGGGCTGTCGAGGGTGGATCCGAGATCTGAAATTTGAGTGGGTTACATGGCATGCTAGACAGGATTAGGAAGACACACCACCCAATAAGCGAAGTATTCCAGCAATACTGATGGCGGTTTCGTGACTGGCTTTGCTTGAGGCACATCCGAGTCGGCACTGCGTGAATATGCTTGATAGAACCACAGTGTTGCGACAAGAACGTCCACATATGTCCGATGACGGTGTAGGGCTCCCTTATAGTACTAGGAGAGGCCGCGAAGAGTTGGTAGTATTCAACAAGTAGTGATGGTCACCGTACGCCGCTGTCGCTGTCGGCCGGCTGTTTTAGGCTAATCACATCCGACTTGGAATATTGGACTCATGTCCTCCTTAATGCCAAGAAAGTGCTCACATTCAACCAGGAGAGGCATTCCTGAGGGCATAAACGTTGGGAACAGCCAACCATCACGATACTGAGCATGGAAGGGCAACTCAAACTTGACAAGCGATCCTGCTCCGTGATTCGCCGTCACGCTCGCGTCCAAGTTGATGCGCCGCCAAAAGACTCCGAGAATCGAGTCTGCACTGCTCCCGTAACATTGCTCAGGATGTTCTCTGCACTACCTTGCTCTGCTTTGATCTATCGCAAAATATCACTGCGACCAGCAGCCACTTCCTTTAGCGGTCTCTGCGGTACCGAGTGCCATTTCATACTAAACTTCATCCAAGTCAAGATGCTGACCATAGGCCGGCTCCACTTTTTCGCTGGACCATTGCGCAGTTACTGAGTCACTCGATCCCAACCTGTTGGTATATCGGCAGGTGCGGGCGTCGATCATACTACTCTATTAGTCCATCAGCAGTGGCAGAGCATATGCGCTTGGGCTACTGTTGACCCACCCCGGAAACAAACTTCTACGGACTAGGAAGTAGTAGGTGTTCAAGTTTATGGGGTTGCTACGGGCAAATTTGTAGCTTGTACTAGCGCCTGACGCGGCCAGTTCATCGCCGCTACGTGCTGCTTGGTCTCCTCACTTTTGACCAGCGCTGAGAAGTACAAGCCCGCCCGGTGGAGCTTTCAAGACAGTGCTGAGATCGGATCGCAACTTAATCTCTGACCCTTGGCACGGTTCGCGAAGAAGTCCCCAATGGGACGTTACTCCCAGATTTACATTGCTTACTCTCTCTTCACTGATCCAAAATAGAGCTCTGCATCTCATACCGCGCCTTGCGCTCGAGAGGGGGGCTGTTTGACACGGTGTAACCCAGGCAGTGCCTCAAAGCGCTTACCCGGAGTTGCTTGCGGGGCCTGTTCCTATGTCGCGCTGGACTGTCTTGCGCTCAGTCTTGCGCCTCCACATGAACATGCATTCTGCGGCGCATCACGCCACCATCTCCTCTGACTACATTCTATTGTGAGTAATGCGCTTTCTCTAGGCTGGACTGCTTACCGACGCAACCCCGAGACGCTTTTTAAATGAGATTTCATTTGTTCGTCAGTGGCATTTACTGACATCCTTGCATCTTGATCTAAGCATATAAATATCCGAGGGGGCTGGCATTGACGAACAAATTGTGTACGAAGTCCCTTCAGGTGCCGAATATCACTCCTTCAGAGCATATACCATTTTCGTTACCCGTCTCGCAGACCATTGTATCCGATGTATCTGGAGCCCTTCGCCGTTATCACAGTCTCCATCGCCATAGTCGCTGCAGCACCTGTGAGTAGATCGGTCCGCTTACTTCTCTTCCTCTTGTCATCTCGCTGATTTGATTGTTCGATTGTCGGCTAGCCTGGACCAAGCAGTTCCGATGGCGGCAATTACACCAGGAACGTATCGAATGCTAGCCCTGTGAGGGTCGCGACAACGCTGTCTACGTACACGGATACAGAATATTTCGAAACGCTTTTGAGCACGTCACCATACTTGACCGTGCTGCCCACCACCATCGTATGGACTGAGTCGCCCGCTCTTCCAGTCTCTTCCGGTGATGCCACAGGGTCGATATGCAGCTGCCCCTTCACTCCCGCGTCCAGCGCTACTCCTAGCAGCTCGGGTGCCGGCGGTAACAACACGGTGTCCTCCTCGACATACACTCTCACATTATCCTACCAGACCACAATGGCATCCTCTCCTTACAAGACCGTGCTTCCTACGACCATGATCTGGACTCAGATGGTGGCGCTTCCGACCGCCGTGTCGAGCACCTCGTCTTCCGGTGTCTGCTCGTGCAGTACTACTCCGTCTTCCAGTGCTCCCAACACCAATGTCTTGAATTCCAGCGGTGTCAATAACAGCAGCGTCTTCAGCACTGGTACTGCATATGTTACTACTAGCACAGACGTTTGAATGTGGTTGAACCTTGGATTATATATTATCCAGGTAGCGCGAGCGTTCATTCATCTGCAGTGGTATCGGCGTCTTTCTCTCTCCTTTCCTTGTCGGAATGTAACTGTACATCCGTGCAATTGATTCGACTATTAGGATGTACTAGAGGACAATAAAGTTACATTGATAGGTATATCATATGGGGACCGTCGAGCCATTACTGCGCCTGCCGTTCGGTAGCACAAATCGTGGAAGGAGTCCAAGATAATGGTATCTCCAACCCGTTGCACACATGCGATTGTCACCTCAGGCGTGCGGGCTGGCAGATGGGAATTAGAGGCGATCACAGTGGATTCAACTCGAGTGTAGCATCACATATCTACAGAAGGCCCAATACCTAGATCTCCACGAAGTAGGCTAGACCCCACGGGTAACGACCACTCTCCTGAGACTAACACACACAAAAGAAGGAATATGACCGCCTCATATTCCTGCCGAGCAAGGCACTGACGTTTGAGGAATGAATCACGGCCGATACCTTCAAAGACAACAAGTCAGCCATCTGAAGGAGATACAGATGTTGAAAACGTATAAAATCAGATCAATATTAGTTACAATCACTGTCGAAGCTCAGGAACAGCTTCTAGTTGATGAATTTTACTCTATTCATCGCAAAAGAAGATCGACAACATCATGCGACTCGGACTAACCTCAAGCACACAGCGCCTCAGATACCCCCCTAACTATCGCTCATTGTGGCTCTATATACAGCCGACCACCGGTGGCGTGCTCCCGCGTCACCTGTGAATTACAGTCAGCCTCGATAAGACAAAGCAGTTCCAGCAATGGACTATTCAGATGGGGTTGCCCGAGAAATTGAGCTGTGGCGGGCATTTTCGGCAGCAATGATACGAAGACCGTCGTGATAAAGCATCATAGAAATTACAGGGGACAGGCGTAAGACTCACTGTGGATAGCTCAAGACCAGCCTAGAACCTCGTAGGAAGATAACGAGTTATGGGACGTGATCCTGTTAGAAGAGGTGAGCAATAATGCGATGAGACACGACAAGAGAAGCTCAGAAAAATAAAACAGCCTTGGATTTGTCGTCAACTCGTGCCGTAAAGCACGAATCAGGCGGTAACTCCATTGGTAACATCCTAGAAATATAACGGACTCGTACTCACCACGTCTCAATGACCTCACTCGGCCAGAGATGACACCAGACTTCGCTACCTAGAACGGGGATCAGATATAGTTCGCGACAACATGACGGATGTAGATTATTCAGTGGATTGACAGAAGGTAAAGCATCGAGCCCATACGGGCACTCAGATACTCTAGTTTGAATTGTTTGGATCATCTCGGGAGAGAATCGAGAGACTGTCGCAGACATAAAGATGATGAGGAGCGCACCTTACAAGGTCACCCTAAAGCCCTTCCAAACCATGATACCCAGATACTAGCTATAAAGGGACACCTAGGAATTGAGAGGGGTTAGAATACGGACAGGCATGGGACTTGACGGAAACCGATCAGTGTAACTATGACAAGATAGACCACATGCGTGTAGACCGTCTAGGTTTGACGGAACACTCGGAAGCTAATACATGGCATCATGTCGAAAGGACACGAAACGACTACTCACCAGAGCATCCTATCCAGATACCAACATCGTGGACATCGCTTGCCAGTGGAGGTCGCGTTCAAGGAAGTTTTCGACTTTTGAAGCTCCGGCAACTTTAGGGCCGGCGTTCACGTGGAACCCACGTGCCACCACCTCGTCGGAATCGGATTGAATCGAGTTGTCGACGTCGTCGCATCGCATCGGACAGTCGCGGTCAGCTCAGTGACTGGTACTTAGGTCTCATTTGATTCTATAACGCCGATCCGGTTATATATTCCCTCAATTCGCTGGCTCTCCCAATGGATCCTGCCCTGGAATGCGTTCCTCGGATGGTATATGTTTAAATGGCCTTATCCAAGCTTCAAAGACACTTGCAATACTGTGTCTGTCCGTACTCGTCCGTACTTCTTCTCACTATGATAACTGGGGATCTTCAGACGATTTTTTTTGCATAGGGTCTAAAGCCAATGGTCAGGATAAAATCCGAGATAATAACTTCCATGTTTGGGGGAATCGGACGCTGCCTCACGGCGTGAACTCCACTCACTCACATACCGTCTGGCTATGGGCGATCCAGGTGAGGTTGCTTGTGGAATAGAGTTGGTCAACTATGACGATATGGTCGCCATTGGTTCTATAAACTCAGTAAACCCTATGCGCGATGCAGGTTCGCTCGCTCCCTGGCCTCCCCCCTGGGGATGCTCTATCCAAGTGGTCATGCCTTATTTACTGTTCTTGCAAGACGTGCCCATACTTCATCAAGCCCATTTAACCTAGGATCATGATAAACGAACGTTCAGCTAGTTTTACAACCCCACGATGTGGACTTCACCTCGCCTACTGCTACCGCTGTCATCCCGCATCCTAGAAGAACAGGCTCGACGATTGGAATCGCGATGCTGCACTGCATTACGGACCCTATGTCAACTACACGGAGATAATCTGGTGACACTAATCTGCCAGAGATGCAGAATAGGCAGATCTCAAACGCCCCCCTAACGCCGCTCTATTTGCGAAGACGGTGCGGCGAGATCCCGTCCGCAGGGAACAGTGGAGAAGACGCGTGCCGTACTTTCCTCGATGGTCAGGGTCTAGCTGACCACAGTGACACTCGCCCACAAGCAGGAGCATCCTGACAACGATCTCTCTCTTGCCAACCCAATGACCTCTTGGTTCGAAGACAGCGAATGGAGGACTCAGACGGTCATGCCAATGCATGCAGCTCTTCCCGGATTTCACTTTGATTGCATTATACTTGGGTGTCCCAATGACATTCCATGTGCTGAATGTGATCCTCGAGCTAACCTGCTCTGATCTGGAGCATAGTTATTCCCCCCTCTCGACTGCGTAGGCCCACTCCGAAGATGGCCGCAGGGGATTTCTAGTCAGTGCTCTGAATCGTGAGGGTTCGAGTACTCCGGAGGTGCAATGTCTCCATTCGCGATTCCATAGATAACGGCTAATATAATTTGGGAAGTCCTTCCTTTGTCTATGACAGTTCGTGTTTCCACGCACTCTGTGCCATGGTACTCGTACGAATAAGTCATGTGTTCCTACGTGATGATGTCCATTTTACACGCAGATGCGTAGATGAGAGAAGCACAAGCCGCGGTGGTCAAGTCCGTCGTGATCAACATCCACTCAAGAACCCCGGGATAGTGGGGAAACATGCACATCAGGTACAGTTGTTAACCGATAATATATATAGATAGACTCTTAGCGAATACGAGTCCTTGTTGCTCGCCCAATATCACGCTAGCGTGGGCCGACCACGATGGGCTTAGTCTTGCTAAGGCTCGCAATAAGCTCGTCGGAGATGTTCAAATGTGCCTTTACAAGTGCAGGCGGAGTCAAAGCCAACCACTGCGAGAATGTTAGTAGATGAATCATGCACGATATTGTGCACGCTAGCTTACTTGACTCAAACTGATATCTTGATAGCGATCTGTGAAACCATTAGTGACCCTGTGGAAGACGAGTCTAAAGGAACAATCGCACCCGTCTTGAAGATCTCAAGGAAGTGAAGAGTGGTGTTCCCCGTGTTCTCGACGTAGTGTCCTGAGAAAGACCATTAGTCCGATCCGTACTCACGCTGAATTCACTTCAGCCTACCATAGGAAGCGGGTATGTAGCCTGGGAGTTTGAGTTAGCATTCATGAATCAGCCACGCGAGATACGAGCAACAAAGCGTACCGACGTCCCCACCCTAATACACGGTGTTAGATAGATATATTTTAGGTGACTCTGAACATGCGCACCTGATAATCGAAAGTCCTGGCATTTCCGGTAGAACCGAAGAGCGTTATACGGGCCGTGCCGCCGCTAATCGGGAATCAGTACCTAACAACTTGTGAAGTCACGCAAGATAACTGACATGAAGTAGTCCCATTCATCTTGGGTGGGATGCCACTGTTCGAAGTCAGAAGAGTAATATTTGGAGCTACAGGCGGCCTTACGTGAAGTTCTCTGTAACCATGTGAGTGATCGTCTCAGATGCACGCGACATATACTACAGACCTCATGGCTCCGGGTTCGACTGTAACTTCTGCCACGGCAGTATTCACGGACACAGGGAAAGTAGTCGAATCCACCACCTTCACAGTACCTCCGGCGAGCTGGGTTGCGTTAACCTGAGACATCTTGAAGGTGTAAGGCTGTGGCACGGTTCCGTAAGGACTGGATGGAGCCTGTGCGTCATCGGGAGGGGGCGCTGCAGAGGACGGTCATCGCTCATCTCAGAGTACAATGCTTCATTGCGCTCACCACTCGGGAAAATATATAACTCTTCTGCCGGGATGTGGTCGAATGCAGATATATCGGTCTGGAAGTTCTTCGCGATGACTTCTTTCGGAACGTGTGCCAGCCAGTCAGTAAGCTAGATGAATGTCAGCGACGACAAGAGCTTTTTTTGTGCAGCGCTTACCAAGAATGTAGCATCTTCGCTGAACGCTCCATCATCAAAAACCTGTGATAATGTCAGGAAGGCTCTTTCTAGTTGAGTACGTTTCTTACCAGTAAGAACTCGCAGCCATCCGGATCATCAGCAGTGGCTTGTAAGGAGTGAGGTATGCCAGCTGGGAAGTACCACAGGTCACCGGCACTCTGCATCCAGCTCGTCAGGCTGCCAATTTCAATCAGCGAACGACGTTACTCACAACAGTGGCGAGGTAATTCTGGCCATCGGGATTTACTGCCGATACTTGAACGGACCCCTTTAAAAAGCATTAATCAGCCGGACCCTACGTTCAGGAGCTCATCTACGCACTTTCAAGATGTATGCCCACTAGTGGAGCAAGGTAGAGTTAGCTGACTTCCACCCGACAACGATAAACACCGACTTCGTCTGTTTTATGCCAGTGTAGCTCGCTGCCCTCAGCAGTGAGTATAAGCGGATATTGCTTGGGCAAGCAGGTAGCGCACGCACCGAATAGCGCCGACATCCAGCCGCATATTAACACCCGCCATTTCTATAGTCACGGGAATCGCAGGTGAGAATTGCTCGAAGAAAACTTTGAGACGACACTTACCAGTGGCCATCGGCAATACAGCCTCTGGACAAGAATCAGGATGACAGTGAGCACTCATAAGTGCACGACCTACCATTCTGCTGGCGAGCCCATCCCCCAGTTTGCAGACGGTTATGACTCAGGCCCATGGGCCATTTTGCTTGGCCTCTGTGACATGAGGTGAGTTCACTGGGTCACACTGAATAGACATCGAACGAACATTGTGCCCGCATCCGTGCTCGGAGGCGCCAAGATATCTGGATTTTGTTGGTCGCTGGAGATCAGAAGTCTCAATACAGCCGTTAGTCTCTCAGCGAAGGTACTCACATTGGGACGTTCTGCGGGCCAATCACTGTTGCTCCTAAGGATCCACGAATGGCTTCTGGGGTAGAGGTGGTGTCTTCGTTCCACAAAGGAGCATTTGGGTCGTCGCTCGCATAGGGAAGAGTTGCTTCTGGCTCTGCCGATGAGACAGAGGGCGAGGCTGGAGCCGCCAGTGCCGACGCGACACAAGCAAGAACGAGGTAAGCAGCAGGCAGGCAGACCATTGCTCGCAAGGGGGGACCAGTCGCCTGTAGTTAGTACCGGGAGTGTCGCCTTAAATGCAGTCGGCAGAGAGGTAAATAAACGGAAATGAAGAAATCATAACTGCTTTGAATCCCAAGGTTCTTTGTCAGAGCGAGGTGGGATTCTTCCGGCACCTAGTGAGAGATCATTCTGCATGATTCCCTTCGTACCAATCGCATTACCGAAAACGGGGAGAAGGGCATCACAGATGACAGCACAGGAGTATCCGAAGAGGCGTGTAGCATGCCAACATACGGGAAACTAAGTTTTCCCGGTTCAGTGTTGAACAGTCCCTATGTTGGAAATTACACAACCACACTGCTCACCTAGCAAGACTAAGGTATGTTCGCAGGAGCGCCTTGCAGTCCGACCATCCCGCGGCGACTCATGCGATGGATGTCCTTGTTACCGATGTAGTGGATCGCATCAAATCAGCAGACGCATCGTCTGGAAGATAAAATTAGCCAGTACAAAAATAACACATCCTATGAATATACTCCCCAAGGAAGTGTCGAACACGAACCGGCAGTTCTGCACAGCTAGTGCCATAATATCATTCTGTATGTGAGCGCAATCCACCATGTCTACCACGGAAACCTGGACTTGACTTTCTCAAAGAGATTCGTCCGAGTTGCTGTGGATGAAGGACGAAGAACGGGGATGATCTGCCTACAATTGCGTCATAGAAGCACTGGCACAGGGGTGGCAGAAAGCCCGAAATGTTAACCAAACAGGCATAGCTGTCGAGAGCTTCTCTGTTCTCCAGAAATCCGGGCCTCCGTGGCGGACTCGGCAGCAATCAAGGAGATCGATGCATCCCTTCGCAACGATAATATCCACACTTACCCTCAAATAGATCGGGGTAATTTTGGCCGGCCGATAATCAGGTAGCCATAGCGTAGGATCCGCAGTGGAATCGTACGTGCCGTTGCGTATCTAGCGCGGCTGAAGCACCACATTTGGCAGACGAATATACCAGCGGTGCATCGCACAGACCCTGAATAACTCGGAGGCTGAGTGCGACGAATCTGGTGAACTCTTCTCAAGCACCTATGCCACGTTAGTCAGGTTAATTTAGCCAGGCAAATTTGTTACCCATTTGTCCTGCACTATTACAGGAGAATGCAGGATATGATCGCGGCATACCGTCCCGTCAAACGGAGGTATAGTCTGGTAACAAGGAAGAGAAGCTCAGTGGATCGACCGAGATCACAAGAAAACCCGGTACCTGGCACAGCGCCGACAAGAAATGTCTAACATTGGCTTCCTAGCTGCATTCTTAGTAACAGTTGACTCGAACTTGTGAAACGTTTCAGGGAAGCACTTTGAGAGGAACTGAACGCATTGGTTGCCCGAATGGCGATGCATGACCAGGCAGGCCGCAGAGGGTACTTCCATCCCCTGTAAAATCGACCAGCGCATATTTCGGTGTGCTCCGATAGATCACTAGACAACAATATGTGTGGTAGTAGCGGGAGGTTAAGTTCAATAAAAACGGCCTGCATCTCTTTACCTATTCATGGATATTATATACACAGATACGCCATTGGTGACGGCGGACGGACCACCGTCTGCAGACGTGACTCTTGACCGGAACTAGAGATACAAGCCCGTAAACCTCAATATCGGACAGAATCGGGTTCGAGGGTATGCTAGTGAGGGGAAACTTCGCTTGTTTCCCTCTAGAGGTACGTGGATAAGAAACCATGAGGTGACATTCGAAAAAGTCTAGGCTTAGGATCGCACCAAATTCGCAGCTCCGGGCATCCAGGGTAACCCGCAGACTTTTGGTGACAGCCGTCCGTACCTCAACATGGGAAGACTCCGACTTTACTGCCCTTTTCCAGGATTTTCACGGTCTGCTCCAAAGTGACGAACCATGTGAAACCTTTAATGTCGTCCCGTCCACCTTCCATTACTGGGTATTTTAATCTCCTAGCTTGAGGTTTATATGGCAAGGCCTGAACATGTAGGTGTAGATGATCCACGGAGTTGAACGGCGGGATATGAAAACCAAGCCTGACACAGGCTAAATCAGTATCCTTCTGGAGTCTAGGACGGAACGGGTGGCGAACCGGCGGGATATCGCTGGGACATTCAGGGCATCTAGAACGCGATGACCAATTTCTCCCATCGATCTCACTGCGTGTATACCGTCAACCCGCGAACGACTGTAATCAACACCCGCATACCCAACGCTATATGCTCCTTCCGTAATGACCTTACGCTGTCTATCGCACGACAGGGTAGTTGAGAAAGAGAAGTATGTTTATATTCCTACGATTGATTCAGGTGCATCCCAGCTTACCTATGTGCTTCTTCGGAATAACCTGTAGATGATGGGCTGCAGACGGGCGGTAATCTCGGAAAACGATGTAGTCTCTGTCCTAAGCGATACCAGTGAGTCGGGCAAGTACACACGACATTTATATTCAAGGCACGCGGAATCAAAACTGACCTCCCATACGACGTCAAAGCCCTTTTCCACAGACACGCCGCAGAAGGAACAGTGCCTGGATACTGGTGGATTAATGTCTGAGACTCTGAGCACTTCCTGAGATGTTTTACACCTTCCCGGGCTGTGAGAAGCGAGCAGCGAGGATAGAAGTTGGAAAACCATCCGACGATTCCGATATAGGCTCCTGTATTGTGCTCCTTCAAGTTTCAAAATTTCACGAATCAGGAGAGGTCAGGTTTTTTGTACTTCACAGTATCAAGTCTGCCAGTGGGTACGAAGCACTTTGTCACGCGGTGCTCGCGCGATTCTGAACTCGACAGACAGACTTAGCTCCCAGCTATTTTCTGACTTGCACTGGTTGATGAGAGCAATGCACGAGCTTCCCGATATAGTGCCACTTCGAGTTATCGAGACTGGTTCCGTGAGATAGCTTCTCACGATTCCCGCCACACCGGTTGCATCTTACAGCGCGTCGATTGCCACACTTCGCGTTTGCGAGACTACCTCCTCCTGGCTACTCGCTGCCTCCTACAATCGAATAATATGGCTCCTGGTCGGTGCGAACACATTCATGAAATATTTGGAGATGAGACGGCGAAATTGGGGCTCCTGGAGAAATTCAAGATTGTAGTGGCTTGGGACGCTCGCCGCTCACAGCAAGTTACTACCGCTGCTAAGAGAAGGAAGGTGAGTAGCTGGCGTTGTCTAAGACTGTACTCTGATAAGTATCTGACACTCTAGCTAGCCTGCCCTACGTGCAATACTTGCGGATCCAGTCTTGCTCGACCTTTTGTGTGTCTACACTGCTCTTTTACCGGCTGCTGGTCAGGTGGCCACATAGTCGACCATCTTAGAGAGGCTTCGCATGACTTCTGTACGTACGCTCTTGAACCACATCGGAATTCTGACGTGCCTTCCGCCTCTGCTTCTGCATGCGTGCTGCATTGTCCCGCCGCATATCCGTCACCGCCGTGTTATTTTTATACATGCTCGCTGACTGCCTGATTTGCTGTCAGGTGCCGAGTCGAAGCTGGGCTCGGTATACTGCGCACCCTGTGACGACTTTATCTACGAGCCGGAATTAACCCGCCTATACTCGCTGACGATGCTGTCAGTGGAAGAAAGGGCGACAAGGTTTCAAGGTACTCCATCTCTTCTGCTGCCTCCCGGGTAATGAAAACCAGTGATCCGCAGTTTCTAAGAAGGGCCGCGAAGCCTATCGGCCTTGGGTGCCGAACGACAACGACCATGTCGCCCTCGAAAGTACCGAAGCCGTCCCAAGTCAGGGTGCGTGTCTTCCAGAACTGTGTGGCTGTCCACCCGCTAAGTCCGGCACGCCAAAGGCCGGCGGGGACTACTCAACCTTGGTCAGACATGTTTTATGAACGCCGTACTCCAGTCGTTCATCCATAATCCCCTTTTGAGGAACTACTTCCTGAGCGATAGACATAATCATCGGCTATGTAAGAATAAGGATTGCACTTGCTGCGAGATGGATAGGTTGTACACTGAGGTACGTCTTAGTCCATACGCATCCTTATCTCGTTCGGCTTGTTGGGTAACGTTGGTCCGTCAGATGTTCTCAGAGGCTTCTGTGCCGTACGGACCAGCAAGCTTCCTTTTTACTACCTGGCGTGCCAGTTCGGAACTGTCAGGCTATGCGCAGCAGGATGCACATGAGTTCTTCATTTCCGCGCTGAACCAGATACACAGCACTTCGCGGGGATCAACGAACGTATCCTGCATATGTATCGTTCATTCGACTTTTGCTGGGCAGTTGCAAAGCGAAGTTAAATGCGATAAGTGTGGAAATGTGACGGCAACTATCGACCCTATGCTGGACATAAGTCTGGAACTGAAGGGAAAGGGTGGCGGGGACAGTGGGGGTGATGATACTCTGCTGGGCTGCCTGAAAAAGTATGTTATAGTCTTATGACGCCTTCGGCTTGCTACAAGAGAATAACAGGTTCACACAACCGGAGAAACTGGGGTCCAAAGATTATACCTGTAGCAGATGCGGGAAAGCACACGTGAGTAGCGCTGCCTTATCTTAAGGGACTAAGCTCATCGAACATGTGCATAGGATGCCTCGCGAAGGTTGAGCGTGAAGAAGCTCCCTCCGGTACTTGGCTTCCAGTTCAAGGTATGGAGTAGCTCTTCGGCTGCGCAACGGCTTCACATGCAGTCACCTAGCGCTTTGAGCACAAGTCAGGGGACAAGACATCTGCTCAGAAGATCGACGCTAGGATCCGGTTCCCGGCCACCCTGAACATGCTCCCGTACACTACGCTCGCTCTGGGTGGCAAGGATAGGGCATCGTAAATATATTCATTCCGATGCCGCTTCCGGCTGACTCATTCCTTCCTGTCGAACCTAGGCGTGTCGGCCCGGAGGCGATGTACGAGTATGACCTTTTTGCAGTGATATGTCACGACGGCCAAATCGACAACGGGCATTACTACACCTACGCTCGTTGCCAGGACGAGGTATGACCTCTCATTCCCCCTTACCTTCCCTTTGAATATTAACGACGGATGCCTCTCCAGTGGTATCGCTTTGACGACGATAAGTATGTATGAATTGCCTTATGGTATATCGCATACTCATGGCCCACATCATTGCCAGAATCTCGGCGTCGAGCCTAAATGAATGTCTTCAGTCGAGGGCATACATGTGCTTCTACGTCAAACGCCACCTAGATTACAAGCCATATGCTAAGCCTTCATATATCCTCACTCGTGAAGTGGAGCTACAGAAGGAGAAGGAGAGAGAGCGAGAGAAGGAATTGGCAAGGATGAAAGAGGTCGAAGACGCGTTGCTAGCGACTGTCTGAGGAACAGGCTGCCTTTTTAGCCTGGCCTTACAGGGTCGCGACGATATGTCTATTGAGAAGTATATATAACATGAGGAAACGACACTATGGATATAATCACAACATGCAAGGATTATTGAAACAAGCATCAGTACATGAATTAGATGGGCAGCCCTTCTACAGAGCGTGTCTGAAAGCTACAGTCCAAACCAGTGGTAGTGAAATTGGATATTGGATATGACGGACATAATGATCATAGGTTCCTATTAAGGGATGATGTCATGTAATTCCCCGTCCTTCACCCGTATCTCGACCACCTCCACCTCGTACTCGTTGATGTATGAGTTCGTGGAGGAAGCAGACGCAGAGACAAATCCGAAGGAATTAGGTGGCGAGGTCGATGCAACGTCTACAATGATGAACGTTCACCGAGAGCGACAGGAGCGTCAAGCAATGGGACTAAGGTGAGCAAACAAAACCGAGAGGAATCGCAAAGCACGAACATCTATCTTTGATATACGGAGGAACGAACAGATCCTACAGCCAGATGAAGACTGTCAGGAGGGCCGCTTCATGGAGAGCGATGCTCCATACCTGATTCCATACAAAGCCTTGGCTTTTCTGTATAGTCAGAATTGGTCGCAGACTGAATACCGGCTCCCGGTGCTTCCTTCTCTGCTGCTGTTGCTTCCTCGGACTCTCCATCACAGGAGGATCCACAGCGCGCTGTTTGCCTTTCACATCTTTCTTGCAACCCTCTTCCTTCTCCCGCACAGCGGCGTCGTTCGCTTCGTCAATGTCCATGTTATGGACGTGATCCTCTCCATTGTCCGGCGCTCTATCGCCTCCAGCGCGATGGTGGTCACTCTCAGTGTCACTGTCGTGCGGAACAGCCATCGGCCGACCATAGTCCTCATCGTCCTCCGAGCATGAATCGATATCGGATCCGCTGTCGCTGTAGTCGTCTAAGCCATACGGTATCTGCTCGTAGCAGGCCCACGTTGGTGGCGACGGAGCTCGGCCGAACGTCCGACGTCGATAGAAGGATGAGTAGGTCGTCTGGCTGTGCGTGCTCGACATGCCTGCGTTGTTACCCTGTATGCGTAGGACGCCACAAGCACTGACAGAATTAGGATGATGACGGTCGAGGATCAAGAGACTCGCCGGCAAGCTGCCGCACCTTATGCTGGTATGTGAAGAGGTGTGAAGAGTCGGGGGGACGACTTTGGCGTGCATCGCATTGATTTTCTCACGACTACTCGGTATGTATGACTCGGGTCATGGTACAGTACAGCGTATCCACCAACTACCTGAGTGAACGCAGAAGTCCCGCTAGACGAGGCCAGGGACAGTGACAGATACTGTTCCGCGTATCCCCGGGCATGCAGAACACGCGTCATCCATCGAGCAGCTCGGGTCGCGCGTCCCAAAACTCATTTCTCACAATATCTTCATGCAATATACGCACCGTCTTGATCGCCTTTACTTTCTTCTTGCCCTGATGTGCGACTGGCGTCGCCCCTGCAGCGAGTGAAGAATCTGGTAGCGGGCTCCCCTCTGACAGGTCCGTCCGAGTCCCTGCATCCGGTACGAAATCATGCCCGCCGCTCTGCTTCGAAGAGGATGATTGGCAGACGTCATCAATCGCAATCCTGTGGTCTAGGGAATGGGACGTACCTCTCTGGCGTCTTTGACTTCATCGCGCACTAACACACTTCCCTTCCGGAATCGCGCGGGAATCCCGTTGTAGTTGATGCCGAAACGGGAAAATAGAAGTTCGTGCTTCTGAGCTGATACAGTTCCCTGCAGCGACGGAGGAACAAATCAATATCTGCTCGAGAGACATGAGGGCGGTGGGCACTCACCTTCAACAGAGCGTGTGCTCGGGTCGTGCTTTCCCCTCCTTGTTGGACTAGCGCCCAAAACGCGGTATTGTAAAGGTTGTTGATGTGAGCTTACTTTAAGGTATAGCATCAGTCAATTATTGCAATGTGAATGTCGAGGCGGCCATAGCGGGTCTCACTGTCAACCTGCCTCCATGCGAAATAATCTCTAACTTCTTTGGCGCTCGGATACAGCACGATGCGAGCATCGAAGGAAGGTGGATAGTTCAGACTCTCGTCTGGAAAGAATTTAGGCCAATGGAATATGTACGATGAGGTGAACAGGGAGAGTATGAGGGAGAGTAGCTTGGTTTGTCGCCGATTATATAGTTTCGTATCCTTGCGGAACAAAAAGCTGTGGAAGGGTATGAACCGACAGAGTGACAGACAGTTCGAGTAGTGGGCTCACCTGTATTCGTCCGATTCCCCAAAGGCCAACACGATGTCTTTGTACTCGTCCATGACGCTCTGAGCAGCACAGTCCATGAGCCGAAGAGCGCGCTCGTCATTCGGTTTTGCGAAAGAATGCTCGGTCGAAAAGCTACGGACTGGAATGAATATGTATTGGATAGTGATGACAACGAGGTCAGGGATATACCGATGAAAACCATGCCCATCGATGCGCATGATCATGAAGGTCCCGGGAAGGAGGTTGTCCGGAAGCTCGTAATTTTTGACATAAGCGTACTTGGAACCTGCCATGGCAGAGTTTTCATGCAAGATGTAGTTGTCGACAAGGCGGTAGCTTCCGTGCTATGAGAAAGTGGGACAGCCCGAGACAAAGGAGACGGTTGATAGCCACGTGCCACCAGTGGCGTCCACAACAACTGGTTTCTTTTGCCGACGCATTGTGGGCGTCCTCCTTCCCCTCATCGTCCTCCCAAGAGTCAACACATCCTGAAGCTTGGAGAATCTGAATATTCTGTGGCCATATATATCCATCACCGTGCTCTGTCTGGTCGGAGCGCTGGCAGGATCACTCCTTTGCTGTTATGGATCTGCGCTTGAGCCACTTCTTCCTGAGGGACCTCGTTATCCTCCGTTTGGACGCCCCAAACACTCTTGCCGTGTGAGGACTCTGTCTGACACCTCGCCCGTATAGCACCATGCCCGCGCTATAGTCCGCACCTCCCCAGTAAGACGGATAGAGGTTCTCGGCGAGCACGGCACTCTTTGTTCAGCCGGCATGACAGTCCTTATAGGAGCTGGAGCTTTCCAGGAGTAATGTCAGGGTGTCCCAATTGGCAAACCACTGGACATGGACAGTAACCTCAGGGGCAAGCCACCGGTGGCAGGCGGCGAGTCATGATGCACAGACCTGGTGGAGTTTGTCTTTGCTTTGGGAGTATCGCTTGGATCCTCCGGCTCCGAAGAACCTAGTACGTCCTTTTACTACATGCTGCTCTCGATATTATTCAGGCCAATTAGACTCTAGCTTCAAGCTCATGTGGAGATGGCCGAATTTTACAATCCCAACAGGTAGAGAGACTCCTGATTACAGTACAACCCATCACATCCAAGCTATTGCCGCCGCCAGGTTATCTCGCTATGGGCTTACCACCTTCCAAGGGTTTCGCGTGTACACACCTTTCTGGTAGAGACCCAGCCATTATCGTCAGAATGCCCGTTCTGACCTATTTTCTGTGAAGCACGAGACCGCTGCCAATATCTGATATACCCTTGACTACAAATCTGTCGATGCTATGACGCACGCTGCTCGCGTTTGTGGGCGAGGCAAACAAAATACCACTTAAGGCGATTGTGCCACTGCACTAATAAGGCAATAGACGTGTTTTCCCTGTTATGGCAAGCTACACCAAGGCTACCATTATTGGTAGCTTCCTCTTTAAGCTGTCAGCGAGGCATTATGCTAAATATGGGAATACCGACATACCCTGATTTGGGACGGTGGGTTGATGGAGATGTGGGTCCATGTAGGTCCATTTGCCATGCCTGCATTCAGACAGGAAATACAGCTACGCACTACTGCCATTTCTGTTTATAGGCAAAACTTTCTCCGCTGAAGTAAGCTTCTCTCACCAGGGTCCATATGATGGGGCAATCCGAGGGCTTGATTGCTTTTCGAAGGGGTATGGCAATCAACAGGTTTCGCTCAACACGGTAATGTTTGTGGACGAGTAACGTCCTCCGTCACACCCCTCGAGATGTCTTTAAAAGCGACGGGAGCCTACGAAGGCCTACCAAGCCCCAAGAGCTCGAGGACCCCTCTCGAGAGCTTCAGAAAGCCTCCCAAACATTTCCTGAACATTTTCCACCATTTTCCTCACCACGGCGTACCCTCGAGACGACCTTGTCCACGGTTGGCAAGGCCTCGTGGCGCCATATTACGCCGAGAACCGCGAAGCGCTCGGTGAGTGCCACTTTGTCCGCCTTTGGTGCGCTTTGGTCCACTGATTGCTTTTGACTCCCGGTCCTACCATTTGTCGAATCATCGATGGATCGCAACCTTATGCCCGCTTCGGCCTTGCCACGCGCCACGCGTTATAATTTCTCTCACCGCCACATGCGGCCCTGGATCACTATTTGTGCCACGCTTTGGCTTTGTGGGTCCCAATGTTCAACATGCAGAGCTTAATATGCAGCCTGGAAATAACGACTTCCCTCCCGTTGACTGGCGCGCGGAACTTCCGCAGATCAATTCCCTTACGTTACACCCCTACGACTCTTTTACTATTCCCTCCTACTCGCACTCGTCTACTCCTTCCGATTCCAGCTCGTCTGGCGGAAATGGATCGGTCAACTCGCCGCAAGGACTGGCGCAGGGACCGGGATACGTTCATCAAACCTCATCGCGCCACCACGCGTCGCAGCAGTGGGAAAGTCAGGGCGGTGCCACCCCAATGTTGGAGGACCCGCCCTTCGACCCCCGCAGGCATGCACACGCGCAGGGCGCGGCGTATCCTGGCCACGGGCATGGGCACGTAGCACCAACACCTAACTTCTTTCCCGGACTTACCTCGTACAACTTCTTTGGTGGCAGTGAGGGCTTTATCGCGGATAACGCGCGTCAGCGAAGCTACGACAGCGCAGAAGGCAGTCCTAGAGGGTCGTCGCGGAGCTTGGGCAGTGGGTCGTACAGTGACAGAGACGCGTCGAGTCCCGAGGGTGGCTATGATGCCCCGATCGAGCGATCCCACCCTCGCCACAACGAATACGCGCGTGCCCAATACTCCTCCAGTCGACGCGCTGCACTAGAACAGCAGCGCGCAGGCTCGGAGGACGCGTATCATTCCCACTCTTCCTCCCATGACACCGGTGGCAGTCGCTCCTATTACCGGCCACGAACGCACATCGCTCCCGAAGACCCTGGTTACCTGCGCCAGTACGCCTACCGCCCCAACGATGCTGGCTCCCATACGTCTATTCCACCTCAGCTACGACCGAGTCCGCCACCCGGCCATTCTCCTCCCACCGACCACCCTCTCATCACCGCGTCTGGTCGTCGTGACATTGATGACCCCGGACCTATGTTGCGGCAGCTGCTGAACATACCTCCCCACGTCCCTCTCAACTTACATGCGATCCCAGACCCTCCGCCCGGCGAGAAACCGAAGCAACCGTATCCCGTCCTGGTCCAGTTGGCGATATATGGAAGTCGTAACAAGAGGCTTACCTTGCAGGAGATCTACGCTGCGTTAGAGGAGAGATTTGATTGGTTCAAAGAAAGGAGCAACGAGATGCAGTGGAAGGTGCGTGTAGATCTCGATCACAGATCGCAGATCGCTCATGGTGTCTGTCATCTCAAACAATAAAACAATAGAACTCGATCCGTCATAATCTCTCACTGAACAAGGTCTTCAGACAAGTTCCTCGTCCCATCACCGAGCCAGGCAAAGGCAAATACTGGATCGTTGATCTTTCCGAGGGCACTGGCAACAAGCGCGAACGCAAGCGGAACAGGAAGAAGAAGACTCAGTCATCCACGGGTGACGCTGAGCAAGATTCCAGTGGCGAAGAGAGTGAAGATACTGAAATGTCTCACTCCCAGCAATCACACTCAAGCCGTAACCAATACGCCCAACGCGCCCCCGGACCCTCCTCGTCCTCTACCCATAGCTACCGTTCGGATGAAATGAACATAGACCCCCGATTGAGAGATGCGGAGGCAGGTCATTCGGTCGGTGAAGGGAGGATGAGGGGTTCCGTGTCGCCGAGGAGAGCTGGGCCTGCATCACCATATCCCTCTCCTCCCCCTATGCCACTGCGGCTACCTTCCGCCCAAAGTTCAAACCCATCTTCCTTCTCCAGCGGAGGTTCCCCGTCGATCTCAAGCATGAGTTCAAATACGAGCATGAATGCAGGTCACACCATGGGCTCTGGGTCCTCGTCCACCCGATCGCCTCCCCAGCATACCTCTCTGTCTCGCGTCACCCAAGGTCCGCCTGGCGCGCCGCGATTTGGGCAGCCTGCCTTCGGACAAGCACCCGCAGGACAAGCGCCGGCTTTCGGCCAGCCGTCCTTCGGAGCTTCAGGTCAACCGCCATCGCGCACATCTTCCTCCAGCTCTAATTATCCTCGGGCTTTCATGGCGGCCGCATCGGAGCAGGTAGCACTTGGACCCGTGGCTGCGTCCTCCGGTCGACCAGTCAGGGACATGAGCAATGCTTCTCGCCAGGTTGTGATACCAGAGCCGACACCGAAGCCTGGCGTGGAATACTACAGAGAAGGTGGTCTACTCAGAGCCAGACGTGTTGGCACGCCAGGGTCGAGTGGCGACAACGGCAGTCAGGGTAGTCACTCCGAGGAAGACGTCCGGAGAAGCTCCAGAGCGGCTCATCGCTGAAGATTACAGGAATATACGTGAGTTGTCTCGTATACTAGCGACATGCACACAGCGAACTGACCGGTGTGGTATTTCAGGAGCCCATAGTATCCCCTAATTGTTACCATCTGCGACACAACATCAGCTTCCGACTACTCGCAAGCATTGCTACTGTATAAAGACTCGAGTCCTCATTCCCTTTGGTTGGTGATCGTCGGAACTTAGGGTGCTCACTTCTGTATCGAGAGTGCTTCATTCATATCAATCCAAGGCCCTTGCACGAGTAGGATCGATCAGTCTGTATTTTATGTGCATCCTCTCTCCCTTTCCTTCTGTCCCCTTGCGTTCACCGTCCTTACTCGCGCAGCTCATTACGCCCCTGGCCCGTAACGCTCACCAGTCCTTGGCACGTATGCGTATCCGCTCTTCGTACTGTTAGTCTACATGGCTGGGTGGTGCACTAACCGGAATCCTCATCTGTATCCTTCTGTATTCCAGCATCTGTACGATCTGTTGCAATCAATCAGTTCCGTGGTGCGCGCGATATCGTCTCCTGCCAATCCTGATTCGTCTGTCCGAGCTATGTGCTTTCCCGGAATTTCAGGACCTTGCTGACGTGCTGTAGCTGTCGCCAATGATAGATCAAGGGCGTAGAAGGATCGTAGACGCGGTCGCAGCGACAACATCGAAGTCGGGAGTCACGTTCGACTGCGACTGGGTGACACTAGTCACGGTCTTGCTGACCTTTTTCTTGAACTGACGCCGTCAGTACTTACAGCCATCTTTTGGCGACAACTTTGATTGCTTGTGCTTCAACTGAACCTGTAGGGGCATCCCATTCCCGGGCCCGTACTCTGGACTGTAGCTACAGGCTGGTCTCGTCAAAGCCGCGCGTTTCGGGCCTCTTTCCTCGGATACTGGAACCGTACTCGTCTACTGAGCTGAATGAGCGCTAGACAGCCTTTTGTGCCTTCGAGGCCAGCTTCCCGTGCCGCTGCTAGCGCTGGTCAAGAGGACGCCCTTGGCCTACCCAAGCCCGCTCCCCTGCGCCCTCAGAGCGCTTCCGGCGGGCGACCTACTTCAGAACAGGAGGGTACGGCCAGCATCATCACAGAACAGTATGGCATTCGAGCCACGGTCGCAACTACGGATGGTTCCAACGTCAACGCGCTGATAACTTCTGTGAACAAACCTCTCAATATATCCGGTCTGATGCAAAAGAAATCGAATAGAAGTCCCCATCTTGCTAACCACGCGCTTCCCGGTTTGAACTCACGCAAGTCATTCTCTGCCAACGATGAAAATTCGCATTCCCCAGTGCTCAATTCTACGGCGCAGAGAACTCCGCATATAGCCTCTTCTAGTGCTGCCGTTGGTCGACCTGCTTCGCCCTTCCCATTAAGTAACTTCAAGGCTCCCGCTTTTCCTTCTTCCAGGCTTGCTACCGGTACTCGAAATATGACCAGCATAAGTGATCGTTCTCCTGTCGGGCAATCTGGCTCTGGCAATGCGCATACATCTCATCCGGTCGCGGCCCCTGGGACGAATGCACTGGATACTGGTGACAACATACCTTCTAGTCTCGAGCGTTCTGCTCATTCTCCCAGTCCTTTCTCTCCTCTTGGGATGTTCTGTCCTCCGGATTTATCGGTACCTCCGACTAATTTTCATCCAATGAAATCCTTCGGAATACCAACACTGGAGAAGATACATGAGAACGCGGAAGTCTGGGCGGATCAATCCTTGGACCGAAGTGGACCCGTCTCCCTCGATGAACATACGGAACCCATTCTACGCCGAGTCCAGAAGCGATCACGTGCTCACGAAGTATCTGACGACGATTATGGCGTAGAGCTGGAGGCCAAGCGGTGGCGGGCGAGTCCGGCTGGCGATGCACAGCGGGATATCGCCGTAAGTCAGTTTACTCCATGTGTACGAAGTAAATTCATACTGCCTCGTCGCAGAGTCGTGGCAGTACAGGGTCGCGTCGCCCCACTCCCCTGTCTCACCCTGGATATCAGACGGCAGCGACGGTCATTGATGTGGATGAACGTGCTAACGACTTACAAACAAACCGTGGTAACGCATACTCGACTGGTTCAGGCGGCCCGTCGCGACCGATGGAATGTGGTGGGGGCATTGTTCACCGACTGTTCGGTCTAGAACCGTATGCGTCGGTGGACGAATACTTGGGGGCTTACGAAGCTGCGAAGAGACGTTGGACTGAGTGTACTCTAGAAGAATGGCAGACTGGTGCGGACGGTGAGTGCTGCATTTGCGACCACCCGACGTTGCCGCTCACGCCGCTGCAGAAATGATGAGCAAATTCGGGGAGGTTATGGACTTCGTGCGTTCGTCCTTTGCGTATGCAGCGTTCAATCATATTAACTGGGCCTACCCATCAGGTCAAGGATCATCTGCGGTGCGTTCTGAAGAACTCTCAATCCTGCAATCTGCTTTTGCGAACGCTAATGGACTGGGTTGGTGTATGCAGGGCGAAAACGTCCCTGTATACGTCATTGCATTCAAAGGTCGAGGAACATAAAGCAGTCCTCGGCAGTCGCGAAAAGGTCCTGAAGGATGTACGCGAAAGTCTCGTTAGACAGAGCGGGAATGTGGTTGGCTCTGGTGTTGTTCTAGGCGGGTAGGGCGTCCGCGCCTTCTATGGTAGTCTGCCTCTCGTGTGGCTAGTCATGTATACACTCGTTGTGAAACTCGACGTATCTTGTGGTCCGTGTACTCGGAGTGGCGCGCGCGGTAGCCATTGCCTGAAACCTATAATTGAGACGCACTTACAATAAGGTTGCAACGTGCTCGGGCCTTGCCACCTCGAGCGGCGTGCATCGTCCACAGTAAACATATAGAACAGAACTTCAGTGATTGCCACTTGCACACCCGCACAACCGTACGCGTAAGCTCGAATTCCGGCGGTATATCGACGTTGCACTCAATATACTCCTGGTCTCGCAGAGCGATCACTCTCGGATTTCCTGTATCATGTCGAAGCGCGAACGCAGCAAGATTCAGGTTATATACCAGACACTCCTCGACGTCGATCATCCGCCGATTCAAGTGGCGAGCTATCACGAAAACGACCTGAACGACGAGTCCTTCGAAGCATTGCTCGGACAATCTGTAGCAGCGATTGGGATATCCGCGGCATATGCTCCTCGTTCTCGCGCGTTGAGCTCTATCGCACTGTGTGTCGGCGAGAGAGCGATGTTGATCCAGCTTTCATCTGCGGGGTCAAGGAGTGCGAGGCGTTCCTCGGGGATGGACGGTGATGTTGCCACGAGCATCCTCGAGAAACGCGTCCTCCGGAACGCGAGTGGCGGCTGGGCGGTGTTCGGGATTGACATCGATCAGATCGCTCTTGGCCTCTACAAGGACCACGGCATTTCCATGGACAATGGTGTTGACATCCAGTCTGTTTGCCCAATGAAAGGTGCTCGATCTCCTCTCACAACTGTCAAATATTGCTTGGGGGATGAAGTTGATATTCATCGGGAGAACATTATTCAAGCATTCCTTGACATGACCAGTGATGCCAAGTCAACTCTAGACATTGTCCAACGTGCTTGGCTATCATGGTTTCTGCCTGTTCACCCTCAAATGGAGGAGAAATTTAGGGAGATACCTAGGATCAATATTAGCAGTTTCACCTCTGAGGTATGGTCCAGTGATCATCTTGGAAACCAGATTCCACCTAACTTTGAGCTATAGGTTCTTACTTGGCTTGCAATGGCAATGCGAGATACTCAACTTGAGGAAGAATCGGGAAGGACTGTCCATGAGTATAGGGGTGCTAGAATGATTAAGCAAGGCAAACTACAAGTCCGTCAAGACCGATTCCAAAGCAGGATTCAGAAGTTTGGTGGTAATCAAGTGGGTCTCATGATCTTCTAAAGCTAGCTGTCTCTCAAGAGTCAATAGCAGCAGCTGGACCTGCTTATCAGTACACCTGAGGGTTCCTATGCTCTTGCAGCAAGGCCTGCTCGAGTGTGGGGGAGGAATGCCGAGATCAGCTTGTCTTCAGATCTAGTGCTTGAAGGGAAGTCTATCCAGTCTATGGTGACTACTGGACCCGGTCAGCCAACTCAGGCAGAAGCATTGCGAGCTTCCACTATCTTGGATATCCTGCAGAAGAAGATCCAGCCTTTTGATAACCCTTGGCTCAAATGTCTATATCTAGGCCATCAACCAGTTTGGCCTGAGAATCCAAATGCTCATGCATCTCCATCTCTAAATCCTATTCGACCTCTTAATAACTCCCAGATCATAGCTGCTTCCCAGATGCTGTCTAGCTTGGAGGAACATAGGATTACCATTATCCAAGGACCTCCTGGTACTGGCAAAACAAGTGTCATTGGGCAGTTTGTCCTTTCAGCCATTTCTGGAGGTTTAAGAGGTATATGGCTTGCTGCAAAGTCAAATGTTGCTGTCAAGAACATAGCAGAGAAGTTATACAGCCTTGGGTTTACAGCTTGGAGACTGTTGGTATCAGCTGAATTTCATAATGACTGGTGAGTTATGGGGATCATCTTTGACCTTCTTGCTATATCAATGATCTTTACAGGCATGAACATCTCTATGCAGGACTCACAGCTAATGTCATCCGGTCAGATGAGCTGCCTAGGATGTCACCAAACTCAGTCAACCAGAGATTCAATGGCTGTCAAGTTGTCCTTTGTACTCTGGATATGCTATCAAACCCTCAGCTTCAGCACCGTGGAATCATCCATCTTATCCCAATTACTACCCTTGTTATCGATGAAGCCAGTCAGATTGATGTGAACAGCTACATCCCTGTCCTCCAGAATTTTGGTACCTCTCTGCAGAAAATGTGCTTCATTGGAGATAATAAGCAGTGTATGCACATCATCTCTCCATTGGTTCAGGCTTTAATCATCTTTGATTTAGTGCCACCCTATGGACAGGAATCCAATGAAGATTTGAAGAGTATCTTTGAGCTCTCTCATTTGTCTCAGGAACCTGTGTTTCTCAAAGTACAATGTAGGTCCTATTTAGTAGTCCTGGTATAATTGTGGCTCAGCCTCTTGCAGACCGAATGCCACCCTCATTGGGGAGTTTTATATCTCAGCATGTCTATGAGGGCAAACTCCAATCAAATCCAGAACATCCTGTCACCAAGTCTACCTGTTTCTTCATTGATGTAGACAGAGCAGAGGAGAAGGCAAAGGATACAAGCTGGATGGTAAGTCCAGGATCTCTAGGATCTGATATTTGCTAACATATGTTCTAGAACCCCATGGAATGCCAAGTTGCAGCATTTATAGCAAGACATCTAGAAGAAAGGAAGCTCAATTATCGTGTGATTACTCCATATGATGCACAGCGTAGTGTTCTGGAGACACATTTCAAGGAGCATGGCTTGACTTGGAAGGATAAATGCTTCAATGTTGATTCTTTCCAAGGTAAACTTCACAAGATGCAGTCTGGATGCTGAGAGGTGACACTACATTTACAGGCAATGAAGATGATTATATCATTCTGTCCTTGGTCAGGACACGTGACATTGGATTCTTGCAGGACTTGAGGAGGACTAATGTCATGCTTACTCGTTGCCGAAGAGGCATGTTCATTTGCACCAGCAGGGCTTTCATGGAGGGAGCAGGTGCTACAACTTTGGTGGGGCAGATGGTAGCTGAGCTTGGAGAGGATGCTTGGCTGACCAGGGAGGATTTTGAGGATTATCACTTCTGAAGATATGCCAGTTCTTTCTCCTTGTGTCATTGGGCAGATGTATGATTACTTAGGTCTATAAGACAACAGAAAACCAGAAAAAAAATAGAAAACCATGACCAGGATCTGCAAATGTTCCTTTGGACAACCATTGATGGACTTGTGGACATATGAGGCACTTGATGCACAGATTCATGCAATGACATCATGCGACGGCCCACTCGAGTATGCACACCCACAAGACTCCGGCTACCAGCAATGATTCGCACCCAACTCTCTTCTTGCACTACGTCGACGGCTTGCGGCAGGGTTGCCACATCTCTGCGGCTCACCTGGAGAAGTACGCGTAGTTCTTCCCTGGGTATTTGGACGCCTAATTCATGCACCGATCAAGGGTCCCTGAGCGTCTCGGCCCAAACCACTGTTCCGGTCGACCTTGCATACGACGCCTATGGTTCTGCGAGGGAGAAGGCAGGCTCCTTAGTTATCCTTCACGGTCTCTTGTACGTCGAATATCACACGTGCTACTCCTGATGGTTCATGCTTATTCTTGGAGGTGAAGTGGGTCGAAACGGAACTGGATTTCATTAGCGAAGGCGTTCGAGAAGGAGTTACACAGACCGGTATACGCTCTTGTAAGTGATTTCTCGACATCCACCAAACTATACGTATCGCTGTCCCCACAGGATCTCAGGAACCATGGGTCTTCACCTCACGCCGAACCCATGACATACTCCGCGATGGCGGACGATGTTCTAAATTTCTGCGACAAACATTCTCTATCCAATATCTCGCTGTTGGGACACTCCATGTATGTCTCTCCCTGGTTATTTATTCCCTTTGTCTCAAGCAATCCGGAAGGGGAGGAAAAGTGGCTGCTGCTGTCGCTCTCCATCCGTCTCTTCCTTCCGGCCTATTGTCGAAGCTTATCGTGGCCGACATAGCACCTTCGCGCGCTCGCCTTTCATCTGAATTCCAGGCGTATCTCGAGGCAATGCATCGAATAGAGTCGAGCCAGCTCCAAAACAAGAAAGAGGCCCAGGATATCCTGAAAGAGATCGAAAAGGTCGTTGCGTCTGCTAGCTTCCGCCGGTATCGTCCTAATGATCGTATAGGATCCTATGGTGCGAGCGTTTTTGTTGACAAACTTGGCATCCGACACCCCACCTTTGAAATTCCGTATCCCGATCGACATCTTGATGGGCTGCATACCGGAGATCGGTTCATTTCCCTATGCTCCGGGGGAGCGACTGTGGCCAGGCAAGACACTCTTCATCAAGGGTACCAAGAGCCAGTACGTAGATTTCTCCATGTCTGTTCTTGGACATTGGCGAGTGCAAGGAACGTCTGGGCAGCTATATCAACAACAAGAATATCCCTGTCGCCGAACAGTTCTTCCCGAATATGAAGCTGGAGAGCCTTGATGCCGGTCATTGGGGTACGTATTTCAGCTGTTATCCCCCGCGTGTAAGGTCCTCATCGAGCTCGACCTCGTTCAGTTCACGCTGAAAAGTGTGTTACATGTTCCCATGCTGTATTTACTGATTCACTGACTTCTGCATTCATTCTGCGTATCATAGGCCCAACGAATTTAAGAAACTCGTCGTGGACTTCATTCAGACATAGGAGCGCCAGGGAACTTGCTCTTAGAGCTGGGGCTTGCATTATACTCGAATTTCGAACTAGATCTCGTGCGAGGGTCCTACACCAAGCTACATAATCTCATAACTGTCCACAAAGAATCTATCAATGTTACAGTGCAGTCTATAGTAGTCATGAATGTCGTGAAAGGATGTATGGCGTACGAAGTATCCCAGTACTCCTACTTGAAAAGCTCGCGAATGCCATTACCCAGCGTCTGGATCCTGCCTTTGACGCCCTTCGATCTGTCAACGAATTTGAACTCTCCCGGAGTTTCAGGTATGGTCTGCGCCCTCTTCCGACCCTGCTTCTCTACGCTCGCGTTCGCCTCGGCCGTCGCTTTCCTCGAGGACTTCCCGGAAAGAGTCCGAGTTAGGGTGAGAGACAGGGAGCCGCGCCTCGATTGACCTTCTCGCTTCCGCGACACTGAAAGCGCCATGCGCAGCTCAGTCTCTCCGCTCAGCGAGAACCCGGTCGGTGAATTGAATGAATACGATGGGTATGATGACGGTATGGTATATGGGTATGACAACGCCTGGCGCAAGGATGGTCTATGCACGTCGGATGCCGAAGAAACTTGCTCGTCCTGGCGTGGCGTATAGGGAGCCTCGTCTAGGGGTGGACTGCCATTGGAAGCAGGTGAAGCAGCGACTGGCGAAGGGGAAGTGAAGTCCTTCCTGATAGCGGTATAGTAAGGTCTGCTTGGGTGACCCAGCTTGACCCGTGGTGGTTCTACACGGATGGGAGCCGTGGGACGTATAGGCTCTGACCTCGGTCGTTGCGTGGCCTTGACTTGGTTGACGGTTACGGTGAGGCTAGGTTGGCTATTCGTGCCACCGCCGGCGACATCTGACAGAGGCCGAACGACAGGACAATCGATGGGGGCAGCAGGAGGATCATGAGCTTCGGGAGACTGCTCCGTGAATAACAGAGACGGGCGTTGTCGAAGGGCTATCTGCGACCTCCTGACACGAAGAGAGGACATGCGCCGCTTCCTTCGCAGGGACCGCTGGGGGTGCATATCTCCAGTTTTAAATGTAACCGGAAGAGTGTGGACGGACAGGCAGATGCCACAGTGGCGTTGGGAAAACGGACGGGGAGTCTTCGAGGCCACTGTTGGCATGATGGGGCACGAATAAAACAAAGGTCGTCCAGCCGGGGCGAGTGTATTTATGTCGTCGTTTACTGAGGTCGTTCGTCGAGGGAGTTCTTCATTATCCACGTGAACGCATGCATTGTCACCCTTTCCATCACGCAGACTTCCAGAGTCCGAGATGCTCATACAAAGGTGAACGTCGACAGGCTGCAAACGGATAATATTCAGTCTACACTCCGCATGCCACACAATGAAAAATAAAGAGATCGCCGCCTTCCATTGCACTACGCAATCGCAGTGCACCTCAAACGACTTCCATGAAACGGCTCCGGTACCTGTACACCGCCATTCTGACCCCGCTAGACACAAAGACCATTGGATGCCAGCAATAAACGGAACTCGATGTCCGATACAATCCGTGTGTCTGTCTGCAAGCTCCCTCAGAGGTCCATATATTGGTGGTTTCGAATGCGTTCATGACCGCTCTCCACAGCCAGAATGGACGGATTAGATGGACGTACAGTGAACATGACAGACTCATCATTGGCTACATCAAAGCCGCTAGAGATCATAGGGCTTTCACTGGTGCCGGTCATCGTAAAAGGTCGTAAATTGAAGGATCCAGAACTGGGTGAAAGCCAGAAGGAGCCTTATGCGCCCAGAAGGCACAATGGGACTTATACGACACGCCGTATGTCCCCGAGACTGCAACGAGGATGTCACATTTTGCCTTCGAACGCCGAGATTGTCAGGCGATGAAGAGGTGATAGGTTATCGAGGGACATACCGTACGTAGGTTCATGTATGTAGCACACACGCGGCGTCAGAATGTCTGCGCTGCGTCTTATTCGACGACAGGATTAGCCCATTGCGCTGAACATATCCGCTTTTACCTACGAGAACCTGATCATGAGTACGTTCGACCCAACGCATCCTGCATTGGGAGATTGAATGTGCGCCAATAAACAACCCCATGTACACAACGCGAGGCCGGCATACTTGCGGCGGAGGTACGTGCATGCAAGACGCCGTCTGTAACTTCCACGAACGGTGAGGCAACTTGCACAATACGACCCCTCGAAATAACAATCCCACGAATAAGCTGACAAAGCACTACAAATATGGCAAGCGTCGTGGCTGTCACTGTTCCCGACGCTAGGAGACAGTCCTAGCATATCAAATCACTCCCAGAGCATATTTTATATGAAAACCCAGACCTTAACCAACCCGGGGCGTTCCCCCCCGGACCCCCCCTTTATCGATATCCTGTAAACCATACCCTAACCACCTCACCCTAACCCGAACCTTAACCAACCGGGGGGTTCCCCCCGGACCCCCCACTTACCCTAACCTACCCTAACCCAAACTTCCTAACCACCCCTCCGCAGTGCGAAGAAAAAACATACAGGAAGTAGGTAGAACATTGGTACAAACCAACAAAAAATGCAGGCGTCAGGATTTGAACCCAGATCCACAAGCCTCAGCCGCAACGCAGACCCGCTAGGCCACACGGAAGACGCCTGTGCCACCACAAGGGGGTATAAATCCAACAGTGCTGACTTGTCTTAGTCAGCAAGTCGTGGGATTGCTTTTTCGAGGGGTCGT